TCTCTTTACAACCATTAATGACAATATCTTTTAACATTTTAGTTTAATAATGCTTATCATGTTTCATCGTTCTCTTCTCTTTACAACCATTAATGGCAATATCTTTTAAGGGACTGTCACCGTAATTGGAAGTTTAAGTTGTCTTTACTAAATACTAATCATTCAAAAGCAATTTTTGCCGCAGAAACTATGCAGGATATTGCCAGAATTCATCATTTTTAAGATATAAAACAAGCATTTTTTACTTTTTGTGCCGCTAGGATACCGAGTTTGCATTGCTAGGATACCGAGTTTTCACTGCTAGGATACCTTGCAGTGCTAGGATACCGAGTTTGCACCGCTAGGATACCTTGCAGGGCTAGGATACTGAGTTTGCATTGCTAGGATACCGAGTTTGCAATGCATTGCTAGGATACCTTGCACCAATAGGATACCGAGTTTGCATTGCTGGATACCTTGCACCGCTAGGATACCGAGTTTGCATTGCTAGGATACCGAGTTTGCACTGCTAGGATTCCTTGCAGTTCTAGGATACCGAGTTTGCACCGCTAGGATACCTTGCAGTGCTAGGATACCGAGTTTGTATTGCTAGGATACCGAGTTTGTATTGCTAGGATACCGAGTTTGCATTGCTAGGATATCGAGTTTGCACCGCTATGATACCTTGCAGTGCTAGGATACCGAGTTTGCATTGCAAGGATACCGAGTTTGCATTGCTAGGATACCTTGCACCGTAGGGTAGCGAGTTTGCATTGCTATGATACCGAGTTTGCACCCCTAGGATACCTTGTACCGCTAGGATACCTTGTACCGCTAGGATACCTTGTACCGCTAGGATACCTTGAACCGCTAGGATACCAAGTTTGCACTGCTAGGATACCGAGTTTTTACCATCTGGATACCTCACACAGCTAGGATACATTACACTGTTAGGATACCTTGCCCCAATAGGATATCTTGTACCACTAGGAAACCTTGCAGTGCTAGGATACCTTGTACTGCTAGGATAACTTGCACTGCTAGTATACCTTGCACCGCTAGAATACCTTGCACCCCTAGGATACCAAGTTTGCACCACCAGGATACCTTGCATCGCTATAATACCAAGTTTTCACCACTAGGATACCAAGTTCTTGCACTGCCAGGATACCTTGCACTGCCAGGATACCTTTCACCGCTAGGATACTTTGCACCACTAGGATACTTTGCACCGCTAGGTTCCATGAACCCTTAGAATACCTTGCACCACTAGGATACCTTGTACTGCTAGGATACCTTGCACCGCTAGGATACCTTGCACTGCTAGGATACCTTGCATTTCTAGAATGCCTTGCACCGCTAGAATACCTTGCACCGCTAGAATACCTGGCACCGCTAGAATACCTTGCACCGCTCGGATAGCGAGTTTGCACCACCAGGATACCTGGCACCGCTAGAATACCAAGTTTTCACCGCTAGGATACCAAGTTTGCACCGCTAGGATACCTTACACTGCTAGGATACGTTGCACTGCTAGGATACCTTGCACCTCTAAGATACCTTGCACGTCTAAGATATCTTGCACAGCTAGGTTACGTTGCACTTCTAGAATACCTTGCACCGCTAGGATAACTTGCACCGCTCGAATACCTTGCACCTCTAGGATACCTTGCACCACTAGGATACCTTGCACTGCTAGGATACCTTGCACCGCTAGGATACCTTGCACCGCTAGGATACCTTGCAACGCTAGAATAACCTTGCACCGCTAGGATACCTTGCACCGCTAGAATACCGAGTTTGTTGTCATATTTCTCCCAAGTTTCTGCAAGCGTAAATATTTAGCTAGAGGTCCTGTAGAGTCAAGATAGACTAAAATAATATCTAGGATAGGTTACCTACCACATTGTACCCTTAGAGTAGATATTAACGTTAAACAGAATTTACTTTGCTTTAGAAATTTTTACAACGAGAAGACCACCCAGCAGCCCCTGTAAATAAGGATTCTCTAGGGGGGGGGGGGGAATTTTTAAATTTTTTTCCCCCTAGAATTTTTTTACTCCCCCCCCAGAAAAATATCATGATGTAAATCAAATTATTGGTTTTAGTTGGGTTTGATTAGCATTTTCCACTCATTTCTGGCATTCACAAACTCCATCAAATAAAGGCTTCATTTCCTACCTTTCAGCTTTCACCTTGTTTTATATCCTTCATTATAGCCATTCACTTTACATTAACTACAAAGATCTGTAAAAAACTGAATTCGTTTTAAGTAACATAAGAAATAGTTTTACTCTAAGAGGAAAAAGACGTTACTTTTTTAATCTTTAGAAAAGCTACTCCGCAAAACTTTGAAAAAATATTGTCTTTGTTTATATTCTAATTTCTAAAATTTTCTTGTCGTCAATGTAGTATGTTAAGATCTTAACGAAATCTAATGTGGAAATGACATTATTTAGAAGTAAAAATATGTATTCTTCATTGCCCATACCCTTTTTTCTATTAAACAAAGATTTAAGGGGGGATAATTACCCCCAGGATTCTAGGGGGGGAGGGGTAAATAACCCCAATAACGCCTCCCCCTATTTCCACCACTGCCACCCAGACTTATTCGTCCTTTTATCTGACTTTTTTGTTCTTAATATATAACTTCAGATAGATGAACATTTTGTAAATAATTATGTACAGAATGTTAGGGATGATTACCAACTTTTATTTTTATCTGTCTAGTGTTCTTTTTGTAATGCATAATAAAATGCTGGGTGTTTCTAACAGTTTACAGAAAAGTTGTATGAAAACTAATTTTTAAAGAAAAATTAATCATTAAACAATTAGAATAGAAGTATGTAAATTTACTTCTGTTTTTCACGAGTATTCACAGACGATTTAAAGGCTTAAAAAATCGGCCTACAATTATACAAATTTTTTTTTAATCTTGCAACTCAGCGTCAACGACTATTTCACATTAAAACTTATCTATATATGGGTCTTTATAGTAACAAATTTTTGCAAAACAATGTAATTTCGAATAGTTTTAAAATTTCAAAATTTTTCATGCTTAAATATTAAAGTTTTCAATTATGATTTTTTTAACCTTTAAATTTTTAAAAAAATTTTAGGTGCTGGTGTGGATACAACAGATGAATATGGCCAGAAACCGGTGAGTTAATTTTATATACATAAAGTTGTAATCTCTGTTTGTTTGTCCGATCATAAACCAGGAACCCCTTGACCAATTTGCCTCAAATTTTGATTGAGGAACTCGGGAGACCCACAGGAATGTTCTTTGAGATTCTAAGCTGAGTGGGTGCACCTTAAACGTGCAAAATAGCTAAAATCTTAATTTACGACAAGGGGCGGATAAACGGTGGGACAAACTATGACTTCCCTGATCCACGCTGTGTTCCCAACCTAGTTTTATAAATTATTTCAATTATTAAATTATTAATAAATTATTCAAAAATAAATTAATTCAAATTAAGCTGAACAATTTCTAAAAACATATCCCCCCGTTTTTTTTTGTTGAAAATATTTAGAAAATTACAAACATTTTAAAAACCTGAACACTTTCATGATTAAATCCCTCTTTAATTTTCCCATTAGCAAATTAATAAAATTCCAATTAAATCCTTTTCTGTGTGAAAATTACAAAAAAGCAAATTAAGAATTTCAATCCCTGTTAAACAAAAATTCTGTTATAAAATTACATTTCATTGTATTGTCACAAGTTAATAATAATAATTTTCAATAATATTTTGATATTTAGAAATATATGTTACCTACTTCAAAAAGGAAACAACTTTATATTTATATATTTTGACATTGTTATGTTTGACAAACCATTTATAAAATCTCTAATTAAAACTAAAACTAAAATTGAAAAAAATATTCCCCTCAAATATACTGGGTAAACTAGAGTAATGTAAACTTAATATTTGAAGAATGACAAACAAGGTTGGAAAACTAAACATGCAACTTTATCAAATATTCTTTACATCTATCCTTATAAAACCTCAACCAAAATGTTGGGGTGGAATTTTATGAATATTAACTGGAGTTATTTGGCTAACAGGATAAAACTTAAATGCATTTTTTTTATCTTTTCTAAAATCTTACTAATATTTACTAAATCTGTTTACAGATCCATCTGGCGGCCCAATCTGACTAATATTTACTAAATCTGTTTACAGATCCATCTGTCGGTCCAATCTGACCAAAATTTACAAAATTTTCAAAGAACCAGCTGGCGGCCCAATCTGATCAAAATTTACTAAATCTTTTACAGATCCATATGGCGGCCAATTTTGATCAAAATTTACTAAATCTTTTAACAGATCCATCTGGCGGCCCAATCTGACCAAAATTTACTAAATCTATTTACAGATCCATATGGCGGCCCAATTTGATCAAAATTTATCAAATCTGTTTACAGATCTATCTGGCGGCCCAATCTGACCAAAATTGATCAAATCTGTTTACAGATCCATCTGGCGGCCCAATCTGACCAAAATTGATCAAATCTGTTTACAGATCCATATGGCGGCCCAATCTGACCAAAATTGATCAAATCTGTTTACAGATCCATCTGGCAGCCCAATCTGACCAAAATTTATCAAATCTGTTTACAGATCCATCTGGCGGCCCAATCTGACCAACCAGAAGTAGTGAAACTTTTCCTACAAAAGCAACCATCACTTGTAACTGCTTCTACAAAGGTATCATGCATTTTTTCTCCTATAATTAAAATATATATAGTTATACGACGTTTTTATATTATTTTTACCATCTCCATCCCGTCGGTTTTTTAGCTTAAATCCTAAACTTTAATCCCAGTTAGTCTAGCTCCTCTTAAGTATGATCTAATATGAAACCATTTAAGTTAACTAAAGGAAAGTATCAAATGTTTAAAAGGCTAAAAAGTTTAAAAGGTTGGAAAACAACATTTTCCTCTGGTTTCCAAAGTAAACTGTAAACTGAAAGCAGATCCTTTTTTGGTGAAAGTACATGGTTCGACAATTTTACTATGTAAACATTAAGTATCCTTCACTTACGAAGTTATATCTTTATAACCATATTAGAACCCTTAAGCTACAATTGAATTTTAAATAAAATTTATTGAAAATTCTTTTTTAATAACTTTTTCAAAAAGTCAAACTTTTCAGACTTAGATCCAAAAATGTATAGTTTTAAGAAAATTGAACACTGGACAAATGTTGCAAAATTTTGATGATTGAAATGTACAGTGAATAATGGTCGACTTCAACCCAGATTGATATTAATTCACAATTTATTTTATTTACTTAATCTTCTAAAATTTTCTTTGTCTATTACCATCTAATCATTATTTTGATCTTTGCTTCATAGTTCTGTTCAGAAACTACAAAATATGGGCCTTTGCAAAATCTTATGTTTCGAGAGTGAAATAAGAAATACGAGTTTAAAATATTGATTTATTTAGGACGGGAATACTACAGCCCATATTGATTTATTTAGGACGGGAATACTACAGCCCATATTGATTTATTTAGGACGGGAATACTACAGCCCATATTGCTGCTAAGAAAGGATCTGTCAGAGTACTGGAGGAACTTCTCAAGTTTGATAAGAATATCGTTACAAACAGCAGGTTCATCCATATATTTGTAATCTCTGTCTGTCTGTTTCTATGGCCGATTATAACTTGCAGGAACCCAGGCCCTTTGCCTCAAAATTTGATTGGGGAACTCGGGAGACCCATGGGAACTTATCTTATCTTGGTTTTAGAATCTAAGATAAAAGGGGAAAAATAGCTTAAATCGTAATTTTCGACAAATTGTAGGTAAAGTTAAATAAACTTGTTTCGGAAAGTTTATGATTGTCTTAATTTTTTTTTTAAGTGAGAGAAATAACCTCAATGATATCTGACCAAAAAATGGATTTTATCTTTAAAATGTCGTTAACGATCGTTAACGAAGGGTCGTCGTTAAAAGTCGTTAACGAAGGGTCGTTGAACTTTTTTTAAAACGATAATTTAAAAAAACTACCATTTCGATTTTGGTTTTTTCTTTTTTCGAAACGATCGGTTTTCAATAAAGTGAAAACGATCCATCCCTTACTATGATAAAATTCTATAGATGTTGGTCAAAACAATGCGTTTTCTTGACCTCAACTTGAAAAAAAACAGAAAGCAGGATATGATGATGACTTTTAGACTTTTAGTCCAATAAAAATAGCAATTTTGAAATGAATAACAGACCCAATTAACTAAGTAAATGCTTTAATAAGTATAACTATTTGCTTTGTAACAACATCATATATTATTGAAATGTCGTCATCCTATTCCACAGTGTCTAGTTCTCACTGCACATTATTATAATAAAACTAATGGTAATCTAGGAATAAGATCACGGACTCTACTCCTCTCCATATTGCTACTGAGGGCGGACATGTTGATGTTATTAAACTACTTCTTACACACGGTGCTTCACCGTTGGATGAAAATAAGGTAAGGAATTCAGGTTATATTACAAAGGAACTGAACACCTGCCACAAACTCTTTTTTTCTATGACTTATTCATATCCTGGTAACACTAATACTTAAAACTACGAATTTTGCTAAATAAATTAAGTTTAAAATATTAAGTTGGTTTCTACCATCTGCAGCTTGCAAATATATAAGGATTAAAATGTATAGAGTGTGAGGTAATAGTTTAGTTATTTAGGATATGTTCACAGAAAATTAAATATAAAACACCCAAAGCTCAAAGATGGCAATTCTTGAATGAAAAAAGATCTAAATTGGTTCCAATGCAACCATTTAAAAATTACCACACTTAGAAAACATTTTAAGAATGCAAAAACATTTTCAAATATATATCAGACACAAAAACATTTTCAAATATATATCAGACACAAAAACATTTTCAAATATATATCAGACACAAAAAGACTTATTATCTTAGCAAAAGACAATAAAAGAGATTTTAAATATGGATTTTCGATTCTCTTGCAGGCAATTGCACTTCAGTCTTTTTAATAAATCTGTATATATATTTTTATATTTAATTTAATATTTAAAGGAACTGAGTTCTTGCCACGAACTAAAAATCTATAAGCTCCTACATCTTCCCAACTTGATGAAGTAAACCTTTAATATTTCAAATCTAGATTTTTTGATCTAACAGAATTCATAGTTTGAAATATTAAATGTCTATAACATCAGATATGGAGATTTAAAAATAAGAGTTTGTTGCAAGAACTCAGTTCCTTTGACAAAGAAATAAATTATACATTATATTTCATGCTTTGCTAGCAATCTTCATTTAGGGAACCCAAGGGTAACCCTGGGAGTTAAATAATTAAAGTTTTTTATTCAAAAATAGAATTTAAAAAATCTATTTTTTTCTGCTACAAAAATCATTTTATTTTTATCTTTTAATCACTCTCCGGGCAACGCCGGGCACTTGAGCTAGGTATTCATAAAATTATTGATTTATTATTCTCATATTTCAGCCTGGGATGACCCCTGTTCACCTGGCTGCCCGGCACGGTCATATTTCTGTAATCAACGAGTTTGTCAAGGAAAAGGTAAACATGTTTATACGAATAAAAACCTAGATTTGATTTTTTTTCTAAACTGTTCTTTATAGAAAATATATTCTTTGCAAGCTCTTGCTGAGAGTTTTGTAAAATACATCGTAAAAACTAAACCTTTCATATTTTTCATATTTTTATTCAACTACAAAGCACGAGATAATACAAATAAAAATCACAATTTACTATGTAGTTTGGACCCGCCTAACCAGAGTAGGTTGTTTTAATTGGTTGGCCCACTATAAACGAATGAGAATTGCAGATAAAAACAATGTACATTGTACATTTTAAACATAAGAATGATAATAAATCAGGTAAAAGGTAAGGAGGAGGTGAGGGAGTATAAAGAAAAGGGAGGATACTCAGCGTAAGGGTTGGAATAGAGGGTAACATAAGTTATTAGAATCATGTTTATGAACTACAGGGTGAAGAAGATAGTAAAGACTAAGTTTATCCACATGATACACAGTTTTTTTTTACAGATATAATTTGCATAACTATCTAAATAGATCTTGGCGACTTTTCTTTTAAACGATTTTGCAGATTTAGTTTCTTTAAGCTCTAATTCAATCGAATTCCATATTTTAGGAAATAGGGCAGAGGGAAAACATTCTAGGGTTTTAAAGAGAACTCGTTCAAGTTTATATGATTTTGTTCTATTTGGTTCAGCTAAAGAATTAAACATATCCTGGAAGGAAGCTGGAAGGTTTTCATAAAAGTATTTATGCATAAAAGATAGAACACCTAGTTTATATGTATCATCAAGATTTAGGAGTTCTAATCTGAAAAATATTGGATCTGAATGTGCCTTAAATGAACTATTATTTACTGCTCTAATTGCCCTTTTTTGCAAAGACTTGATTTTCTGTAGTTTAGCATTTTTTACGCCCCCCCATGTTATAATTCCATACTCAATATGTGGCCTTACAAGTGCATTATAGACTAGTAGACGAATGTTTAACGGTAAAGTGTTTTTAATCTGATTCAGAGCAAAAATTGAGCTAGCAATCTTATTGGAAACATGTTCAATTTGATAGTCCCAATTTAAAAATTCATCAATTTTGAGTCCAACAAATTTAAGTGCTTACAATAATCTAAAATGTTACATGTTACAATTGGCTGCGAGGCGTTGGGACATTGCAATGTCGACCCAGTTTTAAAAATCGATGCAGTCCGGATCATAACTATGTGCTTACGTGCTTTATTTCAAAAATTTTTTTTTTTTTTTTTTTTTAATATTATGAATTTGAATGTATATATTTGTTTAGGTTAGTTTAAGGAATCTGAGTAAGAAGACGGGTATGACAGCTCTACATATTGCAGCTTACTACGGGGAAGAAGGTAGTTCTAAATAACAGTCAACGTAACGTATATCCCTTGAAATACTTGTTTTATGATGGATTTACTTCGGTACTTTAAACCTTTGTTTAAGCAACAATAGTGAGGTTGTTAAAGGTACTGTTGTGAATTGGGCATGCAACTCTTTTTTTTAATCGGTGGATCGTTTGAAATTACGGTAACAGTCCCTTTAATCAGTGGAAAGTTTGAAATTACGGTGACAGTCCCTTTAATTGGTGGACAGTTTGAAATTACGGTGACAGTCCCTTTAATCAGTGGATAGTTTGAAATTACGGTGACAGTCCCTTAAATTGGTGGATAGTTTGAAATTACGGTGACAGTCCCTTTAATTGGTGGATAATTTGAAATTACGGTGACAGCCCCTTTAATCGGTGGATAGTTTTAAATTACGGTGACAGTCCCTTTAAAGCGCATTTAGTTCATGAAAATATACCATCTTATTCTGAATATCTGTATTCTATTTTTCTGCTTCGTCTTTTAGTTTTGTATCCGTTGTAGAATTTTTAACCCCTTCATGTTTGTAAAGAATCCTAGAAGCCGTCAGTTACGTTACAAGCTCTGACTAAACAGTTCCAGGGTGGTATGTGAATCACTGAAGAATGATAATATTTAGATATTGTCCGTGAGCTAATGAGACATGTTCCCCCGTCTGTTAAATCTGAAAAACCAGCAAACCCTAATGCAAGCTTAGTCAAGTAAGTAAAGATATAAAAACTAATTCATGTAAAACAGGGGTGCACTACAGTTTTATCTTAGGGGGGGGGGGGGGAGTAGAGATACTACACCACCCATTCATAAGAACAAAAAAATCGTTACACACGGTCCCCACAATTTTTTGATGCCCTTATGGCGGAGTTTTGTTAACAAAAAATTACTAATATAATATTTTTGTGTGCAAAATCCTGGTAGGCTTAATTAAAAATAGCCTTTCTATGTATTCATGCACTTCTTGGATTCTTTATTCAACAGAAAGTATTTGAAAGATAAACAAAATTCACCAATGATTAAATATAGCCATGTTCAATAACTAACTAACATTGATCATTTGCATAACTGAAAAGGGGTTCATATAATCACTCAATTTACCTTAAAGAAGTTAGTGAATAATAATTTTATTAAAATTTAGATTTATAAAATTGATCCAAATTTTTAAAATTAATTATTATTTTAACACATGCTAAAAATGATATGCTAAGAAATTCTTAAAAATGCAAATCTTAAGAATAGTACTTATTTTTGACAAACATAATAATAGTATAACATAACCAGTTTCACGTTTTTCAATGCATGCTAAAGTTCTGAACTCCTAACATACCAACATTTTTTGAAAGAAGTGGTAAAATATAAACTAGTTGGAAACATGCTTGAATTTGGCGGGAAACTGTTTATAAACTGACAATGTTTTTACCTGCACACGTGTCCTTCTAGTTAAACTAACATATTTCCGGTACCGGATGTAGCTAGGTACAACATTCCTACTCCTTACATAAGAAATGTACTTCTTAGTTATACGTTATACAACTAGGTCTTTTTAACTTTAATAATTTATTTTTGGATAAGGGTTGTGGGCACAAGCTCACGCATACAAATAAAAACGAAATATCAATAAATCTATTTCCAGTTTGTTATCAAAGTCTTTCTATTATTTTGTTCTGCTCAAGATTAGTTAAAAGTCATACACCCCAACGTTTTGTGTTGCGCCATTGTCTTAAAAACTTGACTATGGGTAACCCTGTAAACCATAGTGAACACTTATTTTGCGCGGGCTGATCTTGCTTCCTTTTTTTCCTTAGGCTTAACTATTTGGTTTGGTTGATAATATGATTTTTAATAATCGCATGAAGCGTTAATTTGCCAATGACTTGTAGAAAGCTGGATTTTCAAACATAATTGAGTTATGTTCTTTTGTCCTTTTCTCAGTCAGTCATGAAAAAAAAAGAAATAAGAAAAAAAATTTTTTCCTTTCAAGAATTGATTTTGTTTCTTTTGTCTTTTCTCTTCCATCTAACCTTTTCTATCTTTTTTGTTCTCTGTGTTCACTGGCTCCGTATACAACTAGGTCTAATTTATACAAATTCACCCTTTATTACCGTCATGACACCGCAAGAGGCATTGATCTAAAAATGCGATTGATCAAAGAAAAATAAGACTGGACGGTGGACACGGTGGAGACGTTCTTGATTCTTTGAAACCTATCGTTCCAAATTCGAGGGCTTTGCGCTCGGTTACTTTTTTCACGTTCGATCATTTTAAAATTGTTCTGTTTGTCTATGCATTTTTAATAGTTACCGTTCATTAACATTAAAAGATCGTTATAACAATGGTCGCCATCGTTATCGATGTCTTATCTTTTATAATGTTGATTGTGAAACATGATTCATGAGGGTTAGAGTGTGTCCATAAAAATTCTACGTTTTCTAAAATAATAGTTCTAAGTTCGTATTGCGTGTGTTTTTTTGAAGAATTTCCACAAACCTGCTAGTTCTATGGAATTTGCAGTCAAATTTATAATAAAAAGTTTATTGTCATATACCTATTACCTAAACACATGACATTTTTCCATTAGGTGCTTATTTAAGGATATTTTTCTCTGTTACTAAGTGTACTAAGTATATTATAAACTGAGGGTGCTTCACGCCCCAGGTTCTTCTAATGAAACTAATGAATTATTGCTTATTTGAATAAAAGCAAACGAAATTAACGAAAATTTAACATTTATTTGGCAATCTTTGTTTCGAATTTCAAAAGATTAACATTTTTTTAAATTTGTAGAGAGCTTGCTCAGGAATCTGGACTGACCCCTCTCCACCTAGCGGCGTACTCAGGAAGTGAAAACGTAGTTCGAGGACTTCTCAACTCTCCAGCTGTTCAGGTTTAATTCTCAACTCTCCAGCTGTTCAGGTTTAATTCTTAACTCTCCATCTGTTCAGGTTTAATACTCAAATCTCTAGCTGCTCAGTTTTAATTTCAACTCTCCTGCTGTTTAGGTTTAATTTTAAACTATCCTGATGTTCAGGTTTAATACTCAAATCTCCAGCTATTTAAGTTTAATTCTCAAATCTCCAGTTGTTCAGGTTTAATTTAAACTTTTCAAATATTCAGGTTTAATTTTAAACCCTCCAAATGTGCAGGTTTAATTCTCATCTCTCTAGCTATTCAGGTTTAATTCTCAACTCTCCAACTGTTCAGGTTTATTTCTCAACTCTCCAGCTGTTCAGGTTTAATTCTCAACTCTCCAGCTGTACAGGTTTAATTCTCAACTCTCCAGCTGTTCAAATTAAATACTCATTTCTCAAGCTGTTCAGGTTAAATTCTCATTTCTCCAGCTGTTCAGGTTTAATTCTCAACTCTTCAGCTATTCGGGTTTATACCTCAACGCTCCAGCTGTTCAGGTTTAATTCCCAACTCTCCAGCTGTTCGGGTTAAATTCTCATTTCTCCAGATGTTCAGGTTTAATTCTCAATCTCCACCTGTTCACGGTTAATTCTCAACTCTCCAGCTGTTCAGGTTTATATCTCAACGCTCCAGCTGTTCAGGTTTAATTCTCAACTCTCCAGCTGTTCAAGTTTAATTCTCAACTCTCAAGCTGTTCAGGCTTAATTCTCAACTCTCCAGCTGTTCAAGTTTAATTCTCAATTCTCCAGCTGTTCAGGTTTAATTCTCAATTCTCCAGCTGTTCAGGTTTAATTCTCAACTCTCCAGCTGTTCAAGTTTAATTCTTTACTCTCCAATTCTACAGGTTTAATTCTTAACTCTCCAAATGTACAGGTTTAATTCTTAACTCTCCAAATGTACAGGTTTAATTCTTTACTTTCCAATTGTACACGATCTATGTTTGATTGTTAAAAGTGTCCTTCTAAAATCTTCTATCTTCAATATTGTTTTTATTTATATATTCTGTAAAATTACCAGGAATAAGATTTTAAAATCAAACCACATTGCCAAACATCTTAAAATGTTAGAAAATGCGAAAAGTGACACAGTTCAGATAACTCTGATATTCGTGTAAAAAATGAAGTAGTTTAAAAAAAAGTTTTTAAAGCATAAAACTAATTCTTTTATTTTTTCCACTTTAGAGAGGAATGGTAAAAGCTCATTATGTACATTGCAGTACGCTATCTATAAAAATGAATATTTTTAAAACTAACATACAGGGTTATTCTCAAAGGATGAGACTTCAAAGACGACTCCATTTATTTAGGCTTTTCTCTTACATTACTTGTTTGTCAAACCATTAAGAAAATAATAAACATTTTGGTCGTCATTAAAGTCTTATTCTCGTGAAAACTATGTGTACATAATACATTTATTCTCGTGAAAACTATGTGTACTTAATACATTTATTCTCGTGAACACTAATTCCTGAGCATTAGAAACAGTAGATATTGAAAACAGACTTGAATCTTGTATACTGTCTAAGGATCAAAATTACTGTAGAAGTCTTCCTGAACAGTTTTATTTTTGAAAAAAACTTATTTAAAGCATACATTTTTTCTAATTTTAAGCATATATTTTTTTGCACAATGAAGGCCTAACAAGGAAATTTTACAATAATATTTTCCTAAAATAATATTTAACAATAGCAGAAGTTCCGCATGCTTTACTATCTTTGAAGAAGTTTTTCAAAGCTTTGAACAATGCTAGAGCATCAAATGGTAACTTGATTAGAATAATAATGTTACAAAATAAATTAATTAAACTTAAATGTTTAATTCTAAATATTAAATTTAAATTTGGTTAATTTTCCCATATTTATGATAGATATTAGCTTTGCCAGCAAAAAAATCTGAAACGTTTTAAACAGAGTGTTTGACCGATTACGTACACAAGTCTTGAATTTCTTGATCAAAACGACTATACCCATATACACATTGTACATATCCACATTGTACATACAAATGCTTGGTGACATTCCAAAATACAAAGACAGATTGATAAATTTGATAATTTCTTATATTTTTTAAAGCATTTTTTTAACAAAAAAATGGCTCTATGATAAACTAAACTATGAGTTTGTCCAAACTATAGAAGAAACCTCTTTTTTAATAAAAGATGAATAATTTAATTTTCTTTACCTAGGTGGATTCAGGCAGTAACCCTAGCGGATATATTCCTCTGCATTTGGCCTGTCTAACAGGTATATTGAGAAACAAACATAAAACTTGTTAAATCATTTCAAACTTTTTTTAATAACTTTTTTAATATGCACCTAAACCTAGTAAAATGTATATGTATCTTCTTCTTTGTTCATTTTAAATGTGTTCATGTGGTCCATGTACTGTGCACTGTACTGTCTTGTATTGTAATGTACATTGCTTATTAAACGGTTGAGAATATCTATTTCTAATTCTCTAAACTGAAGGACATGTTGGTGTGGTTGGCCTTTTACTCTCCCGATCTACTGAACTACTAAAGGTTAGAATTAATGATAGAAATAATAAGAAATAAATTCATAATTCTAACAATGATCATGATATAAGAAACAATGAAAACATAAACTTATAGGTGACTGATAATGCGGGAAAGACCTGTCTCCACGTGGCAGCTGCATCTGGACACTACGATATGGTTCAGGAAAAAATTCAAAATGGCGTCTAAGAGTTTATAATCGCGTCAATTAAACAGTTTAAAATTTGCCGTATTAGATCTAAAAAAACGCCTAAATCAATTTAAATGCGAATGCTTAACAAAATGTCGTTAAAATCACCGTTACTAGTTTAACTAGCGTCTTAAAACAAGCTTAACCAGTTTAACTAGCGTCTTAAACAAGCTTAACCAGTTTAACTGGTGTCTTAAACAAGCTTATAACCAGTTTAACTGGTGTCTTAAACAAGCTTAACCAGTTTAACTAGCGTCTTAAAACAAGCTTAACCAGTTTAACTAACGTCTTTAAACAAGCTTAACCAGTTTAACTGGTGTCTTAAACAAGCTTAACCAGTTTAACTGGTGTCTTAAACAAGCTTAATCAGTTTAACTAGCGTCTTACAACAAGCTTAACCAGTTTAACTGGTGTCTAAATCAATTAAAATTGTTGTCTGTTAATAATTTTGCAATTTTGAAGTTAAAAAAAACTGTTAACATCTTTCCTATTAATGATGATTTGCCTTGACTTTGAATTGAAAAAGGTTCTGATTGGGCAAGGGGCAGATCTAACTGTCGCTGACAAGGTAAAAGTTTTTTTTAAAATGTTTTATTTTTCTTTAAAAAAACATTTATTTGATGTTTAGGAGGGTTGGACTGCACTCCATTATGCAGCTCAAGCTGGATACCTGGAGGTAAACACATTCCTTAATATACTGTGTGACCCATGAAACTCTCGAGTAGGAAAACAACAAGACTCAAGTTATGATTTTAAAAAGTCAAAGGAACATGAACAGCAATTAGACCCATTTTACTTAACCAGTGGATTTTCTATCTACTGGTAAAACTGGTATCTTTATGACAACTTCAAATATATAGAGGATTGATTAAATTTGGTCTTCCTAATCTTTACTTTTAAATTTTGAATCAGTTAAATAATATGTATATGTCTAGGTTGCTAAACTGTTGGTAGAAAGCGGATCAAACTCTGAGGATAAAACTAAGGTTAAGTCCGAAAATTTTAGTGATGTAGAGAATCAAATTTAATCATCAGGAGAAAAATTTATAGTTTTTTGAACAGTTCTTTGGCTTGCATTTCTTTAAAACATTTTAAAAATTCTGAAATCACATTGTAGGTCTAATATGATACATAAAGAAGACTGAGTAAAGAGCAGAAATTAATTGTTATAATAGATTCTGAAAAATCTTAGGCAGATCTGAGGATTAATTTAATTTCTTTTCGGTATCCCGTGGTTATACCCTGCAGAGACACCTTTAATTGAGGGATCAGGCATTTATCCTCAAATTTAATGCCCAGGATATCGAGATCAATCGTTTAAGATTAAAAATATACACACAAAAGTTTCGATCTCACGAGTGCACAATGCTTTTATTAAAGTATTATCGAAATAGATTTAGTGATTCTTTTAGAATGGACGAATAGCTCTGTGGTATGCCGCAAGCGAGGGCCATACTGGTGTTCTTTACTTTCTCATCAAAGAGAAACATGATAGTTACAACTTACTAGAGGATAGAAGGGTAAATATGATTGTTACAACTTACTAGAGGATAGAAGGGTAAATATGATACTTACAACTTACGAGAGGATAGAAGGCTAAATATGATAGTTACAACTGTCTATAGGATAGAAGGGTAAATATGATACTTACAACTTACGAGAGGATAGAAGGGTTATTAAAATATTTACAACATATTTACATTAAAATGGTATTAAAATCTTGCAAGTTATTTTGCTATTTGACATTTAAGTACTCTGTAGTCTGAATACAATACAGCAAATTACATAATTTTAGATTAATTTCTATAATTTCTTTTATTCTTACATTTACCAAGACATTAAAGGATCATGAAGACATAATTTCATGTTAACCTCATTTATTGAGTGCCTTATACGATTCACAACGGTATCTTTTAATCCTTATCTAAGTAACAATAAGGAACTGATTGAGTTCTGTTTCTTGAAGATTTTGAAATTATGATAATATCTAATAAAAGAGAATAACTATTTATAACACTGTTGTTTTGGTTCGTAGTGTTATAAAGATTTTGGACAGAAATTTTCTCTTTATCGAGAAGGTTCTAGCCTTTTTAAAGCTCGGGACAAAATATAATCTGAAAGGCGAGAACCTTCGAGATATGGAGAAAATTTAAGTCCAAAAGTCGTGCCAAAATAATAGTGTTATAGGTGATTTTATGAAACGTTTGTGTACTTGTCTTATTTCAATGGCTATTTCTAGATCAAATAAGCTTTGAAAAAAAGCAGAAGTTAAAACATAAAGTCCATTTTATTTTCATTTCAATTAAAAACATCTTTTGGAAGTATCCTAAATTTTTTGGAGAAAATCCGGGAATCAATTATAACATAGCACACGTGCTATAATGTACAGCTATCATTATAGCGCACGAGCTATAATGTACAGCTAACATTATAGCACAATGATTACTTTATAGCATGTTCATTATGAAATTCCTGATGAAGTGAGGAAGAATGATAAAGTATGAATTTTATGATTTCTTAGTTTTCATTGCTCTGACAAAGGTTCAAATGCCTTTTTGAATTGGATCTGAAAATGGAGAGTTCCTTGATTACGTTTACATTATTTTAGTTTATCTTTAACCTGATGGCGTGTGGGAAGGGGAGCGCCAACAAGCCGATCGAGGACTTCATCACGCACTCCCCGGCCCCCGTGGATCTAGCAGCGAAGATGTCACAGATTTATCACGAGCTGTCCTTCAAGGTTTTCAACTTGACTTTAAAAAACTTATTAAACAAACTCAACGATGTCTCTGAACTAAACTTTTAAAACACAATTCTTCTATAATTTGAAATAAATTAAACATTAAACTTTTTGGCTTTTAAATTAAGTATGAAAGAATATTTTAACCCAATTTGATAGTTTTTTTAATTAAACTAGCTGAAGTGTCCGACGTTGCCCGTGAAATAAAAAACGTCAAAAAATAGATTTAATAAAATAGAATTTTGAAAAAAACTTTGGTTTTCTAAAAAAAAGTGTCGATTTTTATAAAGCCTATATGTTATTGTTACCCCTTGGGTACTCATTACTCATGGAAATTCACTCAAAAGATTTCAGCCAACTTTGTCCAGCCGTTTGGCCAGCTATAGCTAACATACAAAATAAATATACATGTATATATGAGCGAAGAGCTTTATTATATAGATTACAGACTGAAAATAATCATAAAATCCACGAAATTTACAGAAATTCAAAATCTGTGCCTTTGGACATCTTTTAGACATAATATTCACTAAGTTGTATTATTCCTAACTCTAAAATTTGAGATACAACAGGGTTACCCACAAAGGATGAAACTTCAAAGACGACTGTACAGAATTCATTCAGTCGTGTTTCTTTCACTCAGGGTTCCTTGTAGCATTACATTTTTTCTTTCTTTTCCAAAACCATTCCTTAAATTTTATTGATATTTCAGGAGAAAGAGCGAGCCAAGGATTTGGATCAAGCATCACAGTATTGTGAAAATCTTTGCAATGATTTTGTTTCAATTGCTTCAAGCAGTGAGTCTGCAGGTAAACTTTAAACATTAAAAAACTTCCTCCTTTCTAAACTAAAAAATTAAATTTTGTTTTCATAAATTATTAACCCTTTGTTATGTTTTAAACTGCTAAAACTAAAAAATACCAACTAATGCTAATTTACTTTTATCATTTAATATAAATATTTAAGATCTAAATTGGATTGATTCTTTATTGGGTGAGCTATTCACAACTCCAAGGGATGTTGCGTTATTACGGAGAAATTTTTGACAAACGATTTTTGAACTTTCTCTTTGAGATAATGGAACATCCCACTATAATCCTGTACATAGGACTTGATAGTAGCCTCTTGTAGTTAATCTAGTGTATACCCTAGTATACAATAAACATTATTTTTAAGCTTCCTGAACATTTTTACACATTTACACAGCTGCCTACCCTCGCCTTACTATTTAGTGGATAACAATGTAGACGGAGGAGCCGGAAATGTTGAAATAGTTGGTAAACGTGAAAAGACGACATATTTTCTATCCGCCATTTTGTTGCCTGCTTTCTTTTTTCTTCTCTCTCTCTTTACAAGGGTGACACGAAATCCAAGACTTGAAACTTCGTGTTGTTCTTTTTTAAATCTGAATTTTGTCCTGTCTCAAAAGACGAGTATTTAATTTGTAAATATAAAATTTAGGGGTTGAATTATTTTAGATATAAGTTTTTAGGAAAACTGTAAAATATTTTTTTCATTATTTAGGTCAATCTGAAAGCAAAGCTAAAATATATATTTTTCAAAAACTTTCTTAGAAATGTAAAGCTTTCTGACAAAAAACTTCCTGTATTGTCTTTTATTTAATTTTGTGATGTACTTTTTTCGTGTGTGTTTCTCTTCAATTTCTAGGGCATTCTAGATATGTGACATATATTTAATATGTCAACTGCAAACGAAGCAGTGGAAGCAGTGTTGATTTAGAAACTTTTCAGTGTTTAGGCATTTAATTTGTGAGTAAATTAAAAACATAATTAAACTTTAACAGTTTATTGTGAGGGATGACATATGAATTGAAATGAATAAAAGACGATAACAAGTTTTTTTTCATATTTTAATTTCTTTAAATTTCTCGTCAATCAGTAAGTGCAACAGTGTGAACAAAATCTATTGCGTATTTTGAATACAATGAGACTCATTAATCTGTGGTTTATGAAGACGACATCTTTTAATAAAAAAAAGGGTCTGTGTTTAGCACAGAACACTGCAAATTTCCGTGTTGAATGTTCATTGGACTATTCAACATCATAACGTGAGTCTTAAAAGTCGTCTGCCTGCAGTGAGAATCAGAAAAATCTGTAATATAAAGACGACTGTAGATTCAAGCTATTACTTTTATTCGTTCAATATACACGAGACACAGCAGTAGTGTAGTGTTTTCAGACTATTACACTTTATAATTGATTTTTAAGCTATGACAGTAATCTTTTTTACTTCGTTAGAGCATTAAATTCACTTTGAAAGTTGCTTCAATGTCGTCTTCCAATTCCATAGTTTAAAGGGTACCTTTACAAATAAAATTTTTAAAAAAAAGTTATCAAGAAAGAGATTTTATTAGAGCTGTATAATGGGTTTATAAAAAATGCTTTTATACATTTTTAACAGCCGCGTTTAAAATTCGAATGAATTCATAATGTTATCATATTTTCTTGTAATATGTCATTTTAACATTTTAGTCAGTTTAGACCAGATTTGTTTAGTTTAGAAGTATTTAGAAATTTTTAACAGTTACAGTTATATCCTGTCTTATTTTGTATGTACAATTAAAGTCTTAATTATGTCGCGCCATGCGCGCCGCGTCGGGAAAACTTTTCCTTTGTGTTGAAACTCAAATCCGACAATTCAATTTAAAGTTTGACAACGTGCAAAACAAACAAACTATTAAAAAGTTTAAATATGTTTACATTTTTGGCGCCATGAACTTTGTAAATATGTAAATATTATGTATAATTAATAAGTATGGAATTCCAGTCAAGGTATTGTATAATTTGCTCTATTTTTGCATAAATGACGAGTTTGGTCATTTTTCAGACGATTTTTTCTATTTATTGTAGTTAAGTTCAGTTCGAAATTTTAGTCGCTATTTAAAAAAGGTTAATAGGTGCCAACATTCGGATTTTATTACTTGGTAACAATATAACTGCAACTACATAAACATTTTTTAAAACAGATTTTAAACTTTCGAATTGAACCTTTTCTTCATTATAGTAGTTAAATAAGAGTGAACATTTTCCTAATCATCGAATAACAACAATTTCACAAAAAATTAATAAAATGCAATACAGTTTGTATCAAACTCAAAATTCTACCCTTCTAATATTCTGAATTTAAAGCAAATGTTGTTCTGAACATTTTTGAGTTAGTTATTACGCGTAATTGGTCCCTATAACCCATTAAATTTGTTAAAAAATTGTCAACTTTTCTGTAGTAAAAATCAATAAATAGGAAAATATTCACTTTGACCTTTTTTTTGACAAGCCAAGTATAATGATACTTACATATTTACCAAGGAATAAACTACTTTGTTTTAAAGAATAAAGTGTACTGCAACTTTTGGGCGGAATGTAAACAAACTCAGTGCTGCTCCAGGCTGAGCGTTCATGTTTATATTTCTCCCAGAAACTGCAGTACATTATTTGTAAACACAGCTATTGGTATTTCTAGATCCGAAGAATAAAAAGAAATTGTTTAACGAAGCTCCAGAGTTTTCTCCTTGGGGTATTTTCATTTGTGCAGATTTACATTAAGAAATTAAAAGAGAATATAAAACTAACCTTGACAATTATTTTATATCCACAAATTGTTTTACTCCATTTGTGAAACCCAGTTTCCGAAACTGTGTTTCATGAAGATACCTTGTCTTAAGTTTTGGTTTCTAGTTTATTCCTTGATCTTAATTTTCTAAATGTAAAGAACACACATCATTATACTTGGTACATAAATATCCGCTGTCGGCAGTACATAAACCCTGTTGTACTGTTTAGGTAAACTGCTCCAAGCTACGGATAGAAGAAAAGTACCGTTCCTTGATGTTTTGATAGAGTGCGATCAGAAAACCGTAGTCTCCAACGCAGCGGTAATATTTTAGCTATAGATTATTTCAATTTATAGAGAGGCATGTCCGATTCAGTACGGTACCTTTAAATCTTTGTCCGGACTAGGGTGAGGAAGATATCCTCGTCTAGCCGAAGATTGAGTGCAGGGAAGGTTAGGGGTTACATTGTACACTCTTCTATTGGTACTTAATTTTCCCGCCATATAGATAAGAATATCTACGAAATCCTTGAAGAATCAAAGGTTTAAATAGTATCGTTGTAAATTTTACATGCCCCTCTCTTCATGGAAGGTCACTTGAGATTACGAGTACATTTTTTTAAGATTAATGGAATCTTCGTCAAAAGAAAACTAATTGCGTCAAGAGACAAGATGAGATGAAAATTTAACCTTTATCCATGACGCATGAGTCACACTGACCAAACATTTTCAATTTCTAGTTAAAAATGAGTTAAATCCCGTCCATTTTCTTCCTTGTTTTTCTGTCATGAATTAGCAAATCATTTTAGTAGAGAAATTATTCCATTTTTAGATTAAAAACAAGAATAACTCTTTATTCACTTTTTAGACCGCAAGAATCCAACTCAATAAAAAAAATAAAAATAAGCGTCTTATCTTTTTTAGACCTTTATCAATTTGTATGATTTTATTTTTTCAAGAAACGAAGGACAAAAAATACAATTATGTAAAAATTAGGTTTGTAGATTTTTTCCAAAAAGGAGTCCTAATAGTTTTTTTTTAAACTAAATGTGAGAACCAGAAAACTGTCTAATTATAGGAAGGCAACATTAAAATAATATTTAAGAGCAAAAGTGTGACCGCAGTAGATTAGAAAGTACAAATTAAATGACCTTGTTTGTGTACACTACACTGCATGCCTATTTAAGATCATAAATTCAGGCAAAAAGTCGTCTTCCTATTCCACAGTATTCTGTTTCTCATGATGTATGATGTTTAGGTTCAGTCCTACCTGAACGAGCTTTGGCGAGGTGGTTTGACCTGGGTGGGTAGCGGAGTGAAGATGATCCTGCTTGTCTCCTTGATGTTCTTCTGTCCCCCTGTCTGGATATTTTTCTCTCTACCAATAGATATCAAGTAAACAATATTAACACTGTAGAATAGGAAGACGACATTTTATAAATCTTATTGTATTTGATGTTGTTATAAAGCAAGCACTTTTATACAGCTTGAAACACTACTTAGCAATGTGAAATATGTCAGTGGTCAGTTACTTACTATAAGTGTACAGTGTACACTATTAGGACTGGGCGTCGTTCTCAGAGAACGATCGTTCTTTCACGGGAAACAAACGGAATTATCAAGAACGATATGCCATTGTTCCGGAAAAAAGAACGGTCTGGAATCGTTCTATAAGGAACGTGTTATTAGTTTTAATTTATCTGTATGATTGTAAATATTGTTTGTTTGGTGGGGTTGGCCGATGACCGTCCGTGTTACCTCCCTTTATCCCCTCCCTCTCCCTAACTCAGTCCCCCCCCCCTACAATCCTCAGAAACCCGCTCCTCGGAACCGTTCTCGATCAAGAACAAAAAAAGGAACGGGGATAGAACAATTGGAATAACAACAAACGATCTAGCGGAAGGCCATCGAACGAGGAACTAACGTATTAAAAAAAAACAGAAACACGGCCAGTCCTTTACACGGTACACATTGCGGTCTGTGATGTATGATTTTTGAACTATTAAAAATCATAACTTGAGACTAACAGTCGTCTTCCAAATCCACAGTTTTAGGGGTCACACTTTAGCATTGGGAAATCATTTTGTTTGAACTTATCATTTTAGTTTAAAGTCTAGGTTCAAAGAAATCCCATTTTTTGATAAGCTGTTAAAAATAAAAATAAGTTTTGCATTTTCTACAAAACCGCGCAAGTAATTGCAAACAAAAAAATTATTTAGGGTAAACAAGGTTCCGTTTATAAAGTTTTTGTGCCGTTGTGTTTCCCATGCTTACTGGATGCTGCTTATCATAATTACAGGTAAAACATTGTTTTGTTGAAAATCTAAATTTAAAAAATCCAATGAAGTATCTTACATTATTTTCTTTTAAACGAACTTGAAAACAAAATTTTGACAATTTAGAAATTTTAGAAAAATTACAAAAAAATTTTAATAATAATTTTAAAAAAAGCTAATTTTTTGTTTAGCCTGTATTCCTATTGATTCAATTCAAGAACGGAAATCTCTAATACCAACTTGGTATGAGTGGTTTACTCTAGGTTAGTAACAAAACATCATCCTATGTGAGTTTATGAGTGGTTTACTCTAGGTTAGTAACAACACATCATCCTATGTAAGTTAATTGAGTGGTCTACTCTAGGTTAGAAACAAAACATCATCCTATGTAAGTTTATGAGTGGTTTACTCTAGGTTAGTAACAAAACATCATCCTATGTGAGTTAATTGAGTGGTCTACTCTAGGTTAGTAACAAAACATCATTCTATGTGAGTTTATGAGTGGTATACTCTAGGTTAGAAACAAAACATCATCCTATGTAAGTTTATGAGTGGTTTACTCTAGGTTAGAAACAAAACATCATCCTATGTGAGTTTATGAGTGGTTTACTCTAGGTTAGAAACAAAACATCATCCTATGTGAGTTTATAAGTGGTTTACTCTAGGTTAGAAACAAAACATCATCCTATGTAAGTTTATGAGTGGTTTACTCTAGGTTAGTAACAAAACATCATCCTATGTGAGTTTATGAGTGGCTTACTCTAGGTTCATCCTATGTAAGTTTATGAGTGGTTTACTCTAGGTTAGTAACAAAACATCATCCTATGTGAGTTAATTGAGTGGTTTATTCTAGGTTAGTAACAAAACATCATCCTATGTGAGTTAATTGAGTGGTCTACTCTAGGTTAGTAACAAAACATCATCCTATGTGAGTTTATGAGTGGTATACTCTAGGTTAGTAATAAAACATCATCCTATGTGAGTTCATTTCAGGATTTGTGTTTCCATTCCGCACAACATTTATAAAACTTGGAAAAGATTTTTCAGAAACCGACTTTAATGGAATTCCTACGCCGAAGTTAATAAAATAGTTCAACTAGTCACGTATAGTTACCGAGTGCAGTAAAAAAAGTAAATTGTTCAGTTGTTTCTCGTTAATTATTAAATCCGACTTCATAATTTCGTGTATATAAAGAAAGTAAAAAGTGAAGCAGGAAAATTTCTGATTAAAAAATTTTCTGTGATGTAAAATTCCTAATTATTAATACAGAAAATTTTATTTAGTTTGGTTATCCGGTCTATTGCTGGCAGAGCTAACCTCTATGGGTGAATCAAGAGCTAGCTTAGCAAAGATAAGGTAAACTAACATTATACAGTCGTATATATCAATACAGTGAAGACGACTTCCTATTTCTATTTTATTTTTATACCAATCTTTCAAACAAAAACATTATTAATAAAAAGTCGTCTTTGTTGGATAAATATAAACGCCGAACCCTGTAACTAAATGGAATATTATATTTTGTTATGTTGGAATATTGATTTTTATTCATTTTTTTATACTTTTTGACTCACTTACTGCTTTAGAAACTTATCAGTTTCCATTTCTATAAAATCACCAATGAAAATGCAATCAACTTGGGATAGTTTACAGCTAAACATAAACCATTTTATGCATGCAAATAAATCATTCAATTCCACCTTCATTCTCAAATATAAATTTTTAGGAAAACTCATTTTTCGGAGATAGATATATTTTCAATGTACAGAATTTGTTTAGAAAAAATTTCCATAGACAGCTCTATAGTTTAATATAGGAGAGAGCCACCCTTTTTGCTTGAGACTTTGAGATTTGAAAAAATAATTTTGATGGCAAATTTTAAAACAGAATTTCCTTTTTAAGGACGGTTTACATGGGCAGTCCATTTATTCTAACTAGAAAATATGTAGACAGTCCCTTTATTGTTACTAGAAAATACGTGAACAGTCCCTTTATTGTTACTAGAAAATACGTAAACAGTCCATTTATTGTTACTAGAAAATACGTGAAATGTCCATTTATAGTTACTAGAAAATATAGTGTTACTGGAAAATACGTGAACAGTCCATTTATTGTTACTGGAAAATACGTGAAAATTACTAGAAAATACGTACGGTTTCCATATTTTTGAGTAGAATCAGGTTTTCAGAGTACTGTTGTATATCGGGCATTGTCAATCGTGCATGAAGGGTTACTTGAAATTACGCTTACACTCCCTTGAATGAATATTGAGTATGCCTGTATTTAGGCCTGTAATGGTATTCCTGGGTGTAGTCTCTGTAGGGATTCATCTTATTCTCTTTTTCCTTGATCCTGCTTACTACAACGTTATGCTGTTCATCAGGTAAAGTTCTCGTGTTTATTGAGTCTCCCTTTATGTATGCTTTGGATCCTTGATCCGTTGGATCCGCAATATCTTCGCTTCCTGGATCCGGATCTAAGGGGCTATTATCACCCAACACATGTTAAAGAAACAAATTTTATTTTTTAAAAATAATTAAATCTTGAAGAAAAATGTTGAAAACGTAGATTCGAATCTTTCATGAAATGAAATGAATCCTAAGCACTGCGGCTTGAGTTTGAGGAAAGCGATCAATTCATTTGCATTTACTACATAAACTTAACCTCTAGCTTAGCATATTGTTCTGATCAACCTACTGATTGACCTGTTTAATTTTTATTGAAGTTTCTTTTTGTTTAGAAATCAGTTTTTGGCATTTGCTTTCCTGATTTCCTGTGTCCTGGTCCTGGATTTCCTGTCCTTTCATTATCTTTTCGGACCATGGGCTATCATCATTTCAAGGTAAATTATTTTCATATTTTAATACCAGGGTTTTAATGTCAGGATCGCTATTTGTACTGTCTACTATTTATATTCACCTGAAAACATTTAAATATTTACACAGATCAATAATAATTCATAATTAAAGAATTCGCAGAATTTTCTGGGTTTTTTTTCTTAAAGGATTTCTTTTAAAAATTTAACATCTGAATTTTATTAATAAAACTTGGATTCATCTAATTCAAAGACAACAAATAAACTGAATGATTCCCTAAAACTTAATTCTCGTATATTTTCAACCTGAATTTTATTTCAAAGGTTAGATTGAAATCAGTTTGCAAAGAAAAAGGGATCAGAAAATTGGAGTTTTTTTTTCAGAAATTTTGAATATTTCTCCGGGAGAAATGTTCAAAGTTCGAAATTTTTTTCCCCAAAGAGTTTTTTTAAAATTTTATGGTCAACTCTGGGCAGTTTAAAATTTGTTTTCTTCGGAGGCCGAATTTAGAGAATTTAAGCCACGACCTAAATTTGAGACGCGGCTTAAATATGGTTGGTTCCACAAGTTTGTATTTAATGTTCCAAGATTTAAGTCGGCGCTCCATTAAAACCGGTTCTTGGCAGATTAAAAACGCGGCTCACATTCATTAAATTCTGACTCAGTATCCCATTAAAAAAAACTGTGTTTTTAGCTTGATTGTTGATCTGGCGAAGTTTATGACGGTGTTGAGCTTGTTCTTAATCGGGTTCACCATGCTCATCACAGCACTCAACACACCTTTCTACTCACTTACAGATGTAAGTACATCAGTAAAGGGACTAAACTGACCTCATGGCTAATTAAAAAACGGCATTTCTGATTCACAACGATTATACTCTTTCAATATATCGATGCTGTTGAACGTATTGTAGTTTATTTAGCTTGAAAAGTGTAAAATTCTGACAATTTCTGACAAATGTAGGTTCGATCAGTCTGCAGCGTTCTGTGTGTTTACATTCCTCCCAAAACTGCAGTATGCTTCAATTCCTTTGGTCGAGTTTATTTTGGTCATTTTTGATAGATCGGTACTGTCGTCGTTTCATATAATTTCTTCTAATATTTTGTTGTTGTAAAGGCTGAAGAAGACGTAGAAGAAGTCTCTGCTGGGACTGCTAGCTCTGATGTCAAGGAATTCACAGGTTAACATCACATTTTTAAATTCAGAAAATAATTTAAATCGAAAAAATAATATCTAAAAGATATCTATCCGCTGACTTAATGACCATTTTTTTCATTTTTCTCAGCAGCAATAATAATAATAATAATAATAATAATAAAATGTATGGCATTTAAAAAACTTTTATTTAAAAATTTACTATAAATATCACGCTTGCAAAGTAATGCTTTCCTCACTATATAAAACTTAGCATATATATATGTCAGCATCTACATTCTTCAGCTTAAATAGTAATCTTTGTTTAGATAACACATTTTTTGAAATAGAATGAAATAAAAGCAGTTACTTATGATTTTTAATAAAATAACTTTTTTAGGAAAAGCACATAATCATGTAAATAATCACGCTGATAAAATAATGCTTTGAAAATGCTTTTAAAAAATGTTAAAAAATGCGTATTTGATTTTTATTTATTTCAGGAGTTTTTTAATACAAATTGGTCCAATTCTAGTCGTTAAAGCCAACATTTATTCTAATTTTTTTTGTTATTTTTTAGTTAAATTGCATCTCAGTTTTCTTTAAAAAACTGTAAACGTAATTTCAATTTGACTCCAGATATACAGAATGTCTTGTCTGATTCACAACAGTACCTTTAAAAGCTTTGTCAAGAATCCATTAGATACTTTTTATCTTCTCTTTGGAAATTGAATAAAATACCATCTCCTTTACTTTTTTCACATGATTATTTTCAATTGTGGTTTTGACTTAAGCATTTCTGCTTCTGAAACTTTGAAGGAAATTATTAGAAATAAACAATCTCAAGCTAGAAAACCGACAATATCTTCCACATTATCTGATCAGATAAAGGTTTTAAGGATAATATTGTGGGTCGGGCATTTCTACTTTAAATGGAAAGTTTTAAAACTAAACATCTGTTAATTTGATTGAAATTAATTTCTACCAGGGTTTAAAGGTGGTCGTAGGGGCGGCCTGGAGTATGGACCGGAGATAGAGTTTGGTGGGTTTAAACTGTGTGATCTTGTTTTTAGAGTTGACAGGGATTTATATTTTCCAGAGACCTAACCCCTTCCTACCCTCCCCCCTCTCCCACTCAATCATGTCGTCTTTTTATACAGTGTGTCCCACTAAACGATACAATTTAAAGACGACCATTTGAAGTTATAAAACAGGTAAAGTGCCCTTGAAAACAGCAAACAGATCTCTTTATCTTACACGAGACTAGCACAGCTAAAGAATTATAATGTAAGCATAGTTATTTCAGAGGTGTGCGCATTTTTAGTACTGTAGACACCGCGCTGAGAGAACTGGTTTTGTACGCAGAGAATACGCACATCAATTAACTTTCCTTGCCTTATTACCTTGAGCAAAGCCCAGGTTTCAAGAGCAGCTTTATTTGCGGTATAATAATATCTAACTGAAACACTTCATATCTAACCATTTGGAGTCTTTAAACTTTCATGCTAAATGGGATACACTGGATGTTTTATATGTTTATGTAATAGGCAATTTTATGCAAACCCAGAGAATTTGAGAAAAAAATTGAAATTTTTAATTTATCAAATAGCAAAAAGGTTGGTTTTTGTGTGTAAAATATAGATTCCTGATTTTCTAGATATTCAGTGTTTAGTGAGACATGTTCTTTGATTTAGAATATTTACTCGTGAGTTTAACTGTTTTTAACTAACTGTTGACAGAGGTTTGGTTTTGTGAACCAGAATTGATGAAAACTTCAAAAGAACGATGAATCTGAGTTTTAATTGTTTAGATGATCATATTGTTTATTTTCAGTAGGAGAGCATACAGGTTGTGGTTTGTAGATCATCATTTTTATGTTTTATAAACTGCATGCCTGCATGATATTGTATGCTGCATGCCGGAATAATAAATTTCTGCATGCGATGAAGTATAAAAGGTATTCACAACAATCAGTTTTCTAACAAAGCTTGATCCCTGCATCCTGCTGTTCTTAATTTAACACATATTGGTTAAACAAATATTCATGGTGTAAAGAAACTGTTCTTGAAATTAAATAGAGTTTAGGCTTACTCCTAATTTTACTTTAATAAATTATAATTTTGATTAGTCCAATAAACATGAAACACAGCAACGGAGCAGAGTACTGTACAGTGTACACGGACCTATTTAATTTTTTTTGTTTAGGCTACACTGTTAAAACTATTTCCTTTATAAAACATCAAAGCTACGACCTAAATGTCGTATTCCTATCCAACAGTGTTTGGGTTTCCCTGTAAACATATTAAATTAATTTTAACACAAATCAATGCCACCGACCCAAATAAATAGATTTATAATTTAAACTTTTAATTTGTTTTAAATATCATGACATCAGTTAAACATTTTCGATATTATTTCGCTTCACATTGTACTTGATAATGCAAATTTAATACATGCAAAACATTATGACAGAAAACTTATGTAAAAATTAGATATCATTATTATCGGTTATATAATAAAGACAGTGTGGTAACAGTTCGCCCAATCATGTTTCACCCAAGCATGTTTCACCCAAAATGTTTCACCCAATAACGTTTCACCCAATATAACGTTTCACCCAATTCACGTTTCACCCAAATTACATTTCACCCAACTCGTGTTTCGGCCAAACAACACTTACTAGAGAGTTTCACAAACAAATTAAAAATAAATTTCTTGCCAAGTTTATTTTGAATTTTTACAAATTTTATCTTTAAATTTATATAAGTTGTATACATAAGGACACAGTTGATATTCTATTCTTGAACTATTCAAGTTAGGCATCCTCTAGCGGAGTCAAAACATGAACTCCTTGATGAAGTTAGGATTGCAGGTTTGAAGTGCAACCTTAAGATTTGCCATCCGGGCTGGCTGACGTTCAGTTATAGATCGGTTTGGGTTGGCACGCCTGACTGTAACCAGCTCTTGTAGCTTGGTCCTGGCCAAGATATCCTCCGTTTTCAACATTTATGTAATTAGCTACATGTAACTGCGCCGCCATGTTGAGCGATCAAAAGTGATTTGCAGATTTTGAGCACACAGGTTGGGGATTTACAACAATATGCATTAATATATTTGACTAACTCGGGAACCCAGCTTTGTTTGTATATATGAGTTTATAATTTTTTAACCAATCTCAGAAGATTCCCATGATTCTCCTGATTTCCCCGTTCAAAATTTGTGGCAAATCGGCCCAAGGGTTTATGATTTATGATCGGAAATTGGTCAATAAATTCATGAATGTATGTTAGAGGAATACACAAAAAATTGGGTGCAACAAGTAGGTGTAATTTGGGCGAAACATGAGTTGGGTGAATCGTAATTTGGGTGAAACGTAGTATTGGGTGAAACTGTTATTGGGTGAAATGTGATTGGGTGAAACGTGTTTGGGCGAACTGTTACTACACAGTAAATGCCGATCTATACAGACTCTTATAAGCTTTACATGCTTTTTTTTTAGAAATTAAGTAAGTATTTATGAGTTTGAAAATGCAAATTTGAAAATTTATTGTTTAATTTTGAAGGCTAAATTTAAGAATTTTTGTTATTGCATGAATTTACATTAAAATAGTATCAATTTTAACCATTTGAACCATATTTTATAAACTAAAATTTATATGTATTTTAATATTTTCACAAAAGCAGGCACTATTAGCTCTAACTTAATAGATATATTACCAACAATGAAATTAGTTTTTGTTTTGTTTTAATATTAATTCTTATTTATAATTTAGGAGCAAGAATGCCTTTGGAGGCATTCTTACAGCTTTTCCAGTCAATCTTTGGACTTGGAACGTAAGTTTATTATCACATTCCTCATTCTGTAAATTTTGTAAGTTTATTATCACATTCTTGATTCTGTAAATTTTGTAAGTTTATTATCAACCTTTTCGTTAAAAAAGAGTAAAGTTCTGTCCAAAAACTTTATAGCACGCGAACCAAAATAACAGTGTTATAAATAGTTATTCTGACATCCCAAACATTATGAAAAACAAACACTATGTTCATATTATGCAAACAAATTGTTTCAAAAACTCAATCAATTCCTTTCATTTAAATTAAAAAGCTTGTTTTCCTAAGATGGCGTCAGACAATGATGACTCCTAAAAACCCTGAATGGACGAGTTGGTTGTTCCAGGTAAACTCTCGAGAAACATAATTTCTTTGACTTGTTTAAGCTAGATATATTAAATTATGGAGCTTTATTTAAAGTGCCCGGAAATGCCAGTGGAATAAAAAAAAATGAATTTCGAAAAAACATTTTCGCTACAATTTGGTCCAGGCGTTTTGACAGGTATAGCTAAATATATATATACAAATATATATGTTATCCATATAATCTATAAAAATATATAATATTGATATTTTCAATATCGTACTGTCTAGGCTGTGTAAATGTTGTACATGACGGTAACTACTATAGTTCTGATCAATCTACTGATAGTTTCACTATTGTACTGTCTAGGCTGTGTACATGCTGTACATGACGGTAACTACTATAGTTCTGATTAATCTACTGATAGTTTCACTATTGTTTGTACTGTCATGTACATGTTGTCTAGGCTGTGTCTAGGCTGTGTATATGTTGTACATGACAGTAACTACTATAGTTCTGATCAATCTCCTGATAGTTTCACTATTGTACTGTCTAGGCTGTGTACATGTTGTACATGACGGTAACTACTAAAGTTCTGATCAATCTACTGATAGTTTCACATTGTACTGTCTAGGCTGTGCACATGTGGTACATGACGGTAACTACTATAGTTCTGATCAATCTACTGATAGTTTCACTATTGTACTGTCTAGGCTGTGTACATGTTGTACATGACAGTAAATACTATAGTTCTGATCAATCTACTGATAGTTTCACTATTGTACTTTCTAGGCTGTGTACATGTTGTACATGACGGTAACTACAATAGTTCTGATCAACCTACTGATTGCTATGATGTCAGACACTTACCAGAGAATCCAGGTAAGATTTTTTTTAAAAATATTTAAACGTTTTTCCTTTTCATTTCTCTCTTTTTTTAGCAACAATCAGACATAGAATGGAAATTTGGACTGGCAAAACTGATCAGGTAAAGGATTTAGAATTGTTTATTCAACATATCTTTTGTTAAAGGTCAACATATCTTTTGTTAAAGGTCAACATATCTTTTGTTAAAGGTCAACACATCTTTTGTTAAAGGTCAACATATCTTTTGTTAAAGGTAATTTGAATCGATTGTTTAGCTATATAGAAACTCAAAAGTTATTTATAATAAAAAAAAGTTCATTAATACAATGATGAATGAAACAGAGAAAATCTTCACCACATGCTGGTCCTTTTTTCTAAACTTTGATTGTCGGTGGGCCCTGTTTCATTTTTTTCTTATCATTATACAACATGAAAACTTTTTATTTTCAAGTTGTTGAAATCCACGAAGAAGCACCTCTTATCGTTGAAGGAAACCCCTCTAACCCCAAAAACGGCTATATTTATAATTGTTCAGATCAATGGCTCGAACTGATTTCTCACCCTCACCCATCAACCTTGTAACAACCTGGGTTGTTTATATATCCAACATGATTAGGTTTAGTATAATAATATATATCCAACCTGATCAGGTTTAGAGTTTATATATTCAACCTGATCAGGGTTACAGTTTATATATCCAACATGACCAGGTTTAGATCGTTTATATATCCAACCTGATCAGATTTAAAACCTCTAGTCTGTATGTATCTACAACGTCATGGTTAGTGGTCATAACTGCATATGATTAGGTTTGGAACTTGTTTATTAATAAAGTCATATGCCTGTTATTGGTCCAAAAGTGAAACATTTTTAAAAAGTAAATTTTTCATTTTGTTACGTTTTTTTAAGACAAGAACAACGTGTACATGAAAGAATATTGATGAATTAATTATTAAATTAATCTTAAAGTATCATGACTTTTTGATTTCTACTTTTACTTCTACTTCTACTTCTACTTGTACTTCTACTTCTACTTCTTCTTCTACTTGTACTTGTACTTCTACCTCTACTTTTACTTCTACTTCTACTTCTACTTCTACTTCTACTTCTACTTCTACTTCTACTTCTACTTCTACTTCTACTTCTACTTCTACTTCTACTTCTACTTCTACTTCTACTTCTACTTCTACTTCTACTTCTACTTCTACTTCTACTTCTGCTTCTACTTCTACTTCTGCTTCTACTTCTACTTCTACTTCTACTTCTACTTCTACTTTTGCTTCTACTTCTACTTTTACTTCTACTTCTACATCTACTTCTACTTCTACTTCTGCTTCTACTTCTGCTTCTACTTCTACTTCTACTTCACTTCTAATTCTACTACTACTTCTAATTCTACTTTTACTTCTACTTGTAATTCTACTTCTTATTTGACTTCTACTACTACTTCTGCTTCTACTTGTACTTCTACTTGTATAGATCTGCTAAGAAGAAGAGAGTATCTCACTACTCCAAGATGAACAATGCCCCGAGTGGCCTGAATGCTTCTGGTTCATTGAAGACCAGTAAACCGGATATAAGTAAGTGGTAGTAAACCAGATATAAATAAGTGTAATTAAACCGGATATAAAAAGGTGTTAGTAAACCGGATGTAAGTGTCAGAAAACCGATTATAAGTCAGTGTTATTAAACCGGATATAAATAGGTGTTAGTAAACCGGATGTGAGTAAGTGTTAGTAAACCGGATATAAGTAAGTATTAGTACACCGGATATAAATAAGTGTTAGCAAACCGAATGTGAGTAAGTGTTAGTAAACCGGATATAAGTAAGTGTTAGTAAATCGAATATAAGTAGACGTGGTAGTAAATCGAATATAAGTAAGTGTTAGCAAACCGGATATCTAAGTGAGTGTTAGTAAACCAGATATAAGTAAGTGCTATCCATTAAATCAGATATAAGTAAGTGCTATCCAGTAAATCAGATATAAGTAAGTGCTATCCAGTAAATCAGATATAAGTAAGTGCTATCCAGTGAATAAAATATGAGTAAGTGCTGATAAAGCAAAGAAAAAAGTCCAAACCTAAAACTCAATGTTTAATGTTGAGTTGAACCTTCGCATAACAATTAGTAAATCATGAAAAGGAATCATGGGTCTTGGCTACAAACTCAGAATTTCTCAATCCTATATCTTGCAACCTAATTTCGTATTCCTTAGATATTTAAAACTCTGTTAGACTACCCAATCCGGTTTCAATGTTATAAGAATTTGAAAATTTGAGTTTGCAGCAAAAACTCGATTTATTTTAACAGATTTTTTTAAAGGAGGGATTTCAAGCATTTCTAAAAATAGTTGAATGAACGATCTTAAAGTATCTACATTTGGACGACCAATAGAACTGTGGAATACGAAGACGACTGTTAGACTAAGGTTATGATTTTGAATAGTCCAATGAACATCAAGCACAACATTGTGTACTGTTAAGTCTATAACAGGATCCATTTTATATTATAGGTTTATTTTAAAGTTAATGGAGAAAATATTTGTATAACATCGTCATCTACAGTTTTATGGGTCCCACTGTACTGTATAATATATAATTTGAATTGTACAAGATGGAACAGGATTAAAGGTTCCGTCTGCTCCTGGTCCGTCCTTCGGATCTACTTCAAGTTTCAGGTAATATAAAAATTTAAAACAAACATTTTTTTTAATTTAAAGGGACTGGTCACGTTTTTAAGATTTAAAGGAAATGTACACTTTTTAAGCTCTAAGGGAAATGTGCACGTTTTCAAACTTTAAAGGGACTGGACACGTTTTAAACTTTAAAGGGAATGTACACGTTTTTAAACTTCAAAGGGACTGGACACGTCTTTAAAATTTAAAGGGACTGGACACGTTTTTAAACTTTAAAGGGACTAGACACGTCTTTAAAATTTGAAGGGACTTTACACGTTTTTAAACTTTAAAGGTACTAGACACGTCTTTAAAATTTGAAGGGACTTTACACGTTTTTAAACTTTAAAGGTACTAGACACGTCTTTAAAATTTGAAGGGACTTTACACGTTTTTAAACTTTAAAGGGACTAGACACGTCTTTAAACGAAGATATCTCCATCATTGAGATTTTGATAAAGGTTAAAAGGGCTTAACTGTTAATGGTTCATTTAACACAATTTAAACCTTTTCCAGACCTTTAAGAAATTTATTTATCTGGAACTACTTTTGTTTTCAGAGATAAGAGAATGATAGAGAACGTGTTGGACTGGAATGCTATTGTTAAGAAATATTACGCTGTCGTCAAAAATTCGAAAGAAGATTAAAGCTGAAGATATACACGACAAAGGAGTCTTTGCCACCGCTTAAATTTTCTAATCCTTATATCTTTGCTACCGGATGGTGTAAAGCTTTAAAATTTAATTTTTTTTTATCGAACAGAATTCATAGTTTGAAATGGTTCACGACACTGGGTTTTAAAGATATATGACATAGAAAATCAGAGTTTGTGGCAACGACTCAATTACTATTTTTCATTGCCCTAAATTAAGAATAAAAATGTGGCAATTTTACAACAGTATACTTTGGTGACCATGCATGAAAACATTTTAAAAAATTGTTCGTTTAAAAAGTAAATAACAGGGTTATAACATTTAAAGATTTTATTATTATTTCGTATTTACAACAAGTAATTGTAAATTCAACAAGAAAAAAGGTTTATTTTTAAAAGATCGTATTTTTCAAATAAATTCAAGAAACGTTTTTTTTCAAGTTTTATAAATAGTGTTTTCAGTAAAGTTCTACAACAAGTTTTATTCATATTAATTGTTGATACAAATTATTATATAAATCGTTTAACCAATTTAATGTTTAAAAATTATGTTCGTACCATTCAGAAAAAGAAGGCCTGAAACCTAATATTGCGTTAACCCCTGAATTTTTAGATTTATGCGTATATTTAATGTGTGTTAAAAGTTCCCTCAAAATCTAAATGTAAAATATTAGTTCAAAACTATTAAACTGTTTATACTATTTACTTACTGTATATTTATTGTGTAATATATTATAATTGTATACTGTATGTTTATGAATAGCATATATTTTAAAGTTTTGTTACCGAAATCTAGAAAACAATTCGGTAAAAAATCACATAAAACAATAATATTAAGTGAACAATTTTGATTGATATTTATCGTTGGTTTTGGACAAATCAATACTTAATAAATTAATCTTAAAAGATCCTTTTAAAAGAAAACCCTTCTTTTCGATTTTTTTTTGCTATTTTTATGAAGTCATTCTTAAAGAGACTGTAGACGTAATTTCAAGTGGCCTTTCACTAACAGATTCACAACCGCTACAGCTTGCAACAGAAACAAAGGAGAAAACTGTGAGAATTAAACAGTTTCTATGCTAGAATAACGACAATATCTACGACATTAGTGATCAGATAAAGGTTAAAATGGTATCAATGTGAATCGGGAATCTTGAATCTACAATTACAGCCCCTTTAAAACTTCAAATAATTGTCTATATAAGATTAATTAAGAAAAGTTTTATTATTAACCTGTTATATTCTTAATGTTTAAAATATCTATTTGCAGCATGATGTTTCCAATGTTTCTAAATTTATTTATCCAAAACCGTTTTTAAAATTTGATATTTGTTATAATTGAGGGCCTTATATTCTCATTTTGTTGTTTATAATCATAGATTAATAACATATACTAATAGAACACAAGATGTCGTCTTTTCAAGATTTAGGGGTATTTCGTTCACAATATCCCTGAGGCAGAAACATTCAAATAAGTTACGCGCAGTCTCTCTCTGTGTTTTGTAATTCAACGCAGCATGCGCGTAACTCCTTTGGGATTCTGCCTCAGGGTTATTGAAAGACGACATTTAATGTTCTATCTGTATTGTTAATAATCTATGTTGATAATCATCTACTTGTAGTTAAACAATTTGACAAACAAAGGAACTGATTACTCGACTCAAACTCTAATTATCTCATCCTTATAACTTTACAACCTGATGGCGTATGACATTTGACATTTGAGTTTGATAGAGTTTGAGGTGACTTGACATTAATTTAAATAGATTTAAAATGTGACTCGTCAAAAATCTTGACACGCGGGTACTAAACTGAAACATCTATATTGAGACTTGTGGCAATTCTATTAGTTTTGGACAGTTTTTACATGAGAACCTTATAGAGTGGAATCCGTGGGAATTCGAAATTGTTGAAATGTTCCACTCCTTAAGGTTTGCGTGTATTTTCTGTCTCAGAAAGTAACAAACTAATGATTAATCTGTCTTTATATATAATAGATTATCTCTGTTTCAAAGTTTATCATTTTGCATACCTCGAAATATATGTTCAATTTGATTCAATTATTATCTATACGTGGAGACTGGAGACTGAGAGTAAGGGTGATTTGTGACTTTTTTTTAAAGAAATCAGCTAACCGCACACGAGTGGTTGATGCGTTTTCACTTTAAAAGTATCTTACAATAAAATATATATTTTAAATACGTCCATACGATTGCGAATTGCAATTTGATATCAAAGAAATGCCATGAGACACAGGACGGGATAAATAAAAGGTTTATTTAATTTTGCATGAAAAACACTAATTTTGCATGGAAAACAAGCCGAATTTTGCATGTGAAACAAGTCGACTAATTTTGCATGGAAAACAAGCCGACTAATTTTGCATGGAAAACAAGCCGACTTATTTTGCATGGAAAACAAGCCGACTAATTTTGCATGAAAAACAAGTCGACTAATTTTGCATGAAAAACAAGCCGACTTATTTTGCATGAAAAACAAGTCGACTAATTTTGCATGGAAAACAAGCCGACTTATTTTGCATGAAAAACAAGTCGACTAATTTTGCATGTGAAACAAGCCGACTTATTTTGCATGAAAAACTAGCCGACTTATTTTGCATGGAAAACAAGCCGACTTATTTTGCATGGAAAACACTAATTTTGCATGTAAAACAAGCCGACTAATTTTGCATGGAAAACAAGCCGACTAATTTTGCATGGAAAACAAGCCGACTTATTTTGCATGGAAAACAAGCCGACTAATTTTGCATGGAAAACAAGCCGACTTATTTTGCATGGAAAACAAGCCGACTTATTTTGCATGGAAAACAAGCCGACTTATTTGTATGAAAAACAAGCCGACTTATTTTGCATGGAAAACAAGCCGACTTATTTTGCATGGAAAACAAGCCGACTTATTTTGCTTGAAAAACAAGCCGACTTATTTGTGCTATTTTGCGCGGGAAGATTTTAAAAAGTTTGCAAATTTAAGCTTCGCAAACAAAATATAAATTTTCTTATTTAGAAGACGATATTTAATTACTTCAGAGAAAAAAATTTGACTTTTCTCGCATTGTTTTGTTTTAATGGGTGTACCAAATTTTTTTTTTATTCTCTTATTTAGATTCTATTTAGATTCAAACATCTCCTAGGCGTTTTGAATTTGTTTGTTTGGAATTGGGAAAAAGTTGAAAAACAAACGAGCACTTTTAACACCTTTCGTTTAATTTTTAATTCAAAATGGCAATTTTAATATTTAGGCTTTTATTTGATTAGAAATATCTTAATCTGACTGAATCAACAATTATCAAACTATGCTAAACAAAAACAACATAATTTCCTAGGAAAAAAAGATTAATCCAAGTAAATCAATAAACTAGGAAAAACTTAAATTCCCCCGATAGACAGGACTGCAGGTGTTGATACTTCGTTAGAATATTATTTATCATTATTTATTAACTTTGCTTAGTCTTCATGCATTACCAGACTAGTACACAGGAAATAGATAACATTGTTTCAAAATTTCATAAACGCATAATTGCATAATTTTAAAATTTCTTAATTGCATAATCTGAAAATATCCTAATTGTATAACCTTAAAATTGTATGATTATCTTCATGATTTTTATTAAACTTAATGGAAGAAATTCAAGTCACTGAACGGCAGGGGCGGCCTAGAGGGGAGGGGGTGCCGGCCCCCTCCCTAAGGAAAGTCATGATATGAAATAAAAGCATCAAGGGATGATCATGATACAACGAAATAATATTTAATAAATGACCTGAACTGAAACACCTTTTTCATTTATTTTCTTATCTTTATATTTATAGTTCTAATATGCATGCATGCATGCCATCTTAGGCCGCGGCTCAAATATGGTTGGTTCCACTTAAAATTGTATTCAATTGTTCAAAATTTAAGCCGGCGCTCATTTAAAACCGGTTTATGGGGGTTTTGAGACACGGCTCAAATTCATTAAATTCGGACTCTGGTTGTTTGACTTATCATTAATCATAAATGCTTGTCTCTCTCTCAAAAAAAGGAATTTTTTTTAATGAGTAACGTGGTTTAAATAATTATTAATTCTTTTTTTAATGAGTAACGTGGTTTAAATAATTATTAATTCTTTTTTTTAATGAGTAACGTGGTTTAAATAATTATTTATTCTTTTATTAATCATTTTCTTTCTTAGCATTTTAAAAACCAGAAACACCTCTTTATTGTTTAATAAAAATTGTATTTGAAAATTAATGCATTTGTTATTATTGTGCTTGGGGGAAAAGCCAGCAAACAATGGAATAGAAAGACGACATTATAATAGCAATACTTAAGCGTTTTGATGTTGAATTACAAGGCAAATATTTTTACTAGTAACTTAGCAAAGCACTAATTAAGTGAAATGGGTCTATTTACACTGTACAACTACTATGTCTAATATTCATCGAACTGGCTTAAGTCCTAACTTGAGTTTAAAAGCCATCTTCCAATTTCAGAATTTTCTGGTTATCATTGTAAAAATTCATTAAACACGTAATTTAAACGATTTATTAAATTATTAGTGAGCGCTCAAAAAAGAATATATAATCACAAACATTACTACCTTTGATTAGATATGTATAAATGTTAAAAATACTAAAATGTTCCATATTGTTTATTTAAATGGAAAATTCGTTTTAATTATTAAGAAGCAGTTTAAATTGCTATTCAAATTATGAATTGCACAGCGACTTAATTGTTTATTTCTTAATTACCGATATTAAAGTTATGCTAAATCGATCTCAATAAAAATATTTCATTTTTTATATGTAAATCTGGAAATGTGATGATCAATAAAGAATGAAAAATTACTGGTTTTTGTTATATTTTTAGGGGGGCCGGCATTTGTTTTTATATATATGAGCACCCCCCTCTGAGATATTGGTTTAGTCCGCCCCTGCTGAACGGTATTTTACAATCCAATCGATCTGATCTAAATTAAGAAAAAAATGTTTTTATAAGTCTGTTTTTTGTCTTTTAAACGATCTCCTATATGACTTAAATTCTCCAATACATGCGTAATCTTGCAAATACAACTATAAACTTTTATATTTATCATTTTTGTTTCATCTTAAAAAAAAATTGCTTGTTTGATTAGATATATATATTTTTCTGTGATTATCCTTTACTCCTTACATACTCGTTCTAGACTTTTAAAATGGTTTATTGATTAACTTTACAATACAACTATATGTCGTGATACAGCTTTAAGAAATAGAAGAAAGCCATTTCATGTGAGAGGGTATGGGGGGGGGGCAGGGGCGTTCATATTACAATCGAAGTCATTGTGAACGTATACTCCGAATAAGTAACATCGCATAAATTATTTTTCACAACCTTTATGAAACTAAATGTTAAGTAAAGCTAACTTTAGTGAATATATAAAGATTAGAATAATAAATTGATTTATTTTTAGCTCAACTGTTTTGAAAAATAATCCAAGTTAAAACTGCGGAAAAGTTCTTAAGTTATTTTTTCTTTTGAAATATATAATAAGACAGATTAACCCGGTGTTAGTTTGAACAAAGTATAGAGATGATTAATTATTAAGCGCTATCAGCTGGTTCTACCCTATCTATGTAGCTAAACTTCCGAGTATTTTAAACTATAAAAAGTTTTTGTCTACTAAAATTTAATGTGGTTGACCCATTTACAAGGTGTGTTTTATAAAGTGGTTTTTCTTTAAAAGTGACATGCTCGCGGATTTATCACACAGAATAATCGGAGGAAATTGCCAGGATAAGAATCTTTCAATTTGAAAATTCGACAATATCTTCCACAATATTAACAAAGGTTATTACGGGATACATTTTTTTTTACAGCATGGCCATATTTAAATTATTACAATATGGTCCCTTTGAGAGCAAAGAGCTCCTGGTTAGGTATGACTACACAGTACATATATTTGGTACCTATTTATCTATCTATTTTGTGTGTGAATCAAGCGGTGTAGCGTATCCGAGCATAACAATAGCGTACATTGCAGGCCTCCATACAACGGGTTAATAAAACAGCAGTACTCACCCTTCCTTCATCAAAACGTAACTGATTTTGTAATCTGATGTAACGTAAATTAAATCTGAGGAGTTTGTTTATTATACAGTGAACAGTGGATCAGTGATTTTAAGAAGGAGGGTTAGTAATATTTTGGACAGGTTCAGCTGCAAGAAATGACATCATTTCAACTAGTTTTGCATAAGTACTTTTAGTTTTATGAAGACAGAAAATTGTGATGGGTTACAAATGGGAGCATTGTAAACAAATGACCAAGTTACATAGTTACTCAATGACATTTTATGTGAAACTATAAAAAGAGTATTTCCTGTTTACATCTAAATAACCACAGTCAAGATATTTATGTAGATATTTTAATAAAAATAAGGATCTCAGAAATACGTTTATCTATATAATATATATATATATATATATAAACAATTAGCTCATTTATATGTTCGCTTTAGCTGAAGCAAATCGGCTGAATTTTTTTAGGAAACACATGGTTACCCCGAGGTGGGCTAAACAAATTATAGACTTCCATATGTAACCTCGAGCACTGCTAAAATAATGATTTAAGACTAAGTGCGGGTAAAAGCGGCGGGAGTAACTTTGAGTAACCTGGGAATAATAAAAATCTTTTTTAAAATAGATACAAAAATGTTTACTTTTCAGTCGAAAAATGGGGTCACAGACCTAGGCAACTTAATTATCGTCATCTAATTAAAGTTTAAATTTGTCAAATTTAAAAAAAAACATTTTTATATAATTTGTAAACCTTACATGGTTTTTTTTGGAAAATGCAAGAAATTCTGTGTTTGTTTGATCTATATACATGAATTGTACATTAAAGATAGTTTTAACACTGAGGTTCTTTTTCTTTTGAAAAATTTTGTTTAATTTAAATTTTTGATCACATTTTTTTAAACACTAGCTTTACAATTTTGCATGTGTGCTGTCTGAATAGGATGTGTTAGGCTCTAATTGAAAAAGTGTGATATACAATTATTGCATTTTGTATTTTCAGATTAGTTATAAAATATTCATGCTTTGTAAAACATAGAAAAGCGTAGTTCTCGTTTGTTTACTATATTTTACGGTACATTTTTGTTCTGTAGGATTTATTTGTATAATGCAGAAGGGTTTATAAAAATTGTCTTGATTTTCTAAATTATTCATTTATTAAAATAAATGATCTTAGATTGATATCTGAAATCTCAAATATTTCAAATTTTGTTGTACACACACTCATGATTTACCTTTTTGGACAATAGTAATGTTGTTGTTCATTGTTTTCTTATATATACGTGTTAAATATTATTCTTAAGTCGCAATTTTTTGTACATTGTAAAACTAGACATTTCGCAGCTCAGTTTTTAAAAATATATTTCTAGAGAAAATTCGAATTAAAGTTTTTTCTTGTCGATAGGATTAAATTTTGACTGTCTCTGAACCTTCTCTGGGCCCTGGGGTTGTGTGGAATACCACAAAAAATTGCATCCGATTGGTTCAGTCCTTTTCACGTTAATTGGATACAAAGAAGCAGGGAAAAATAGCTTCATGTATATAACATATACATATCAATTTTTCAGCCTGGTTAAAAGAATACTGAAGAGTGACTAACAAGCCATGAATCAATTTGTATAGAAATAAACTGAAATATATTACAATACTTTAAAGTGTTCCAGGGATTTTAAATATATCATAAATATTCTATTTAATAAATTTGATTCTATTTATTGAGAAAATGCCGGATCACGAATGGCGAGATACAATTAAAACTACCTACAAGTAAGTTATATTTTTGCATTAACCTTATATGTTTTTTTTAGAAAAAACATAAGTCTTCGTTTTCTATTAGCTCCATAATTATTATTATTATTATTTTTATTATTATAATTATTATTANATTATTTTTATTATTATTATTATTATTGTTACTATTATTATTGTTGTTTTAAGTGAATGGAGACACAATGACAAGCACAGAAGTATAAAAGAATATTTTAATGAAGTGCAGGTACATGAATAATATTTTACTAAAAGGCAGGTACTTAAATAATATTTTACTGAAGTGCAGGTAAATAAATGATATTTTACTGAAGTGCAGACACATAAATAATATTTTACTGAAAGGCAGGTACATAAATAATATTTTACTGAAGTGCAGGTACATAAATGATATTTTACTGAAGTGCAGGTACATAAATATTATTTTACTGAAGTGCAGGTACATAAATAATATTTTACTGTAGTGCAAGTTCATAAATAATATTTTACTGTAGTGCAGGTACTAGAGATGTCAACGTTTTGATTTTTCTAGATTTTAGCTTTCGTTACGATAGTGTTCATCAAAAGTATTAACGTTTGAAACGTTACGTTGCACATTATGAAATTTTATGGCACAGATTAACGTTACGTTATGAATTTTCTGCACTTTAATACCTCATACAACGTTAAGCTTTAGAAAATGTTAGTGACAAAACAGTCAGTTCCGTTACGCTTTTGCATTTCCCGTTTTAAAAAACTTTCCCAACGTTGCGTTAAAGCTTCTGTAATATAACCAAAATTTTTTAACGTTCCACTTTCATGCAATGTAAATATTTTCAGAGATCTTACGTTACACTTTCACTTGGTTTAAGATCTAAAAGATGACAAACGTTTTGCTTTAATAAAACGTCATTGGGGCATAGTTCTGTACGTTGCAATGCATTTCAGTGCAAAGAATATTTTTTGTTAACGTTACGTTTTATCTTAACTTTTCCAATATTAACTCTTTTAATTACGTTTAGAAATTTTACTAAAATGCACCTTTTCTAACGTTACGATTTATCGTAACGTTATTGTGAAAATTATTTGTTACACTTTTTTACAACTGACTATCAAAACTGTTTATTCGTTTCGTTTATAAAAAAGCTTTGAAAAATTGTTCTATACGTTGCGTTGTATTAAAATGTTCAAGCCTTAATGTTTCTTACGTTACACTTTATTAAAATAATATTGTTTCTAAGTGAAAGCATTGCAATATTTTTTTCCGTGATAATTTCATTTTTTTACTCACCCTGTATGTTGCTGTTGTATTGTTAACATTTTTAGAGAATGTGTAGAAGAATATGCATTATGCAATATAAAGATGTTATAATATTATTATTTTTAACGATTTTTAAAATTTGTGAATGAAAGTTTTTAGCATTAGACTTTCAACTTAAAGTGTGCCTTAAAGGGACTAGAGACGTATTTTCAAGTGACCTTTCATTTATGGAGTGGCATGTCCAGTAGGGGTGATCGATATTGGAATAGAGCCAACCGCCCACCGTAAGTCGCTGCGTTTTCACTTAAAAAAATATTGCAATCAAAAAAAATTTTCAAAAACGTCCATAGGGTTGCGATTTGACGATTTAATATTGGAGAATTCACATTAAGGCCACAAAAAAAATGTATTTTTATTTTCATGTTATACATTATTTTCTTGGAAATTCAATGCTAAATTCAAATCTGAAAAGCGTTTTTGAAAAATTGAAAATTGAGTGAGTCAGAGCTAAAAAACTCATCAAAAACATTAAAAAGTTAAAAACGGAATTTAGTACCGCTATTTTGGCCATAACTTCTTTAGATTTTAATATATTTAAAAATGGTTTTCGAATCTGAATTCAGCATGAAATTTCCAAAAATTGATGAATCATATTTATTTTTTGAAATATTTTTTTTTACGCCTTACGGCGATTTCTCCAATAATAAACTGTCAATTCGCAACCCTATGGACAATTTTGAAATTTTTTTTATTACAAAATTTTTATTAATTTAAAACGCAGCGACCTCAGGTGGGCGGCTGGATGAGTTCTAAAAAAAGTCACAGATCAATCATCCTTAATGTCCAGCATACATTTACAAGATAGGAAAACACTCCTAATTTTCAAATCATCAATCAGATAAAGGTATACACGTTATTATTGGAATCGAGCATGGCCCTCTTTAAATGGAGGATCACTTGAAATTATCATCGTGTATTTGACGAGCTTAAAAAATAGACATTTTTGGGAAACTTCATAAAATGAGTTAAAATTCGGCAAGGCAAACCACTTTTGCATGTAGAACAGTATGTTCTAAATTATTTTAAGATTAGTTTAGGGTTAATTTTTTCTTTTTTTACTCAATGCAGACTGACCCTTTTCTTCTATCTAACAGAATTTATAGTTTAAAATATCTAAGGTCTACAACATTGGGTAGCAAAGATAAAGGGATTATAAATATAAGGTGAACAACTCAATTTAGATTTAGACATTCTTATCTAACAGAAGTCATAGCTGGAAATATCAAAAGTCTACAACACCAGCTTGCAAAGATATAGAGATTAGAAAATTATAATTTGTGGCAAATTTTTAGTTCTTTTTGTGTTTTTTTTATGTTACTTATAAAGTGAATAAAAAAGCGGCTTTAGTTTACAAACCACAATGAAAATGTTTTCAGAGTTCATGTTTGGGGCTAAAATATATCAAATATAGTAAGACAAGTGCTAAAGTTTTTTTTAACACAAATCAACGCGAAATAAAATTATTTAAAATTTCTTTCTTTTAAAAAAGATCGATTAAAAATTCAGTTTGTTTCTATTCTAAAGTTTCATAAAAATCTATTGATTAATAAAACATAACACGCATTTTCCATTTGATAAAATATTGTTGCATTTTAGTAAGTATCTACATTTCTAAATTTTTCAACCTAAAACATGAACCATGCCAACTGAAGTTATGATTTTAAGTAGCCAAATAAACATGAAACCCAGCAATTGTGTTTGTTCACAGACCCGTTCCACTTAATAAGTTGATTTTTTGCAATTAGTAAACAATTTGCTTTATAACAGAAAATGCATTTGTAAAATTTCTAATGTCGTCTTCCTTTTCCAGAGTTTTAGTGGGTTTCATCAAACAATGGCAAATCAAAAACCTTTAATGTCCAAGAAACATTTATAAGATTTGAATTTTCACTATTATAGTATGTTACAAAAAAACTCGTTTACACTTTAGAAAGGAACTAAGTTTTTTTTTCAAATTTACTAATCCCTATATCTTTGCAACCCGATGGTTTAAACCTTGTATATTTCAATATTAATGATCTACGACATCGGGTTGCAAAGATATAAACTCATTTTCTTTAAACTTGAAATGAAAAACCATTAGTCTTTGCTGTCATAATCATCAGTCGAATCTCTTACATTTTACGTTACGTTACACTATCGTTGACATCTCCAGCAGGTACATAAATAATATTTTACTGAAGTTTAGGTACATAAATAATATTTTACTGAAGTGCAGGTACATAAATAATATTTTACTGTAGTGCAGGTACATAAATAATATTTTACTGTAGTGCAGGTACATAAATAATTTGTCCTGATATGTTACTGTACAGACTTCGGTTAGCAAATAACAGAATTCATTTGTTTATCTTTGAATTATAAATTTTCTAAAATATGTTTACTTTAGAATAAAGAAGTTGGAAGAGCCTACAAACAAGACAGCAACTCCATCTATCCATCACTACAGGAACTATCAGAACAAATGAGGAAAAGAACGAAATTATCAAAATAAAAGAATTACATAAATGTGACTTAAATGATTTCTGTTTTGTCTGTTTGCTAATTTGAAAAAAAAAATTGTAAAAAATAATCCTATTAATACTATTAATTAATTAATCAATTATTAATACTATTAGCTAAAAGTAAAAGTAGCAGATTGAAGACTCATTTGATCCAAGGGAGAAGAAAAAAATCAACAAAGATAACTCTGTTTTCCTATTTGTTGCCTTTTTTGTTAAAAAATGTGTTTTTATATCATGAAATTAATTTATATTAATTGAAATTCTAAAGATTAATTCTTGTTTCCAGTGAAGGAGAGAAAGACAAGTCGGAAAAAATATTAAAGAAAACAGAAGACAACAAAGTCCAATTTCTTGGAGCTGATATAGGTATTTTGGTAAATAATAGTGAAAACTGCATTCATTTTTTCTTGCTTTACTACGTATATCCTTTTTTAGATACTGTGTCCGAATTTGAGCCGCCGCCTAAATCTGCTAAAAACTGGTTATAATTGAGCGCCGGCCTAAATATTGAAAAATTGAATACAATTTGAAGTGGAACCAGCCATATTTGAATTTAAGCCGCGGCTCAAATTCTTTAAATTCGGCCTCAGAACTATTATTTTCTTTAAATTGATTTGAAGCAACATTATTAACTTTTTCGAATTAATAAAAAGAACAGTCAAAATTATACATATTTGGAAATTATTGATGTATATGCTTCTAAAAATCCGAATTGGCCAACAGAATTATTTACTATTTCTACGTTATTTTACGTTTTTTTTTCATTTTAAGAAACTAGTGAAATATTTTTATATCTAAACAAATATTATGATTAAAGGGAGTGTTCGCGAAAATGAAAAGGGGTATAGGCTTAATGCGATAAAAAAGCGCTTTTGATCGCCACTAACCTTACTTCTATCTGTTGCGTCTATAAGGAGAAAATTGTTAAAGACGTCTCATACCGAATAACATGGCGTCCATACAAATTGAGAAAATTGCAACATACGACTTAGACCGTAAAAAAATCAATTTAATTTCAAACAAAGCATTCAGATATTACAACCTATAGTCATCGATTATCTTTCGCCACACTTATATATAGTTGATTTTTCATAATATGTTTTAATTGTTATGATCTGAGAGTTACTTATAAAAACGTTTATTCCTGTTTCGAAGATTTTTGGTAATGAAGACGACAGTTTCATATTTTCCAGGAATGTTCGAAAACAAGTTGTAAGCTAAATATTATTTTAAAAACAAAATCAAAACTAGTATGAAATATTAAATATATACAAATGTGGCGAAAGATAATCGATGACTATAGGTTGCAATATCTGAATGATTTGTTTGATATTAATTTGATTTTTTTTACGGTCTAAGTCGTATATTCCAACTTCCTCAATTTGTATGGGCGCTACACTCTTCGGTATGAGAAGTCTTTATCAATTTTCTCCTTATAGACGCAACAGATAGAAGTAAGATTAGTAGCGATCAAAAGCGCTTTTTTATCGCATTAAGCCTATACCCCCTTTCATTTTTCGCGAACACTTCCTTTAAGAGGTTAGCGAGGAGGATGAAGAGGCTGAAGAATATGCTCGTGAGACCATCTATGGAGGTTTCAGACACACTATGAAGAAACTCCTGAACATGTCCTATCTTTCGTAAGTTTATCCATTTTTAATGAAAACATTAACAAATAAAATTATTGAAATTTAGAACAAAGACAATTGGCGATGTGATGAAAAAACTACTGAAGAAATTAATAGATTTTATGGAGGTGGGCCTTCAGAGTGGAGTGATAGCCATAGGTACTGAAAAATTCATTTAAAAAAACTGAATTATTTACATTTTTGGATGTTAGATCATTGTGATATAAAGGTCTCACGCTATCAAGCGAATTCGATGAGAATTTTGCTTCAAAGTCGACCCTGTCTTGTAGATTGATGAGACTGTTTATAAGCAGGCTGAATCTATGTGAGATACATTACATCGTCTATATCCCCTCTGATAAACTTCTGACCAACTAATGTTCCAACTGTTTATTTTGTATTATTTGTTGGTTAGTATTAGGCTAAGACAATTTCTGAGCCGAGCGCTGCGGCTAGGACACGCAAAAGGGCTCCAGCTAGGCCCCCTAGCATACAACCACATGTCCAGCTATAGGAGATGTATAAACACGTGCGAGTAGGTCAGAAGTTAAGTATAGCGGATGTTCTTAGGTCTGAAATATAACATCACATTTTTGTTTTGAATTAAGGGTTTACAATTGGTCACATAGTGGCCCAAGTTCATCCCATCCCAGACACAGAGCTACATCCACACCTTGGAATACAGTGTGTTCAGGTACAAAAGGATAATTAGCAATTATAGATAATTAGCTTCATCATTTAAATATTTCATAAAATTTTAATTTAGGATCTAGGATTTGTAAACTATGGCGAGACAGTGAAAAATCAACCAAAATTAACATTTTTCCCCAAAACAGTTGAAGAAATTAAATCTGTAATCAGGTATAAAAAATAGATTTAAAATGTGATAATACTAAATGTTACCCTACAGTGGGGCTCACAAAACTGTGGATTAGGAAGACGATATTTGATCAATCTTGTGAAAAGTCGTCTTCCTATTCCAAACTTTAATGGGTCTCATGTACAAATGTCTGGCTTTAGATATGGTAGAGCTGAAGGCAGAAGAGTGAGATGCGCTGGAATGAAACACAGCTGGAGTCACATGTTCAGTGATGACGGTAAGATCAGATGCCGTCATAAATTCTCTATAAAAGTCAAATCGTCTTCATTCTTTCACTTAAGGCGAGATCTTGGTGTACCTTCTCCCTTTGTCAGTAACAGACACAATATCCTTCTCGAGAAATGGGATTCATTCCATGGAGAAAATACTGAAAGAGTGGAACTCAGAACTCAGTGGGATTGAGGTGACTCTATTAATTCTAGTTCTTTAATAAAAAGTGCAAAGCACTTTCGTGGCCTATATAGTGAGAACCAGACAACTCAATAATGAGAACCAGACAACTCAATAATGGGAACCAGACAACTCAATAATGGGAACCAGACAACTCAATAATGGGAACCAGACAACTCAATAATGGGATTATGACTTTTGGACTCAAGTTTAAACTTGAAATAGTCCAATTCATATGAGACACGTACAAAACTTGTGTTGTATTGTAAACGGACCCATTTAACTTAATAAGTGATGTATTAACATTTTTTGCTTTGTGAATTCTAACAACATCAAATATACTAAAGGATTGATATAAAGTCGTCTTTCTATTCCAAAGTTTTCTGGTTCTCACTGTACAGTATATATAGCTTTTAAGAAAATAGTTTATTGTTGATCGTTTATCACTGTAAATGGAGGATATAATGCACAAACCCAATTATGTTCATATCATATTTGAATTTTTTAATTCTAGAAAAATATCAAAGCACTTTCTCTTTCCAAAAAGATTATGCTTTTATTTTAAATTCTTCAATAAAAACCAATCTTTGATTTAGACCTGAATGAACCATATGATCACTATATAATATGTCAAGTTATTTAACAATTATGATATTTTCAAACCATTTAAATAATTTAACATTAAAAGTAATTCAAATATGAATATGTAAATTAATAACTTTTCATTTTTTTAAAATAACGAAATTGAGTCTTTGCCACCAACTCAAATTTTCTAATTCCTAAATCTTTGCGACCTGTTGGTGTAAATCTCTGATATTTCAAGCTTAGATTATTTGATCTAACAGAATTCATAGTTTTAAATATCTAAGGTCTACGACATTGAGTTACAAAGATATACAGGGAGTAGAAAATCAGAGTTTGTGGCAAATACTCAACTCCTTTGTATCAGTTAGTTGAAGAGCTTGAGGATGATCATGCTGCTGTACGGGTTGGAGCTGCTACAACCAACCTAGAGATGCTCAATTGGTCAAATCAGTCTGGTTGGACTCTTCCTGTAGGAATGTTCACAAATAAATTAATCAAATATTTCTTGAAGAAACATTTGAAGGGACTAGTGACGTAATTACGATTAACCCTCAATTTACAGTCAATCCTTTGCAGATATTATGTAGATATCCTTAATTTTCGATATAAAAATTTCAATCAGGCTGTCTACTGTCTAAGTTAAAGTAAAACCAGAGAAATTGAAATACATTTTCTTTTTTCTTTTCATTGTTACTCAGATTAACGTTTAAAGGGTATCAAAATTAAGTATATGAATTGCACTCTTTAAGCGACCACGTTTAAAACTTTTTATCTTTGATAGTCAAGGAATTGATAAGTTTGTGTTTTAACATATTTGTATAATTCTCCAGCTTTGAAATAATGTTTATTATCTTTTTTTCCAAAAACAATAACAGAGCCATTATAAATTGAGACAATCTTGGAGTTTAAACGTTTTGAAAGGTTGCAAACCAGAATAGGGAAAGCCAAGGGGACAGTATTGGATGAATTGTAAATATAATGAATGCTATTATTTTGAGTAGTTTAAATTGATAGTAAATAGAATTAAAGCGTTGTCAATCGATTCTCATGTTTATGTGGACACACTGTGTGACTTTAGTTTCTAAAAATAGAAAGATTTGAGTCCTTAAAAAAATTATTTTGAAAATCAGGAGAAAATTAAATTTTAATCAATAGTTTTAAAATCTGAATTATTAACCAATGTTGACATTTTCTTAAAATTTTAAAAGCCGAACTTCAGATTTCCACTTGAAATCTAGGCTTTTGAAGAGTAATGAATTCTAGGCTTTTTTTCAAATTACTCTCAATTGTAGTGTGGCATCTGATTCATAACGGTACCCTGTAAACCTTTGCGTCATCAAGAATATATAAGATTGCCTTTCCTTAATAATTTTCAATTTTGAATTTTCTATACCAAAAGAGAATTAAGGATTTATTCTGTATAAACAAATTGTCAGAATTCAATACTTTTCAAAATATAAAAACGTCACTTGAAATTACTACAACCGTTCCTTTTTTTAAGTACGTTGATCTCTTTGCATAAAGGTTCACTTAAACATGCGTTCTTAGTCCCTCGATATTGAAAAATTTAATCTTAATTTACGTTTGTGAATAACAATATTTGTGTGGAACTATGTAGATATTATTGCTGTGATGATTACCTACGGAGGAAGCAATGCTATGATCTGCCATGGAGCAGGTCAAATAAAATTAATTATATCCATGGAGCAGGTTTAAAATTATTTATATCCATGGAGCAGGTTTAAAATTATTTATATCCATGGAGCAGGTTTAAAATTATTTATATCCATGGAGCAGGTTAAATAAAATTATTTATATCCATGGAGCAGGTCAAATAAAATTATTTATATCCATGGAACAGGTCAAATAGAATTATTTATATCCATGGAGGAGGTCAAATAAAATTATTTATATCCATGGAGCAGGTCAAATAAAATTATTTATATCTATGGAGCAGGCCAAATAAAATTAATTATATCCATGGAGCAGTTCAAATAAAATTATTTATATCCATGGAGCAGGTCAAATAAAATTATTTATATCCATGGAGCAGGTCAAATAAAATTATTTATATCCATGGAACAGGTCAAATAGAATTATTTATATCCATGGAGGAGGTCAAATAGAATTATTTATATCCCTGGAGGAGGTCAAATAAAATTAATCATATCCATGGAGCAGGTCAAATAAAATTATTTATTTCTATGGAGCAGGCCAAATAAAATTATTTATATCCATGAAGCAGTTCAAATAAAATTATTTATATCCATGGAGCTGGCCAAATAAAATTATTTATATCCATGGAGCAGTTCAAATAAAATTATTTATATCCATAGAGCAGTTCAAATAAAATCATTTATATCCATGGAGCAGGCCAAATAAAATTATTGATATCCATGGAGCAGTTCAAATAAAATTATCTATATCCATGGAGCAGTTCAAATAAAATTATTTATATCCATGGAGCAGGCCAAATAAAATTATTGATATCCATGGAGCAGGTCAAATAAAATTATTTATGTTCATGGAACAGTTCAAATAAAATTATTTATATCCATGGAGCAGGTCAAATAAAATTATTTATATCCATAAAGCAACATTTTATCTGGGGAATTATATTTTATCAAAGAATTTCCTGATTTTTTTTGTCATCGCTAAGACAGGTTTAATACACAGGGTTACCCACCAGGTCACAAAGGATGAGGCTTCAGATTCAAAAATACGGAAATTATTAAGTTATTTGTACATCTTTTTTAGTATTTAGAAGAAAAGATAATATCTTATATTTTAAAGAGTTTAATATTGTCAATATCCTTTATCTGTAATCCTACCCATGGAAAATTAGAATATACATCATATCAATTTAAAATTACCTTTTCATTCTAAGCTCACACTTATTTTGCCTTGACAATAAAAAGCTCATTTTTGTTTAATAAACTCAAAATCCTTGAAATAATATCAATTGATAGAAAATCTACTTTCGTAGTCGACCCTAGAAATAATTTTCATCATCGGCCTTTAGACTGGTGAATACTATATATATACATCCTAGCTCTAATTAAAATTAAGAAACTTGTAAGTTTAGGATCATAGAATTAGGCAGAGAAACTTCTTCTCAAACAGTTGTTAAAACCTACAGTTTAAAAGTACCTAAAATGATCATCCTGGGCTATAGTTCGTTGAAATAATATCCATTCATTTTTATTTCAGGTCTTCATTCTAAAACCCTTTCTGATCTTGTTCTGAAAATAGAGTTTATTGACGCCAACGGGGACTACAGGGTAGATATCTATTATTTTATCTTTAAAAGAAAAAAAAATTCCAAAAAAGTAATTTTAAAAAAATTTAAATATTTAGAGCGAGGATGATGCTGAAAAACTTAAAGCTTTGGGCGGATGCTTCGGATTAGGAAATCAATCAAATAAAAGAAAAAGACAAATTTTCTAATTTTTTTGCAGTTTGTAATTTACGAAACTATTGATTTTTTCCCTCATTTTTTGTTCTTTAGCCGGAATTGTGACCTTTGTGACCCTACGTCTGGACAAGATGACATATGCAAGGTAAACAGAAATCACAAAAAATAAGGTTTTACAAAAAAACTAGCATTTCAATGATCATCAATTTAGCTTTTAAATGTTGCTTTAATTGGGACCTTTTTATTTTTTTACTTAACAAAAAAACATTTCCAGACTTTTTTGTTTTTATGGTTAAATTTTCAAAATTAAAAAATGAACTTGTGAAGTTTTTAAAATTTCTGCAAATCATATTTTGGTCTGATCAGTTCCACCGTTTCATGTTTATTGGATTCAACTAACCAACAAAAAAAACACATTAAAAATTAGATATAGATCATTTTTTTCTTAAATACTTGAATACAATTTCCTTCAAAACACCCAAAAAATTCAAAAACTGAATAATTCTCTGTTTAGATTCCAGCCCAAAAAATCTTTAATGGTAGATTCAATACCTAAACCTGGGACTGATCCCAGCTCTCAGGAGTTTAAGGTGAGAAGAAGTGTTTTTAGCTTTAAAAAAAGCTAAAAAACCGAGTTTTTGCAGTAAACTCTGATTTTTTAATCCCTATATATCTGAAACCCGATGTAGAAGACCTACTTCAAACAATGAATAATGTTTGATCAAATATTCAAAGTTTGAAAAGATATTTGGATTTGTTTAGCACATGGTGGATTTATGCTCTAAGTATTATGTTGAGTTCTTCTGGTTCCCCAGTCACGGAGAGGATTCAGGTAATCATTTAAAGGGATTGTTCGTAAATTTTAAAACAAGGATAGACAAATAAAAAAATTTTGTATAACATATTTCTAAAAAGTGTTAGAAAACATTCTGTGAAACAGTGTCGCTGCACAGTGGGGTCAACCAAAATGAATTTATTCCATAAACCTTATATTTATGTCAAATAAGACTTGGCCGCTTGAGATTTTTTTTTGTGAGAAGTCTCTAAGTTGTTTAAATGGTATTTTTTAGTTAAGAATTTAGACCGAAACTCTTAAAATAGGATTTTTCAACACGCTGCCATGACTAAATCAAGGGTTTGACGTGCTGCCGACGCCCCTAAATATTTTCTGTATGGCTGTAAAAATCTATTTATATATTTAGATTTTCCAGAAACCGCTGTGCTTTCTTGAACTTTTGCTATAACATAAATGTTTTTTTTTTCAAAATAGCTCTATGTAACAAAGGCCACATCTAAATATTTTGCGGGTTTACAGGATACCTTCAAAAGGATAAATAAACAAATCGAAAAAGTAATTATAAATTAAAATAATTATGGATCAGTGCAAGCTACAATTAGATAGGATGTTTGTAAATGAAAAGATTATCAGAATATATTCATTTTGGCAATTCTCGATATGAAACACAAGACAAATGCATTTTCAGAGGAGTTTTGTGACAAAAAACAATCCCCCCCCCTTGACCCCCTGTATGTTCCGCCCAAGAAAAATCCCATAAAAGAAATCCACGCGTGATTCTTAGAAAAGCCTTGGCCGCAAACTTCTTGTTTTAAGATACAGTGGACTCCACTAAACATGCATGAAAATTGACTTTAAGATCTCCTTGATCTGTGATAAGTGATAATAGCTTTTAAATAACCAATTTTGTATCATACGCGATCATAATGTGGTGTAGCGCCTAATTAGTGAGCTTATTTGCAACATTTTTTTTAATAAAATTTTTTCATCGGACAGCTATTAATTGGATCAAAAACTATTTTTAGGTCATCTTTTTATCGTTATATGTTTAGTAGGCCACTTTAAAGTTAAGATAACCTAAGCGGGATGTTTGCTATAAAGCTTGTAAACTGCTCGTCGCTATTTTCAATGTTAAATGATGTTTAGGATATTGGGAAAACTGCTGGGACAACGATGGAAGGTGACAAATACTAGAAAATTCTTTGTTAAATCTCAAATTTTGGATCAAACTTAAATTATTGGCCGTAGTAAATTTGAATTCGAACAGGACCTGCCCAGTTTGTACCGGCCTGCCAGATAACAGCGTGTACTGACCCGATCCTATGGTAGCCTGGTTCTGTACAGTACGTCGCCCTAACCAGACTAACATACGACAGGGGCCAATTTTCTTGTCATAGTCCCGTCGGGGGGGCTAACTCTGACAACTCACAGGCGCGTTCAGACTTTTTACAGTACCGGCCTAATCCTAGACCTATTTAACCGACCCCACTGGGCACTGGCTTAGTTCACCGTGAAATAAGCACTTGGATGATGTCACAGTAGAATACAATATTTATATAGTTTTTGTGAAAAATCCATTTTGAAACAATCCTCAGCCTTTGAAATAATATTTCTAAGAAAAATGCAAAAGAATAAATTTGAAAAAAAAAATATTTCTTTATAGTCCTAAGGAATAAAATCGAATTAGAGAAAATATTTGTAACTTCTGTCTGAAGTTTATTGTAATATTTATTAATTTAACTATTTAAAAAAACATTTTTACATTTCTATTAAAATGTTTTAAAGAGAGGAGGATGCAATAGATATAAACCTGGGACTTGATGATCATTATCAGATTACAACAACTTATCTATTCGAAGTTATCATGAAGGTAAAGGGTTAATAACTGCATTTTTCTTTTTTGAAATATATTTTGATCTGATCGTTCGACGATCATGTCCGTATGGTATGATAAATCTTGGAAATCAAATTTACCATTACTTACAAAATACCCTCAAAGTCCATGTATTATGCTAAATTATATCTAAGTGACAAATAAGTTCCCTTTTTATGCAATTTTAGCTTTTCCATCATTGATAAAATTTCCGCTAGCCTTTGCACATAATGAAATAACAGTAAAAAATCGTGGATTTTTTAGTTTTTTTGGCGGATTTCAAAATTATTTTTAAATCAAAATGATTTTAAGTAAAATATATTTTTTTCTTAAAACGTTTATTTATTTTTTAATTTAAGGTTCTGCAGCCCTTAACTCTAATGACCAGGGAAGAACATTACGATGAGAAAACATCTTTACAAGAATGTCTCAAGTACATTTTCTCCAAGGTAGCTATCTCTAAACAGCTGATTTAAAACATTTATTCATTTATTCATCGATTAATGTTTAGCACCGTCTTAAAAAGGTTCAAAGATTAGTCGAAGAATTGATCTGGAAAGATTTGAAACCTAACAATTATAATAAAATCATGACAAAGTTAGAGAAATTCAAACGGAAAGGAAGTTTGAACTGAACAATTCCTTCACTCATTTATTTTCTAATCACTGATGGTATAACTGTAAACCTTTGACATTACAAACTTTGGTTTTTAGATTTAGCAAAAATCATAATTCAAAATATCAAAGGTTTACGATTTTAGTTCGTAAAGATGTAAGGATTAGAAAACTAGAGTTTGAACCAAGTGTTCAGTTTCCTTGACTTCAGATTTTCTCCAGGTTGTAAGTTTAACTGGACACCAAGCTCTCCCTGAGCCTGAGGAGCCTGCAACTACATCTTTAGTTGAAGCTCTGCATTTCAGGTAAAGACGACATTTGAATATTACATGATTTGTTGGGCCTAAGCTGGGAACTGTTCTGTTGGATACTCATAATTCATATATTTGATCTCAATATCCGCTGTGGAAACTTTTAATTTGAGGACCAATGCTTAATCTTTTCATTTCAATTTCAATTTGTTAAGTTGATTGATACCGAAGAAAAATATAATAAAAATATTATATGGGAGTCATATTATAGTAAAATTGATTTCAAAGTAAAATATATTTGAGCAAAAGATTTTTTAACGAAATAAGCTGAAAAAAGCCTTTAATATCATAATACAGCATATGTAAGACGACATTTAAAAATATTTATCAACTGTCATGTTTCGTGGGACACCCTGTATATATGTCTACCTGACACTTAAAAACGTGTTGCTTTTTCTGTGATCAGCTAAAAAAAATTGTCTGTAAAAGATTTTTTATTGTAAATTATGCAAAATATTTTAGACGAGGTTTCCACTACATAGCTGTCAGAGAAATGGAAATGGAGATTCCAATTCCAAGTTTAGAAGGTTAATAAATTAAAAAATAAAATCAACATTAATAAATAGAATACAGTTTAAACCATAGCTTTGGAGGCATCGAAAGAATTTATAAAATTTAGGTTTAATACCAACATAATATTTCTGTCTATAACTATGACCTAGAAATTGTCAGAATTGGACACCCTGTATATTATCAGATGGTAGTCCAGACTACAGCATTCCTTTAATTCAGATGGTAGTCCAGACTATAGTATTCCTTTAATTCAGATGGTAGTCCAGACTACAGTATTGTATCAAAAGCCTGGTGGGACGGAGTCCATCTAATTCAGGTGAAATAAAAAGTTTTACATAAACAATGACAATTGAATTTAGATAACTCAATGATTGAAAATTGAAAAATCGTCGTTCATATCTTTCTCTAACTTTTAGAAAGAAACCAAACGTCGTTAATGAAAAATGAAAAACAAACGATTGAGAATTGTTTAAAACTAAATAATCCCCGTCAAGTGCGCAGGAAAAATAACTAAAAGATTGTTATTGTTCAAATGCTATTAACTAAATTATTTATTTTTCATATTTTAGGAATATGAGAAACGGGGTATTTTTGCTGTGGATATGGCATTAGGTAATACTCAAACTACAATTTACAGTCTGTCCTAAAATATATTGCAACTAAAATGCGTTTTTTGCATCGTCTTCATTGTAATTAGATTTCGTTTGTGAATTCTGAACACTTCTTGCAAACTCTAATCTTCTAAACGTTAATCTTTGCAACATGATGTCGTAAACCTTTAATTTTTCGATCAATGAATTCTATAAAATCAAATAGCCAATGTTTAAGATATAAAGGCTCTTAAACATCAGGTTGCAATGATATACCGTTCAATATTGATTCATTGTTTATTTTTGAGGCAAAGAAACCAGTGTTTTTTAGCTATCAAAGATGAATGACAATTTTAATGCCATTACATAACTCAATTTCCGCGTTTTTGTGCAATCTGCTTGTAATTTAAATGTAATTTTGATTTGAGCTTAAGTTCAAAATTTGTTTGATTAGAAAGTTAAAAATGCTTTACTTCTATTCTCCTAGAGCTTCGTATAATGGGGGGAAGTGATATTCTCATGGCCTCTCAATTTGGAAACAAGCACGGTACTCTAGCTATAGAACCAGTCTCAACTAGGTCAGCCATTTAAAAAAATGTATTAATAACAACATTGTTAACAAACTAATATTAACATAGGATCCATGTTCAAATCTTGACTTTTTAAAATAAAAAGATTTGGAAATCGAAAAAAAATGAAGGCTAGTATTTTGTTTATTTCATAAAATGTCCTCTAGAGAAAAATACAGCTTTATTTAAAAAGCATTGACACATTATACATGGTTACAGTGACACACAAAGATTAAGTCTTTGTCACTTTGATGATATCCTGAATAGTCAATACCTTCTTTAAAATATAACTTATGGTTTAATTTAGGGTTTTGTCTCATATGTCTCATATATTAAAGATAAATTCAATGATTTACCAAAGAAAAAAGCACGTTCACAGCTACATAGTTGTAAGAAAAAAACGAGAATTTAAAATAATTGTAGTTTTGATATTTTGTCTATGATTTCCTTTTTGCTAAAAATTGCTAAAAGAATACTTTAAAATTTTAATACTTGAATTATTTTCTAGAATTGTAGACAAGGAAATATGGGAGGACTTTAAGGTAAAAAAAATAAAAATAAATAATGCATCCAATTTATGGGATAGAAAGATATTTAAAAAGTACAAACAAACTTACTATTGCTATTTGAACTTTAGCAGGGGCTAACAAATTTACAAGAACTAATGCTATTTTTAAACAGTTAAATTATATTAAACATTTTTTGAATCAGTTAAGCCAGTTTTTTTAAACAAAAATTTTACAATGACCTTTTTAAATTTAAATTTAAAAAGGATAAGACTTTAGTAACGACCTCTGTAGAAATTAGGTTTTGAAGGTTTAATTTGGTTTATTTATACCTTGAATGTGGTCAGATCTTAGAATTAAATGTAAAATAAGTTCAAAATTTAGGAGGACCTGGCTAGGGTATGGATGGGGTACAAGGACTGGGACGGATCTAAAGTCCTCTCCAGAGTCCACTGGGCTAAGGAATCTCCAAGATCTGTACAAATAGGTGAACAAAATATTAAACATACAGAGGAAGACATGAAGGATATATTTTATGCGTCCTAAACATAAACAAAATTTCTTTTTCTATTTTTAAGCTTATTTGAACAAGCTTCTCAAATTCAGAACTTTTTGTTCTTTGTTTTTTGTCTTGGAAATGTTTTAATTATGGAGGATAACTTTTTGAAATTCATGTCATTCGGGCATTTTTATAATAATTGATGCTTTTTAGACGATGAAACCTTCGATACAATAAAATACTGGCAGAGAAGTGACGTTTACGGAACCAATATGGAGAAATTCTTTGATATTCTCAGGTTGGTTTATTTGAACTCACGGGCTCAACTCGATATCCATTAGACAAGACAACATTAAAGATAACGGGCTTAAATCTAGGAATCATTAAGTCTTACATCCGCCAATGACACATAATTTCACTTCTAAAATAAACCAATATATAATAATTTTTCTGTTTGAATTTGTGGATTTTCAAAAATAATTTTTCTAGAGTACATTGTTTGTTGCTACGACAAAATTTAGGCCCGATTGGTTCAGCCGTTTTGACGTTTTTTGTATACGGCTCGCCAGTTAAATAATTTTCCTTCTATTAAACTTTTTATCATATTTTTTTTTTCAAACACACAAATAAAAATGTGTCCAATTATAAATGTACCTCACTCTAGGAAATGACGAAGAAAAAGAAAAAAAATGTTCAGTACATAATTTTTAATTGTTTACGGAATTTTACTTTACCGTGCCAACAAAACATCCCTCGCTACACTCTGTCTGGATGTTTTGTCTCGGGAACCCGCGGGTTAAATGTTTCATTACCCGAAAAGTACTGTATACAATTTTATCGTCTTTTCAGATGAAAACGCGCAAATTATTTCCTGAAAACTTTGCAGAGCGGGTGCTTGTTTTACTTAATTATCCCCCCAAGAGACGTTAAGTAACGTAACGTTCTTCTGGATAGGGAATCATGGGTCGGTAATGTTGGTCAAAACTCAAAATGGCGGTAAAAACAATAATCGTTATTTTGTTCAGTGGTTACAACAGTGTAGAGGATATGTACAGAATGTTCAGCAACAAATACCTGGATGTACTTTTTAAACCTCAGTGGGAAAGGAAGGGCAAATCTCGAATAATTTCATTTAAAAATTTGGTTATTTGTTTCTTGAATGGGCAGATTCTTTTTTTTCGTTTTTGAGTTTGACCCTATGATTTAACAGATTTGGAATTGATGTCCAATCCGAGTACCCAGCCATCAAACCTCCCACCAACGGTGTCCATAAACCAGAGGGAACCAATGGATCTTTTCCTGGAGATGAAGAAAAGTCTACATGTTGCACCATTACTTAGCCTTTATTAAAATTATTAAATGACCATCTTGTTATTGGATGATCGAATTTTCAAAATTTGCCTCTAACAACATTCGATTTTTGAAAATTTTTAAATCCACGAAATACTTTTTATAAAAGCTTTTTTGATTGTTTTTGTTTTACAGTGTATAAAAGGAGAAAATACGCCCTAAAAGCCTAGTTATTTAAAGTTGTCTTGGTGTCTATTTAAGTAAAATGAGATTCCAGCAAAGTTTTAGTAATTCTAAACTTTTATAAAGTTTATTAGAGTTCAATCTTTGGTCCCCTCAGATATATCAAGGACAACGATTCATTAATCTGCATTTAAACAAGCCTTTAGTAAATACAAACAAACAACTTCTATGTGTATATTGTTAATCTTGAACGCTTCATCTCGATATCCAAGGAAGACACTTTAAATTTGAGGCTCAATACAGGATCCCTCAATTAAACTTATCTCTTCAAGGGGGCTTGATCATTGATCATCATTGATCATCATGGAGAGGAATGAAGTTCTTCATCAAATGGGGATCAATGCTTGATCTTGAGATTCACAGCACAAAAGTTCCGATTTCAAGACAGATACTCAACATTTCAAAAAGTACAAAGAACACTAACACATGCATTATGCACTAATGGAAATAAAACTTGAGATCTTATACTTTTACCGTTAATTTAGTTCAGCTTCAGATTAGCGTATCAAAAAGCTTTTTTTTCAAATATTTATATTCTTCTTTGAATACAAGGTGTATAGTTTATTATGTATTACTATTAACAGTTTACAACAAGTTAATATTAATATAGTAAGTGTAAAATCATATGAAAACATTAATATCTACTTTACTAAAACCCATTATTTCTTCAGTCATAATACTTCAAATTATCACGTACGGATAGCTTAGAGTTGAGGGTACCGGCTTGTGAGTCTAGGGTTGTTAATTGAAAAAATTTTCGTTTTTCGTTTCGTTTTTATTATTTCTAAAACGATCGTTTCGTTGTTGAAAATGAACCAGTAACCACTCGTTTTAAACTTTCAAAAAACGAAAAACTATCGTTTTAAAAAAAGAATAACTATCGTTTTAAACGTAAAGCAATCGTTTTTCAAAACGACCGTTTTTAAAAAACGAATTTTTTTAAACGATCGTTTCAATTTTCGTTTTTTCTTCGTCGTTTTCAAAACGAAACGATCGTTTTTAAAGAAAAGTGGAAACGATCCATCCCTACTTGTGACTAGTAAGTTAACCCCATAAAAGTACAAAAAAGTACACTTTTCTGTTTTTCTAAAATTGTATTATGTTTACTTTTGATTGTATAAACTGTTAATGATTTCTTTATTTAATTGTACTGCGAGCAAAGGATATTTCTTTGAAACAGATTCTTCTTTTTAATTATTATAGTACAAGACTTTCATATACTTTGTAAAATTGTGATTTTGATATAAATATGTAATATGTCATATAAATACTTTTCTACATCAAATATATAATATTTTCCATTGAATACGTTTAGGTGTGTATTATGTAAATATTACAGCGCACTGCACAAAGTTCAAGTTCCTTAAGAAATATTTCTTACATAACACATCTTTTAAAAACCGATTTAGGGGCTAAAAAAATGTATTAAGATTAATTATGACTTATCTAAAATATGAAAAATACGTGCTAAAAAAGCTCAAACGAGACTGAAACCACTGTATGTATAAAGCTATGCAAATTCATCAATTTTAGTTAACATTTCGCGATGTTTATGAATTTGGCGGTAAAATGTTGAAAGAAAGTTGATTGATTTATTTCTAATTATCTAATTCAGAGGTACATGTATGTATACAAATAAAGACAATTTGATTTTAAATGAGCTCAATTCACCGTCTGTGCGTGCACCTTGATCTCTTTCCAGGGTCAAGTCTGGTGCGCGTGCGCCTAAAAGTCTCACAGTTCGGCTTCAGTGCGCACTCCGTGAAGTTAGTGTCCGCTGCAAACCGGAAATGAAAGTACAGTGATCTGTGAAGAAAACTGATTTTTTTGCAACATTTTTCTCCCAATTTTATAACATTTTATAACGAATGAGAACTATTACGTACAAAAGAGTAATTTAATAATGTTAGTAATTGGAAATTCAGGGCGCTTCGCGCCCTTCTTTCTAGGCTTTTAGGGTGCTTCGCGCCCATCTTCTATTTAAACTTTTAATTATGGCTTTATCTGTGAGCATCTTCTCTTTGTACAGTATAAAACAAAAACAAAAAAGTTTGCGGATTTCATAATATTTTTTCGCGCATCTATATATAAATTTGGCTTGTCTGTCTGTTTGTCTGATTGTTTGTTTGTATCCAATAAACGTCAAAACGGCTGAAACGACCGGGCCCAAATTTTTTGTGGGACATCTAGGGACCCCAGGGAAGGTTTATGAATGATTGAAATTTTAAAAAATTGTGTTTTAAAGGTTTTTAATTTTGTAAAAAATTTAAATTTTTAAAAATCCGCAATTTTTTTCATCTTTGTTTTGAAATGTAAACAAAAAGAACATGTTCACAATTTAAATAGAAGATGGGCGCGAAGCACCCTAAAAGCCTAGAAAGAAAACTAGAAATTCAAGGCGCTTCGCCTTGAATTTCTAGTTTTCAAAATTTTACAAAAATAAAAAACTTTTAAACACAAATTTTTAAAATTTTAATCATTCATAAACCTTCCCTGGGGTCCCTAGATGTCCCACAAAAAATTTGGGCCCGATCGGTTCAGCCGTTTTGACGTTTATTGGATACAGACAAACAAACAGATAAACAGACAAGCCAAATTTATATATAGATGAATTCTTTGAATCCAAAATGATATATGTACTTTGCTTATGTTGGTAATGGTTTCTGTATAGTGCATACTTATATCATTAGATTATATAATAGATTGTAATTAATCTTTAGGAATAAGATTGACTTTCTTTATTGTTCATGTAATTTTTCATTACAAAAATTACTGTGGCATTTTTAATTCTGCCGAAGTAATTAATGTGCCAAAATTGAATAAGTTACGAATATTTAAAATTTTTTTTGATATTTAATAATTTACTAACTTATTTATATGAATCTTGGTTCCCTTAAGCAATAGAAGGAATTAATGATAGAGATTATTTTACATAATAAGATATATTTCACCCTCATTTTAACGACTCCAAAATTAATAGAGTGTATTCATTTTTCATAAGTTATATTATGCATCAACTATATTAAAGAGAATTGGGTCTGTCTTGTGTTAATTGTGTATTAAGCCATTGGAATATTTAAAATCATATCTTGAGTTTAACACTCGACTTACTAGTAATGAGTCGCACTTTCTAAAAAATGAAACTTAATAAGATTTCTCTGTTTCTACTCTCTATGCATATAATTACATCATCTATCTATCTATCTATCTAGTGCATATCCGATACCCCCTAAAGGCAGGTATATCAAGTATCTATCTATCCCTGTATCCGTGTATCTATCTATCTATCTAACTAACTATCTAAACTATATTCCCCCTCATACACCTTAGCGATGCATACAGCATAACTACGACTAGAAGAGGAGTGTAATCCTTGCTACAGCTGTTCAATGTTTATATCAGAAATCCTTTGTGTATGTACAATAACATAAATATGTTAACAATACTCTGATTAAAAGTGAAATTAAGTGAAACTTAACACCTGCGTTTGGCCTTTTCCTTACAAACTTCTGTAAAAGTGTGAAATCAAATTCTACGTTATTATATGACCTATTTTAACAAATTTTAATAGCTAGTTTGAAAAAAACAACAATAAAAAGTATAAGATTTAAACTTTTGAATAAAATTTCTTCCAAGTTTACGTATAGTCTTCAAACTTTTGACATCTCTTCTTAAAGTTTCAAAAACATTACAAGGGTCAGTAAAAAAAACTACGATTTACTGGTGGATTACGTCATGTTAAATCCAGTTTGACATCTATTATATTTATTTGTTCTTGGAGAACATTTACTGAGGTACATTTTAAGTAACAATTCTTTAATAATTAGATGACAAATAAAGTTTTATATTCAATATTTCTGATTACATTTGGAGTAAACTTTTCGACTACTTTTAGGTTTTTAAAGACTTTTTTTTATTTAAAAATTAACTTGTTATGACAACTAATTCCTAAAAGTTTACTTCATTACTTCATCGAAATTGAGGCCTGATTTTACAAATAATTTGAATAAAATTGACTTGAAATGAGGCCTGATGAGTCACCAGAACGTGACATACAAGAAACATGTGTCACCTTTTTCCTTTTATCGTGATTTAAATATTCTGAAGTGAATTGCTAACAAAAAAATGTTTCCTCCAAATTTTTGTGATTTTTATTAAGGTTTATTGGGTCTGTCCTAGTATACGATTTTTGGACCCCCCCCCCGTGCTCCAAAAATCGTTCGTTAAGAAAATACCAATTTTGGCAGTAAACACAATCCTTTTCGCTTAATCGTGGATATTTTTATGATAATATAGAAAAAAAAACTATTTTCGTTGTAACACTAACAATACATATGCACTTAGATATTGATTGTAATCATCTATTTTACAGTTTTCTAATTATAACTGTAGTCAAAAATACATAAAATAATTTGTTAGAATTCAAATTAGAGAAAGTTTAAGATAATTTAAACAAAAATACATAAACTAAAAAAACTAAAATTTTCTAAATCTTATTTCTTTTACTACTACCTTTATAATATTCCCAAATATAACAGGTATTCATCTAGTTTATTAAAAATTGGTGGAGAAATCGGATTTCAAGGTGGCCAAGACCGGATTTTTAGAAATATGGTGTGGGGGGGGGGGGTTAAGTTACTCGTACTTTTCTGATTAAAAAAACATACGTAATATTTTCATATTTGCTTTGACTTGAGTTTTTTTTCTTCAAAATTTAGAATTTAGAGGGTATATTAGTGATGCAAAAAAATTACATTTCTTTGATGTAAAGTGTACAATAAAAAGCATCAAAACTTTGTATTAATAATTATTGTTTTAAATATTCTAAATATTGATCAACTTTATAGTTAATATTATGTTATTATCTTATATTACAATTTTAACAACTTTCTTTGTTTTCAGCAATTTCATTTTCAAATTTATAAAAATATATATTTTATTCATCAACAAAGGCCATACTTACAATACTGCTTTATATAAATGTTAGTTATATATATAATATACATATTCTGTATTAACGTAATAACCTTATCTTTTTCAGTTAAATCTATAAGCTTCCTAAGGCTGCCAAAAATGCACAAATATAGTTGAAAAGTCCAGAATGATCTTAATATGAATCGATTTGGACGAAACACTGAATTTTGCCACAGAAAATCAAGGAAAAAGTTTATTTAAAAAAAAATAAAAATAGTTTTTACTAATAAGTATTTGTAAACATTAAATATGTCCTTTTTTGAAAAATAAAAAACTTTGAACTTAACAGTTATGGATAAGTGAACCTACAATACAACCTCAAAATGTTGAAAACTAAGCGAAAACAAAAAGTAAATTATTTAGTAGAGGTTAGTATGCATTAATATTAGTTTTTAGACATACATTTTTAAATAGCTCTCCCATATGTTTGTTAAACCGCTGTTGTATAAAAATGCTTTGTGGTTAATTTTACGTGATTAAACTTTTTTCAAAGTAAAAAGGATTTCTTCAGAATTCAACCTTTTTTCTGAGTCTGCGATTCAAAAACTTCGGCTCGAGTCGTAATTTCTTAAACCCGACTTTAAGACCTAATCTTCGACCCAACTCTAACGACAGCTTGTGCCACGTGACGGACAGCTGACACTTGCAAGATCTTCTGCTCGACTAAAGGAGTGGTCCAATGAAAATAAAACGGACCTTTGTTGGTTTTAGTGGAAAATAAGGCTCAATGTTGAGTCTTGTTCTAATAAAAAAACCCGGAATGCGCCAATTCCAACCTTGAAAATAGAATAGAATATTAAACCGTTTTTTTAAACTCAATTCTGTGGACATTAATATGCAGCTTGAATCCGAAAGCTCAAGCCGTGAATAAGGCCCAACGACAGCTTAGACCCGAGCCGTTTTTTCCCGAATTTTTAAAATCGCGGGCTCTGGACATATTATTCATCATGCAATCTTTGTGGTTGGTTTAACATTGTTTTAGTTCAGTTTTCTTTCATTGTAAGCCGAGAAAACAATTGATTCACAAAACTTGAAAATACAGTGGGAGTTGGGACCCATACAATAGTGCATGGAAAAAAAGACGATTTTTCAACTGAAATTATGATTTTGAATGGTCCAATGACCAAATAACTTTTTCACTTAAAAAGTAGAATTTTACAAAATAAAATACAGATAATATTGCTTAAACCTCGTCTCCTATTCTACATTGCTATGATTGCCACTGCACCCTTAACTAAGATTTTGTTGCGTGTTGCGGTGATCTACGGTACTCTTGTGTTTAATAAGTGTATTAGGAATTGTTTATCAATGATTTGAAAAAACTGGGATATTTTTTTTTTATTTTGAAGGAATTCGTTGAATAGATCATGAATATATGGGGTTTTTGTTATTATTTTAATAAATTTAAATTTTGAGAAGCTAGTTAAACAGTATATATTAGGACTGGCCGGATAACATGAGCATGGATGAGGCCGCCTTCGAGAAGTACGCCCAGCATCTTGAGCTCGAGGATTTCGAGGAAGAGGTCGTAGGACTAACCGGCAGCGCGCAGCAGCTGGTAGCTGCCAGGTACAGTCAGACACATAGATAGATAGATAGATAGATAGATAGATAGATAGATAGATAGATAGATAGATAGATAGATAGATAGATAGATAGATAGATAGATAGATAGATAGATAGATAGATAGATAGATAGATAGATAGATAGATAGATAGATAGATAGATATCCATGTATATCTCTTTAAAAGTCAATTATATTCATCCGCGGTTTCTCTTCATAAGTAACTTGCCACAGAAACAATGAAGGAAATTGTAAAAATTCAATACTTCTTTAAATAGATATAGGGTCTCTTGAAGTTCCAAGAACAGTCCCTTTTAAAAAACATATTTGCAGAAGAGACACAATAGAGAAACTGCGAGCTAGTGCAACATACTTGGATAGTATTTGGTTGAGGTAATTATACGATTAATATATTAACTAATATTAATTCAATTTGAGAATAACTACCTGAAGTGCCCGGCGTTGCCCGTGGAATTTAAAAAAGATTAAAAAACTATTTTTCAAATAAAAATTAGCCTATGTCACTCCCAGCCCAACCCAGGGTATCCATGGGTTTCCTAAAAAAATGTCAGCCTATTCGGTCTAGCCGTTTGGTCAGCTATTGATATATATATATATGAGCAAAAATGATTTAATAAATCAATCAGATAATGAATTATAAATGAATAAATAAAAAATATATGAAACTGTTGTGTACTTTATCATTCATACTCACTTCATGGTGAATTTTATTTTTGACGTGCTACAAAGTAATCATCGTGCTATAATGTTAATTTAGGTCCATATATTAATATATTGTGATTGGTTCCCAGATTTTCTCCAAAAACGAACCTGTAAAATCTTTCCCTGAGATGTTTAGAAAGATGAAAATTTCCCTGTATGATAATTGAAGGACTGTCGTATGGTTTTGGTGAATTGTATTGGCGTACTAAGCCTAGGGGTGTCAGAAATAATTTTTTTTGCATATTTTTAAAAACTCCTATAAAATTATTTTTCAAAAATTTTTTTGTTCTGGATGATTGCAAATATCTATCTAAAACTTTCTTAAACCGGCATATTTTTTCTATATTCATTTAGTGAAGAGTTTGAGTCAAAATAAGTATTTATAAATATTGCTTTATATCGAGTAGCTATCCTTAAACATACCGATGTGAAACCTTTCAGGAAGTAGGAAAGATTCTACAAACAAAAAGGGCCAAACCACCTCTATTAGTGGTTTAAAACTAAATAGCTGATGATTCATTGGAGGGAAGGGAGGAATGGCAAAATCACCAATTTCTAATTCCCAAATCTTTTCATGGAAAGTGATTGTAACATGGTATACAGAGTACTTCAGAGTACAGGGTACAATAATGTACTGCAAAGTACTGGGCTTTACTGTGGTATACTGGGGGTGGGGGAGGGGATACAGAAACCAAACAAAATTTTTATTTTTAATAACAAAATATAAATAGAGTCAGAAGTACTTCTAGGCATATTTTCTTTATAGCTTTGCACTATTTTCATGGACGAAAAAGCTGGTTTAATACTAATCAGCTGATCACTTAATGGAGGGAGGGATGGCAACCACGCCAATTTGTAATCCCCATATCTGCAGGGTACTGCTGGGTACTTGGGGTACTTTGGGGTACTATGGGGTGCTGTGGGGTGCTGTGGGGTGCTGTGGGGTACTGTGGGGTACTGTGGGGTACTGTGTGGGTACTGTGTGGGTACTATGGGGTACTGTGTGGTAATGTGGGGTTACTGCAGGGTACTGAATGGTAGTGCGGGTTACTGCTGGTTACTACTGGGTACTGAGGAGTACTGGGTGGTATTGGGGTGCACTGGGGAGGTTAATAGGGGTACTGGGGGTATTGCCGGGTACTGCGGGATACTGTGGGTACTAGAGAGTAATAGAGAATACTGTGTTGTTCTGTTTGGTTTGGCAACTTTTTTTTGCAGAATATTTGCTACTTTCTAAAAGGTTTCACATCGGTATGTTTAAGGATATCTACTCGATATAAAGCAATAATTATCAATAATTATTTTGACTCTTAACAAAGTGAATTTAGAAAAAGCATGTCGGTTTAAGGCTTAATACGTCAAAATAATACACCAAAACCTTACTGCTGTCCTTAAATTAACATACAGGGAAATTTTCATCTTTCAAAACATTACAGGGAAAGATTTAACAGGTTCTTTAGGATATTTCCAAAATATTTTTCTCAATTTTTCTCAATAAAAATAAAATTGAAATTAACTTAAAATTTTTATTTTCTAGTGCTAGTATATATCTAGGTGTAGGGTGAGTAAGACTATGGGTACTAGTGCTAGTATATACATATATCTAGGTGCAGGGTTAGTAAGACTAAGGGTACTAATGCTAGTATATATCTAGGTGTAGGGTGAGTAAGACTATGGGTACAAGTGCTAGTATGGTGGGCGGAGGCCTAACTATAGCTGGAGGAATACTCACTACCCTAACAGGTTCTTTAATTGAATAATTTAAAATAAAAGGGACTTGACCTTCCATTTTAAGAGAGCTTTGCCCCGATTTACAACGGTACCCTTAACACTTTAATGTGATCTAAGATGTAAAAAATACCATAATTTTTCTGACTTTAAAAGTGTTTATGACTGTGAATTTATCCATTGTTTCTTATATGCAAGAAATACGGATGTCATTTTTGCAGAGAAATCACAAATGAAAATAAACAGTTTAAATAAACAAAAACATGCAAATCTAATTAACAGTCAAACCTTTTAAGGGAACTGATGTAAATCGGGCATTGCCATCTTTGCATGGAGGTTCACTTGAAGTTATGCAAACAGTCCCTTTGAATAAAATAATATTATATGAGACTAATGTGTTTATATCTAGCTGGTGCTGCAGCTCCTATACTGATTGCTGGAATAGCGACATCTAGTGTTGGGGCAGCAACTAATATAGGTATTTATCACAGATAATACAGATATTTTTGTATAGATTCATTTATACGGTGGTAGGCGATTATATCAATTCAACAAAGTCGAATTTCTATTTCAATTATTGATTTTTATCAAGCTTTCAAACAGCATGAATACACAAAACATAGAAACAAAGAGAAGCTGCCAATTAACAAAGCTTCCCTTTAAGTACTTGTAAACTTGTAATGCAAAAAAAAGCTTCTTAACAATTAAAACTGAAATAAGAGGTAGTCTTCATTATATTGATATAATTGCCTACCACCATAGAAAATACAGTATTTCAAAGCTCCCTTGAATTTAATCTAATTTACTAAATTAATCTGATTTTCTCATACCCATAAAGAAACAGATTACTCGCCTAAAACTCTAATGTTTCAATTCTTATATATTTAAAATTTGATATCGTAGACCTGTGATAATTTAAACTATAAACCACGCTATATCAAATAATAAAAGTTTGAAATATCTAAGGTTTACACACAGCAATTGTGCAGTTTGCATAATTCCTTTTTATAAGCTATTTAGTTAAACTGTTTACACACAGATTTCACTATTTACTTTTATATTCCACAGTATTCTGGTTCTCACTGTATGTATGTGTCTTAGTTTATCTAATTGTATACGCAAATTATTGTTTTCTTGGAAAACTGCAGTGGAGTAAAATAATTTTGTTGTATTCTTTTTTATTTGTAGTTAAAAAAAATAAGTTTGTGAATATTTGTCTCACCATTTTGAAATTTTGAACTAAAAATATTTTAATAATAATATATAAAATATTATCATAATAATATAAATAATATATATTTAATCTAGGAACCAGTGTAATCGAGAAAATACTCAACAGCAGGTAAAAATTCTGAAACAAAATATTGAAAATATAATTTTTGAATTTTAAAATGTTAACATTTTTTTTATTTATTTCCAGACAAATCAAAGATATGAATGCAGCCCTGGAAAGAGACAAAGGAAACTTTTAATTTTAAATATTTATAATCTTTAGACATTTGAAAAGGAATTAAGTCTCTGCTACAAACTCAAACTGTGTAATTCTTTTATCTTTGTAACCTTCTTTTATCTTTAAACTTAGACTATTTGACCCAACAGAATGTATAGTTTGAAATATCTAAGGTCTACGGCATTGGGTTGCACATATATGATATATAGGGATTAGAAAATCAAAGTTTCTTGCAAAGACTCAATTCCTTTAAGCTCTAAATAATAACAGTTTTTATTTGATTTAAAATAGTTTTGTTTGTGTAGATATAACGTTAAAGATGGAATCCCAAATAGATGATATAAGGTATTTCGTTTTAAAGGAAATATTCATAAATTTAATCACAGAGACTTTACTAATAAGTGTAATACAGTTAAGGGTTTATTAATCGAATCTGCGCTCTAAGACCTGGGAATAAAGCTTATTTTGTAATAAATTCTAAAAATGTATTTTTGTACCAACAGGACAGCAGGAATCTATTAGAATTTTTTTTAAAATTGACAAATTAATTATTAAATGTTAGTGTAAAATTGAAGAACTAATTGTAACAACCAAGGATTATATGCTATATCTTTAAATTATTGAATACAAAACCCTTGCCGACTTTTTTGTCGAACTATGCATAAAATAATGAATACGAAAATTATTTCACTTTTTCTTGTTATCATAAGTTACTGTAATGAAACTATGTTGTAGACGATATAAAGATTCTGTTCACCTCTCTCTACTTCTGCTTTCTATTGAGAAGTTTCTGGGTAGTAACCATCTTATTTTCACCATTCTTCAGGTTAGTGCTAGTCTCAATTCCTTTACATTGCATTTCTGATTTAAAAAGGAAGTTAAGGCTTTTTGTGGGATATTTCATCTTTCTATTTTGATGTTTAATGTGTATACACTTACAGTAAACAATGTTCTGTATGAACTACTCTGCTAAATATTCTTATTAAAGGAAAACTGTTCCTTTCTATCATAAGTTAGTGAAAAATAATTTTTAAAGGGAGTGACCGGCAATGCATGGTGGTTGAACTGAATATGTAGAATTGTGAATACATTTTTTAGGATTCAGTTGAGACTTATAAAACTTTTCTACGAATATCTTTGCAACCCGATGTCGTAGATCTTGGCTATTTTAAAGTATAAATTCTGTTAAATCAAATAATAAAGTTGGAAATATTGAAGGTTTACATTATCTGGTTGCAAAGATTTATATGGGATTAGAAAATTTCAGTTTGTTGGAAAAAACTCATTTCCCTTTTTTGCTGAGATAGCAGAGATTATTTTAATTGTTACACAAAAATAATAAAAGAAATGATAATTTTAATAGTTTTTTGATGTTCTTCTATGTAATAGGCGGTACATTATCTAATAGATAGCTGATGCCCTCAATATTGAAGAAATCTACATGTATAATTACAAACTACATTATTTTAGGGAATTCTTTTGTACGATATATCTAGTACTCTCCCCTTCGCTACAGGCCTCGCGGTCCAGGTATTTCATATATATTCTATAGCAAACACCCCCAGTCGTAAAATTTACAAAATGTGGTCTGCCATCTTCACAACTTTAAAGTTGACGGAGCCACAAAGAAATTTTGTACTGACTTAATATTATTTAATGAAGTTATTAAATTGTCTTAATTTCTAATATCTGTCAATTTTAATGAATACTCGATTTTTGAAACACCCCAGACCATTTATTGAATATCAACACCCCAGACCATTTATTGAATATCAGAAATCAAAGAGAAACCCTTCAAAAAATTAATTCAATGTGTTTAAGGGAGCTGAATCCATAGCCGTAGCTGCTATATCTGGAGCAGCCTCTAAAGCAGCAGCTAGTGTTGTCGGAGGAGCAGCTGTAAATCCAGCTGCTATTGGACAAGCTACAGGAGCTGTTGTAGGAAGCTGTGCAGCTGCAGCCACAGCTGTAGGTAGATTGAAAAGCACAATTGCTATTTTTAATCATCAGAATATCTTACATACATACGTAAAGTCTTCTTCTTAATCTACAGTTCATTGGGCCTAGTGTACATATTTAATTTTCAATTTAAAAATTAAAATAAAAAAATAATTCCTTTGACAAAACTTTATATTTTCCAGGTCTTGCAGCAGGAACAGCTGCTGGGTCAACAGCTTTAGCAGCTGTTGAAGTAGCTACAACAGCTGGAAGTAGTGCAGCTGCTGTTGCTACAACAGCTGGCAACAGTGCAGCAGCTGTTAACGGAAGCATGGCTGTGATATCAACGTCTGGAAAAGAAACTGCTGTCAGTTTACTTAAGAAGACAGCAAGGTACACCTTTTATTGGATTTTAAAAAAAGTTTATCGAAAAATCTGAGTTCGGAAATTTTGTGTATCGTACCTCGTAATCGTTAATCTGAAACGCCAGAACTTTTAAATTTGCGGATCCATGTTTGATCTCTTAAAGTTATGGGTATGCACATGCAGGAAACCAAGGGATATAGGAGAGGAATTAAATGTATTTAAGTAAAAAAGCTAAATAATTATAATCAAAAAACGTTAAACTATAATTCTTTAATTTTCAAGTGACCCTTCATTTATATATTGGCATGTCTGATTCACAACTAGTGTTATTAATTGTTTTGAATCGTTTTTAGATCAAAATTGGTAAATTTTCCAAGATTTTAAAACTGTATTATTTTAAATTTTGCTTATAATTTAAATTTGCGATATCTTTAATCTAAACAATAAAAAAAAGAAAACCGGTTCTTCAACACGCTCGTTTTTTCATCGTTTTTATGTCTTTTAGCATGTATCTTCTGCCAGGGTCCAAGTATGAAAAAGTTTAAGAAAAACATTATGTCAAATTTTGATCCTGAAAACAAATATAGCCAAAAACGACCCGAAAACGACCCAAAAACGACCCAAAAACGAACCAGAAACGAACCACGGAAGGAAGACACTTCCCAATTCACAACAGTATCCTTAAAAGCTTTGTCTGATCAAGCATGAATTAGTTATCCATAATTTTGATTTTAAAAGCCGATTATTTTATGTATTTATTTTGTGGTTATCTCTCCAGTAATGACAATAAACAATGTTATCTTTAACTTATTAATAAGGTAAAGGTTCAAATAGTACCGTTATAAATCAGGGATACCCATCTTTAAATGGACGGTCATATAAAATACAAAGACAGTCCCTGTATGTGAATTCTCTTGTTTTTAATCTCACTGTAAATAAAATGTTTGTTAAGGGATGGAGTAAAATACAATCCTATTGATGCCGGAGTGTTTGTGGAGGTAAATATAAATATATAAATATATAAATATATAGATATATAATAAGTAAATATGTAAATATATAAATATATAAATTTTAATCTTAGGTGTTTCGAAATCTATTTCTTATAAAAAAATCTGAATAGAGACAAAACTAAGCACTTTTCGAATTTTTTTAGAGGGTTGCCGACAAAGGACGAGAATGTAAAGACGACTTGAAACGCTTCGAACATGACGATCCTAAGTTTTATACAAATCATTATGCCTTGGATGTTGCATCTATCAATGGCCAACTTGATGATTTGTTAAAGAAAGAAAGAAGTTTTTTAGTTGCAGGGAATCATGAATATAAGAAAACGGACAGTATAAATTCCCCACAGTCGTCTCTGAAGTCTCATCCTTTGTGGGTAACCCTGTGAATAAGAATATCAGGCACTAGGCAATTAAAAAAGCTAGGAGGCTAAAATGTATTATACAAACACCGTTTATAACATAAATAATAATTTTTTTCCAGAGCGGTAAAGTGATTGGGCAGAATAGTATACGGGTTGCAGGCCAGGTTATTATAGGTAACATACAACCATACTACATACCAAAGTGATTAAATACTAAAGTGGGCCAAACTCATAGTTGGATAACGACATTTTATGTCCCAAGTATTTAAAAATAATATATATACATATATAGTAACTATATACCAAAGTGATTAAATACTTAAGTGGGCAAAACTCATAGTTGGATTGAAATCTTTTCATGCAATTATTTCCAAACCAAATAAAACCTTATGGCCCAACCTGTCGTCGTTGCCTTAGTCTGTTCCACTTTAGTATTTATTCACTTTGACTACATACAGGGTCTTCCACTAAACATGAAAATTATAAAAAGATAATAAAAAAATTACAAGTCTTTTGAGCTTACATTCAATTTATAATTAGATTGAATGTTAGGAAGATTTTAATGCTATCAACGAATTTGTGTATAATGAAAAATGTCTGTAAAATCACATAAGTGGTTTAAAACACTAAATTCATATATTAAGACGAAATTAAAAATTAAAAACTAAAGGATTCGAGTCTTTGCCACAAACTCAAATTTTCTAATCACTATAGCTTTGCAACCTGACGGTATGAAGCTTTGCTATTTCAAACTCTTATTACTTGAGCTAACAGAATTCATAGTTTAAAATATCTAAGGTCCAAGACATAGGGTTGCAAAGATGTAGGAAAAAGAAAATCAGAGTTTGTTGCTAAGACTCAATTCCTTCATAAATTCGTTAGAAAATAATCTTTAAAAAGTTTAATTGCAGGAATCAGCGCAGCATTTCTTGTTTGGGACGCCATTGATCTTGGATTTACAATCAGTGATCTAGTCAAACGACAGGGTAGTCAGGCAGCCAGGACACTCAGGTAGTTTAGAGGACAGGGTAGTCAGGCACCAAGGACACTCAGGTAGTTTAGATGACAGGGTGGTCAGGCAGCCAGGACACTCAGGTAGTTTAGAGGACAGGGAAGTCAGGCAGCCAGGACACTCAGGTAGTTTAGAGGACAGGGTAGTCAGGCAGCCAGGACACTGAGGTAGTTTAGAGGACAGGGTAGTCAGGCGGCCAGAACACTCAGGTAGTTTAGAGGCAGGGTAGTCAGAGTTTAGAGGAAAGGGTAGTCAGGTAGTTTAGAGGACATGGTAATCGTGTAGTTAAGAGGACAGGGTGGTCAGGTAGTTTAGAGGCAGGGTAGTCAGGTAGTTTAGAGGACAGGGTATTCAAGTAGTTTAGAGGACAGGTAGTCCGGTAATTTATAGGAGAAAATATATAGGTAGTTTTAAGACAGGTTAGCTGGGTAGTTTAGAGGACAGGGTAGTCGTGTATTTAAAAGGACAGTGAATAAGGTAGTTTAGATGACAGGGTAATCAGGTAGTTTAGAGGACAGGGTAGTCGTGGAGTTGAGAGGACAGTTAGTAAGGTAGTTTAGAGGACAGGATATTCAGGTAGTTTAGAAAGATTGGATAATCAGGTAGTTTAGAGGACATGGTTGCCAGGAAGGTAGTTTAGAGGACAGGGTAGTCAGGTAGTTTAGAGGAGAGGAAAGGTAGTTTTAAGGACAAGGTAGTCAGGCAGCCAGCCATTTGGTTAAAGGTTTAATAACGGATTAGTCAAGTGTTTAAGAGTTTATCGAGTAGTCAGGTAGCCAGGTAGTTTGGAGGACAGTGTGTATATAGTAAGGTAGTCAAGACTCAGGTAGTTTAAGGGACATTAAGGACATTAATTTAATCAGCACCATTAATGTTCTTTACAGTTTATTCCAGAACTTCGGAGCAATTGAAGAATTTATAAAATGTCGTCTTCTACGCCTACTGATAATGTAATGCTGCAGATATTACTTTTTTGCTTGATTAATAATATGAAGGTCTTAAAAATGCTCCCGAATGTTTTATTGCCTTTTATTTATTTTTTCACTGTCTTGAGATTTAGGTTTAAATAGTATAAAACCAATTGGAAAACATTGTAAAGACGAAATTTTATAAATTCTTTCGATTCTCCAACTTTCTTTGTTTAACTGTACTTTGTTTCAGAGAGAAAGCTGATATCCTTGAGAATGCATTGGAAGAGACAATAGGAACCTATTCTCTTCGTTTACCAGACTAATAGGAACCTATTCTCTTTGTTCACCAGACTAATTGTTTAAACGTGATATTTCAAGAAAGTCTGAAACCTATCCAATCAGTTTATTATAGCTATTAACCAGTGAGAAACTTGCATTATTATTCAAGTAGTATAAAATTGGGCCTGTAAATCACAAGGTGCGTGTTATCAGAGATAATTCTAAACCGGGCATATTGTTTAAAATTAAAATTTGGAAAAATAAATAAACGTAAAAAACCTAACCCGATCTATGAAGATTGCATTGCCAATTTGAAATCAAAATAAACATCTAGCAACATAGAGCAATGCCCAGTCAGTTACTATAAAAGTCTGGAAATCGGAATCATATCAAGTCTGAAAAACGGAATTAAATGCTTGGAAACTAGAATCTTGAGACTGGAATCCAGAATTTTGAGACTGGAAACCAGAATCTGAGACTAGAAACCAGAATCTTGAGACTGGAAACCGGAATCTTGAGACTGGAAACCAGAATCTGAGACTAGAAACCAGAATCCGAGACTAGAAACCAGAATCTTGAGACTGGAAACCAGAATCTTGAGACTGTAAACCGGAATCTTGAGACTGGAAACCAGAATCTGAGACTAGAAACCAGAATCTGAGACTGGAAACCAGAATCTTGAGACTGGAAACCAGAATCTTGAGACTGTAAACCGGAATCTTGAGACTGGAAACCAGAATCTGAGACTAGAAACCAGAATCTTGAGACTATAACCCAGAATCTTGAGACTGGAAACCAAAATCTTGGGACTGGAAACCAGAATCTTGAGACTATAAACTAGAATCTTGAGACTGGAAACCAGAATCTTGAGATTGGAAACCAGACTATTGAGACTGAAAACCAGAATCTTCAGACTGGAATAAGAATATTGAGACTGGAAACCAGAATCTTGAGACTGGAAACCAGAATATTGAGACTGGAAACTAGAATCTTGAGACTGGCAACCAGAATCTTGAGACTGGAAACCAGAATCTTGTGACTGGAAACCAGAATCTTGAGACTGGAAACCAGAATCTGAGACTAGAAACCAGAATCTTGAGACTGGAAACCAGAATTTTGAGACTGGAAATCAGAATCTTGAGACTGGAAACCAGAATCTTGAACCTTGAAACCAGAATCTTGAGACTGGAAACCAGAATCTAGAGACTGGAAACTAGATCCTCAATCGGAACACCTAAATCAAGGTCCTTAGAACCAAAAGAATAAGTTTAAAATCACTTTATTACGTTAAAGATATTTTCTAAAAAACATGGTGAAAATTTGAGCACGTAGTTCATGTGTAAAATATACATGCAGTGTAAACTAAATGTTATACTTAAAAATATACTTATCCAGTCATTAATCACTGCTACTATATTCTTAATATTCACAGGAAAAAAATGTCATTGTGCTATTTAATAATTTGCATTCCATTTGTAATAACTTCGTGTAATATATATTTATAATTAGTCTTTCAATTGTATTTATATTTTTTTAATACATGAACTTGTATTAGTCAGTCATAACGTTTTACAAGTCCATATTACATAAAGTTATTTTTGTTATTAAAAATTTATAAAAGGAGCTTAAAAACAAGACAAAGAATCTTGCCTCTATTTGAATTAAAAATTTACAAATCAACTATTTAAAGTCTACTTTTCAAAAATATTTCAAAAAGTTCCTTTTGTTAATTCCTTTTATTCAACATTTTATTATTCTGTCAATATGGATACTCAGAAGTTATAAGTAGAACAATAATAATGAAATAAATTGTTTGTAATAATAACAAGTCAACTCCCATTCTTTGGAAAACGAGGTTTATTTCATATAGGAATACTGAATATAACAATAACTTGGTATTGAGCCATGAGCCTAGAACATCATAAACATATTCGTTCTTTTTTATAAAAGAACTCGAGGACTATTTTAAGTGAAGAAGCGATATATTAAATACCATTTATTTTACTATTTCATAACATACAATATTGCTAGATTGTATATATATTTAATACACGAGTCTGAACAACATCATTTTCAGTAACCTTTCATTCTAAGAGTGCCATTTTCAAGAATTTTATAAACATGTAACTCAAGATTATAACTTTGATCTCCCTACAGAAATACACAAGCTGCCCTAAAATCAATACTTTTTTATAGAAACCTAACCAACATCCATACTTGGATAAAGAACGAAAACCAGGTGGGAATTCTATATGGCATTCTTTAAACGGAGGACATTGAACAATGCACTTATAGGGACTGTAAAGGAAAAATGAAAGGGGGTAAAGGCTGAAACCTGAGGATCTCAGGAGTTGAACGATACCTATAAGACATCTATCTGATGTTTCTGTCTCGAGAAATTGACATAAAACTGTGTCAAAATTATACCAAAAAAAGTATATATGAAAGATTTTGTATAAGATTCTTAGTATTAAACAGATCATATTCAACAAATACGCAACTAATCTGAAAACAACGATATCCCAGAGGGGCTGAGAAACTCAAGTTTGCTTCTATTATTATTTGAATTTAATAATTTTTCACTTTTAATAGATATAATTGATAATATTTATGCGCCCGAGACATGGCACCAGAACTCCAACCAATGGCAGTGCAGTATTATTGTCACCTGTCTCCGTCCGTATCATGTGACCAGTATTCTGCACGACCATTGGAGGGAGATCTTGTCTTGATTCTCAGGTTTCAGCCTATACCCCCTTTCATTTTCCTTTACAGTCCCTTTAATCATTTGATGAAAACATTTAGAATTCTTAGTTATAAACTACATTCATGTTTTTTCTTCTTGTGTCCGTTTAAACTTGTCTGAGCAGAGGTCGAATACTCACATTTATTGCAGAAATATTTTAATCCTAAAAACACAGTAGATCGTCAGCAAAAAAATCCAATAAAAATTCGATCAAAACTATTCATAATTCATGTAATCACTTTCGTTAATGAGACAAGGTTACCAGCTTGGATTTAAAACCACTATTAGCTTGTTTTATACCATGATATGCAAATACATATATTACAACAATTCAGATGGATAGAAACGAGATAAGATTATTGAGTGATTCAATCAAAGCAATATTTATCTCGGAGATACTTGCTACTAAAAAGTTAAAATTTAATATTGATCTCAAGCAAATATTCTTTGAAACTCTTGATCTACCGTACCTTTATGTTTACTTAGCACATGTTGATTTAGATTTGAGACTGTAGTTGCAGAATATGTGCATAAGGTACAGGGATACCGTATACCATCGTGCTTGCTTTGCTTGTGCTTTTTCAGATCAGAGGGAAGAGTAGCGCCGTAACTACATTGATCACAGTAATACCGCTTTCCGTCGTGTTTGGTTTGTTTGTGTTGCTTCAGGTTGGAGGATGTTGTGGCAGCGTATTCACATTGATCACAATAAACCCTGAAAAATAGTTCCTTTAAAAAATAAATGTTGTATAAAAAACAATGAAAGAAACAGAATAAAAAGAATTAAGCTCAATTTAATAATAATAAACCAACTCCCTTACATCTTTTTCGACATTACATGAGGAGATTGATTTAATTTGTAATATTTCCTGAAAGTGAGTTTAACTTAAGAAATCCAGAAATTTAAATTTTTTTAAAATAGCAACACACATTTATTTAATGAGACTCCAAAATAAGTTAGTGTACTCCTGTAATGGCATCCCTCCCACCCCCCCTCCCCCATACACACAAAATGTCAATTTTAGGAACTGTGTAATTCATTCAATTGACCATCAGTTCCAGCATTACAAAGATAGCAATGCCTGATTCACAACGGTACACTTGAAACCTTTATCTGATCAATAGTGTGGTACATAATGTTGTTTTTCTAGATTTTAAAGTGTTTTATTCTGATAATTCCTATATGTTTTCCTGCAATAGAATTGCGTAAGGCACTTTACAGGAAAACCACAATTAAAAACAATGAGTTTTCAAAGTTTTAAAAATTGATATTGATTCATAATTGATTTTAAAAAGGCTTATAAAAACTTAAGCATACCGTTGTGACTCAGGCATAAATATTAGATATCTTTGCATTTTGGGTCGCCTGAATTACGCCTACAGTTCCTGTAACTCAATGCAATTTCGTTATATTTACTACAAAAATAAATCACTACAATGATCTTAACGATCAAGATTTACCGAGTGGTGTTTTCGACTACAATAGTACCATTTATATATCAATTGTATCAAATCTAATCAAATCAAAATGTATGAATTCATGAACTAAATTACCTTAATCCTTCGTGTTTTATTTGTTTGTGTTTCTTAAGATCAGATATTACAGTAGCTCCATATTCACACTAACCATATGCTTTATTTAGAATATTTTTACTTTTTTATTTAGAACGTGTCTGTATATATATTATATATGTTGCCGTTAAAGCTCATTTTCTAGCTTGCCTATTCTGCAAAAATACACAAGTTTACACACGCCTAAGCGTCTATTATAAAGCTATATACATAAAGTAGTAATTTATGCTTGCTTGTTTCAATGCCCGATCATAACTTATGAACCCCTTTACTTATTTGCCTCAAATTTTGGTATGGGAAAATTATCTTAAAAGAACTAAAGCCTAGTTTTTAAATTTCAAATTGAATGGGTCGACATTTGTAAGTTATCTCAAGGAAAAGCTGGGTTTCCAAACTAGTATTTACTTAAAATAAAAGCATTCCTGATCACAATAGAATCTCACTCCTTCGTGTTTACTCTGTTTGTGATGCTTTAAATTACTTTGTGTCGAGGCGGCGAATTCACATAAATCACAAGGATACTTTATTCCCTCGTGAATACTTTGTTTGTGCTTTCTCAGATCTGAAGATATAGTTGCTGCATATCCACACTCATCACAAGGATATCTAACTCCTTCGTGCTTGATTCTTTTGTGTTGTTTTAAGCATGCTGCAGATCTAGCCATATAATTGCAATCAGAACATGAAAACTTTTTCACCGGTAGCATTTGATCTATATCTAAAGAAAACAGAACACTTTTTAAATTAGGAAAAGCCTATATATTTTTCTATAATATCACAAGCGTTTCAAACCCCTACTTCCTCTCTATTAAATTTATCGAAGGAATGTTGCAATACAGTGACGATTAAAGAACATAATTTAATATATTAAATAACATTTTCTGAAAAAGAAAATCTATCCCTCCCAAAAAAGCCTTTATATAAAACTTGATCGAGTTATTAGAGATTAGATCTTTCATAAAAAAAATGGAGGAAAAGAAAATAAATGTGGATAAGGTTCTGTTCCTAAATGTTGAATTACTGAAGGGTAATTGTTTGGATGAGGAGCAGGGTTGCCTGGAATCTCCATCCTATCTGAAATTACATTATCTAGGTTTTGAAAAAATGCAATCCACCACATCTAAATTATATTGTACTTTTAAACTCGTAAATAATTGTAATACAAAGTCTAGTGGATCCAGTATGTATGCCAATTAAAACATTTTACGATACGAGAAAAAATATTTAGATTTTAAGATAGAAATAAAAACAAAATGTCGGGTCTTGGGGGGGGTCCAAAAATCGTATACTAGGAAATTACCAAGTCTCTTATACACACTACGCTTTATAAGACCTTGGAATAGTGTTGCAACGGGGTAAGAATGTTTAAAATTAAGTATAAATGTATCCGAATCTGTCTATTTTTGTTTTGACGAAATATTGCGTTAATGCCGCGGCCTATATTATTATTATTATTTAACAGAAGTCGTCTTTTCTATATTTTAAGAATTAATGGTGGATCCGTATATCTGAACTACTGCCATTTGAACTATTGAACATTCGAACTATTGATCGTTTTAACTATTGTTAATTCTATCTACTGATAATGACGTCATTTCCTGAAGTTCAAACAACACATTAATTACTCATTTAAACTTTTAAAATTAAATATGCATGCAGGTTTTAAAATTTCATATATTTCATGAAAAATATAGTTCAAATAATCATACGAAATAGTTTAAATGATCAGGGGCGTACGAGGGCTTTTGTTTAGGGGGGGCACTAGTTGCGCGCGTAAGCGCGCAAAAAAATTTTTTGGTCCCCCCCCTTGGCAACATTGGTCCCCCCCCTTAAAAACCCCTTTTTTGAAAAAATATTAATACCTTTTTAAATTTTTTTTGCCCCCCCCTCTCCCACCTGGACTTATTTTGTTCACCATAAAAATACACCAAAAAGACTACTTTTTTTGGGTGTTACTAACCTTAGAGTCTAAAAATTATTCCTTTGCTTGAAAAACTAACTTTTTGACTTTATAAATTTATCACTTAACTCCATCACAGCTAACTAAATCAATAATCACAGCATCATTAAAAATTATATTTTTACGAATAAACGAAATTTCTTCTGAAATTTTTAGATAGAATTTACTCAATCTACATTTTAACCAAATCTTTTAAGCTACAATTTTCTGGGATTTGCTTGCACAAACATTTCAATGACAGCCTTATAGGGTGTAAAGCTATAAGTGCAAGATCGTTAAGTCTGCTCTCCGTCATAGAACATCTTGTGTAAAGAAGTATTCTCTAGAAGGCTAAAACTTTTCTCTCCTTGTATTAACAGTGAATTTAGACAAATCCTTAGTCTTTGTCATTGTCAGGTGTTACTTTCTAAACATAGTTTCCTTTTAATTTTGTATTTTTGGAACTCCCAGGGGGGGCAAGAGAACTACTGCCCCCCCCCTAGGTACACCACTGTGCCCGACCTGAGGAAGGGAAATGCAAGCAGATGTAATATTAAAAGAGCCTCCCCCATGGATGCCCCCCCTCAGCCTCTCAGGGGGGGGCACGCGTAGAGGGGGGCGGGGGGGCGCGGCCCCCCCCCTCGTACGCCCCTGTAAATGATCAAAAGATATTTCACCATGGACGAAAAATAATTCAAATTACCAAAAAAATAGTTTGAATGAAATATTTCAAATGAAGCATTTATTAGTTTATGAGCAATTTATTCAAATGAACAAAAAATAGTTTAAATTTGAGAAAAAGAAATTTCAACAGTTTTCAAAAAAATTAGTATATATATTTAGGGAGGTTAGCTTTAGACACTTTTTGGGCCGTGCACTGTGGCTATACGAAGTAGGCTAGGAGACCGAGCACTGCAGAGCTTGGACAGGCCTGTTATAGGCCGGGGCCGGGGCCCGGGAGCTGCGGCCATGACCAACTTTTTTTTAACCAATTTATGTGTTAAATATGAGATGCTCGAGTGTTGTGTCAACTTTTTTTTGGCTCATTGAAGTATTTTTTGGCACATTTTGAACTATATATTTTTTGGTTCATTTGAACTATATTTTTGTTTCAAATTTGAACTATTTTTTGCACATCTTAACTATTTTTTTTTGCTCTTAAGAAGTTATTTATTGCTCATTTGAGCTATAATTTTGCTCATTTAAACTATTTTTTGGTGCATTTGAACCATTTTATTTGCTCATTTGAATTTTTTTGCTCATTTGAACATATATTATTTGCTGATTTGAGCTATTTTTTTGTTCATTTGAACTATTTTTGGTTCATTATGACTATTTTTTTGATCATATGAACAATTTTTTGGCTCATTTGAATTATTAAGTTTTGCTCATTTGAACTATTTTTTGGTTGATTTAAACTATTTTTTGGCTCATTTTGAACTATTTTTATTAATAGTTTAAATGAACAATAAAGATCAAATGAGCAATAGTTCAAATGCTTAAAATAATGTTATCGTTTTAACTATTATAGTCGCTTGAACTATAATTACATGTCACATGTGGTACCCGTCCAATAGTTCAATATTAGTCAATAGTTCAAACGGCAGAAGTAAAAACTAAATGCACCAGAACACAATTTGCGAATTCTATCATTCAATGCAGACGAGGGAGGGAACCCCGGACGCCATGTCGAGCCTCTGCTATGCAAACACGAGCCTCCCTAGATTTGCTAGGCAGAACGAGCCTCCACCATGCAGACTAAGTCTCCGCTTATGCAAACTGTGTCGATCTGCATGCAGTGAACGAGCCTCCATCATACAGAACAGCTTTTTTTAAATCTTGGTTTTTATGTGTTATGAAAATGTTAAAAATTTTTTTAGACGTATGTGGCATAAGAATTTTACTAAAGATTAGATTTATTAATTGATTGTCATGATTTAAAAACATATATGGACTCATAAAGTGTTTTTTAAGATTTAATCTAAAACTTTAAACATTTCTTACTCAGAAAGGAAGATATTTGGAGAAATATTTCTGGCGTAAATTTTGTTTGTTTTGTTGTAAACTTTGATTTTAACAATACCTTTATTTGAAAAATGTTAAGATTTAAATAAAATATACAACTAATTTTAATTTGAACTACAAAAAAAGGTATTACTTATAAATCAAAGATTATAAAAGATGAAATTAAATTCAATTCAAATTGTTTTTTGTAAAGAATGTTAGAAGTTTCGTATACCACTTTATTAGTCATAATTAGGAAGTATTTATGATAACTGATAAATACTTCTAATCTTTAAAAAATCTTTAAAGATTTAAAAAGATTTAAAAAAGCTGTTCTGTATGGTGGAGGCTCGGTCACTGCATAGCGGAGGCTATTATGCATTAATATTATCAAAATGTAGACAAAAAATACACTCAAATCATCAATCAAATGTTATATAGGCAAATTGATAAGTAGGCAAACTGTTATGCTGACAAAATGTTATACAAGCGAATGTGTACATAGGCGAATGTGTATGATAGGCGAAGTCTAGACGAAAGTGTACTAGGCAAAATGGTACTAACCCTCCGTTGGGGGTTGTCGACTGAATCCCCAGAAAAAAAATATAATACAGTATTTAAATCTAATTTGTAACTATATTGAAAGACATGCCAATACACATATTTTTATATGTAAAAATTAGAATTTTGAAGGCAGGCATGTTCTCCACGTAGTAAACCTCTTCAGTTTTGCTTGCAGGATTTTGATCAATAACCTATCAAGTAAGTTTACAATAATATCATATTTTTCAAAAAATATCAGATAATTTTAATTCAAAATCTGTAAACTGGCTAGAAAACCATTGTTTAAAGAGGGTTTTTCACATTCTCTTGATGGTATATAACAAAAAGCTGGATAGTTAGAAGAAGAAAATTATATCGTGCTTGGCATTTCCAATCCATAACGATACCCTTAAAAGCCTTGTCTTTGTATTCATGGTCAGAATATTGAAAATTGATTATGTCCAATTGTCGTTTCTCTGCAAAAGTGATATACACGCATTTCTGTGGCAGAAAAACAATGTAGAAATTATTAAAATTCCACGCTCTTCAAGGAAGAAAACCTGCACGTTAACTTTCAGATTATTAATCAGAAAAAGATTATAAGGGTTTCGTTGTGAATTGGGCATTCTCTCTTTAAAGAGAGGGTTACTTACAATTACAAAAAAAGTCCCATAAATAAAAGAATTTCATGGATTTTAATCCAAAATGGCCTTTTATTGTTAAAGTTTTTAAACTAGCAAATTTCACCCCTAAAAAAGAAACAATTTTACTGCGCATATTGCGCAGCTAGTATATGTCGTATATACACATTTTCAAAGTACAAAGAAAAGAATTCGAAACCTACAGTCATAGCTCATTTCTTACATTTTAGAAAATTCCCTTGATTTGAAAAAAGTACATACCCGTTACGTAGTCCTTATAGTCCGTATAGTCCTGCCATGTCTTTGAATTAGTTGGGTTTGCTGCTAGATTGATTTTTCTCGGCAAGTTATCAAGATTATTATTACTCTGAAAAACAATTATTATTTACACAAAAATGTTTTAGATTTAAAAACATAAAAATGTATTATATAATAAAATTATAAATTATATAAATTATAAATTATAATTATAAAAACGTTTTAATGGTTTTAGAATTCATGGGCCGTGCGGTGGACTTGTAACAAATTCTCTTCTAAGAATTATCAGATAAAAAAGTAACAAAATTTGTTTCTTCATTTATACTTCTTTAATCTTTTACTTATTGTAAATGCGTAATTTCAAGTAAATATTTATCAAGAAAGTGCCAAGTGAAAGATTTACTCGTGAAAGATTTGTCGAATTTGATTGACATGTTTTTATGATTTCAGGGGAAGAAAGTTCCAAACCGTGATTTGGCCCAGAACTGACACTGAGTGTCAGGTTTAGGCCAAAAAATTACCCTTTTGAGTGTTTACATTTCTTAATTTAAGCCGAGAAGTAAAAAACCGTCTGCATATTTTAATTCAGAAAAAAATTTGAGTACTAAACCCCTACAGATAAATAAAACTTATTTAGAACATGTCAATTTTTTTAAGCAAATTCAAAGTTTGGGCGCAAAACACGTTTTGGAACATGTTGCGATTTTGAGACATTTAACAGATTTGAACCAAAAGTATTTTCAAGCATTTACACAATTTGGTAACAATACACGTTTTTGTATACAGTAGAATTTAAATAATGAAACTATAAAAATGCAATTAATATATTCTGTTCATATATTTCAAAATATAACGACTTAAAACATTAAAACATTCTAATATTGATATTTAAAATTGAATTGAACAGAAAATGCAGGAAATTTTTTATTGAAAGGGAGGTACCTTGTTAATCATTAAACTGCGGTTTGTTCTAAATTGTTGAATATGCGCGAAAATGGAAAACCTTGTTGTTTGGAAAATGGTATCCGGGGTTTAATGGAAAATGGTATCTGGGGTTTAATTGAAAATGGTATCTGGGGTTTAATTGAAAATGGTATCCGGGGTTTAATTGAAAATGGTATCATGGGTTTAATTGAAAATGTTATCCGGGGTTTAATTGAAAATGGTATCCGGGTTTTAATTGAAAATGATATCCAGGGTTTTAATTGATAATGATATTCGGGCTTTAATTGAAAATGGTATCCGACTTTAATTTTAAAAAAGAAGTAAATAGCACGGGCAGCTGTTGCACATTTGAATTTCTGAGCCGGGACACTCAATAGGTCTAGCCGGTGCAGCAATGTTAACGCAGTCAGACTTTAGGTTGAATTTACATTCACTAAAGGGCAAGGGGTGCGTGATAGTGTTATTTGTAGTTCTCTTCGTGCTTAATAAAATGTTGGAAATAATTTCTTTAATTTATAACAAGAAGTGTTACTAAAACGTTGATCATAATATTTGTGGCAAACCTGACACTCAGTGTCAGGTTTGGAACATAAGAATGGTTTTGAACTTTCTTCCCCTGAATTTAGAAAGCTGATTATTTTCTATTGTGGTTTCTCTACAAAAGTAACAGTTGTATATTTTTACTACTGGAAAACATATAGAAATTATCTTCCACATTTTTGTTCAGATAATGATTTCAAGGGTATCGTTGTGAATCGAGCATGGTGGGTCACTTGAAATTACGTTTACAGTCCCTTTAAATATAATATTTGTTATCTGAATATATTTAATAATTACCTTGATCCTTATTAGATATAATTTATTAAATCCACTAGATATTAGACACACAAATACCAGGAAGCGGGTCAATCTCATTCTATTTACACATGCAGTGCAATTAACCAAATTAATTATAGCAATTATTAAACTAATGTAAACCCCATATTCATGAGTGTAATGCAACAAATGCAATTATTGAACTTATGTAAACCCCATATTCATTAGTGTAATGCAACTAATGCAATTGTTGAACTAATGTAAACCCCATATGCATAAGTGTAATGCAACTAATGCAATTATTGAACTAATGTAAACCCCATATTCATGAGTGTAATGCAACTAATGCAGTTATTAAATTAATTTAAACCCCATATTCATGACTCATGAGTGTATTGCAACTAATAACGCAGTTATTGAATTAATGTAAACCCTATATTCATGAGCGTAATGCAACTAATGCAATTATTGAATTAATGTAAATCCCATATTCATGAGTGTAATGCAACTATTGCAATTATTGAATTAATGTAAACCCCATATTCATGAGTTTAATGCAACTAATGCAATTATTGAACTAATGTAAACGCCATATTCATGAGTGTAATGCAACTAATGCAATTATTGAAATAATGTTAACCCCATATTCATGAGTGTAATGCAAATAATGCAATTATTGAAATAATGTAAACCCCATATGCATAAGTGTAATGCAACTAATGCAATTATTGAAATAGTGTAAACCCCATATTCATGAGTGTAATGCAACTAATGCAATTATTAAACTAATGTTAACCCCATATTCATGAGTGTAATGCAACTAATGTAATTATTGAACTAATGTAAACCCCATATTCATGAGTGTAATGCAACTAATGCAATTATTGAATTAATGTAGACCCATACCCATTTAGTGTTTAACAAATTTATTCAACCACCGAATTAATGCAAACCTTGGCTTTAAATTACAGGGTTCAATTTTAACAAAATGCAACCACTAAAATAATATAAACTCAAGACACATGTAGGATGTAAAGAAGTTACTCCAACATGGATAAGATAAGATAAGACATATTTGTTACACTTTAAACACAGTTTTTTCTTATATATTTTGTTCTATAATCCCTATATATTTTCAACATGATGTCGTAGTGTAATAAATATCGGGTTATATGATATTCCGTAAATTTGCAGTACGTTGTACATTATTAATGATCGATGTTTGTTCATAAAAACCCCATTATTCATTTTAAACTGTGTTCTTATTGAATATGTAGCATTAAAGATTTTATCGCAAAATCCAGTTATATAGTTTGCAAAAGAAAATTTATCCAAAAAATGAAAAATTATACATTTTTGAAAAGCCCTTGACAATGCCATTTCAAATATGCCAAAAAATTTGCAAAATTTTAAATAACCTGATTTTTAATCAAGAAAAACTAAAAATGTGCAAATTTCCTTTGACAGGTTGTTTGCAAAAAATTTGTGATTATTTTTCGCAAAACTTGTGCAATTCGTTTCCTTAAGTCAAAGGTTTTCCTAAAAGCTAAATTTTATCAAAATCTGACAAGTTGAAGTGGGTCAAAACAAAGATTTAGTTTGTTACAGGAAAAAAACAGTCATTCAGGCAGTAAGCCTAAGGACTTAGGCAGTTAGTATTAAAGCCAGGTTTTTACCTAAAGGGAGGGCTTTGGGTATGTAGGAAAAGTCAGAAAATTTCAACATCTTCAGACCAATACTTTTTTAGTTATGTAAAAAAAACTACAGGGGGGAGGTCAAATGGACCCCCCCCCAGCAGGAATAGGGTTAAATCATGTGATATAGATAACAACATAGGAATTGTAATTACGTCTATTATTTTAACTTGTAACCTATAAACCTTAAATTCAGTTAGTTAGAATCAGAACTCCGCTTTGATCACAGTGTAGAGAAATTGCACTACCGTTGAGTATTTGGGTTGAGAGCTTACGTCATGATAGGGTAAAGATCGACTAAGGGCTTGATAGATAGCCAATGCTGGTGTCCAGTGTGGCATTTAGAGCTGGAATATTAGCTTGGTTGATAGCTACGCTTGTGTCCCTGTGTGGCATTTAGAGCTGGATTAAGAGCTTGGTTGATAGCTACGCTTGTGTCCCTGTGTTGCATTTAGAGCTGGATTAATAGCTTGGTTGATAGCTACGCTTGTGTTCCTGTGTGGCATTTAGAGCTGGGTTAATAGCTTGGTTGATAGCTGCGCTTGTGTCCCTGTGTGGCATTTAGATCTAGAGAAAAAGCTTGTGTGATAGCTACGCTTGTGTGACATTTAGAGCTGGAGTAAGAACTTGATTGATAGCAATGGCTTGTCTCCCTGCGTGGCATTTGAGCCAGAGCAATAGCTTGTTTGATAGCTACGCTTGTGTCCCTGTGTGGCATTTAGAGCCTGAGTAATAGCTTGTAGGATAGCTACAGAGATCGCACCCAGTGGTATTGGCGTTGATAGTTCACAGGTATGAACTCTGTGGATTGCGTCCTGGTTGACTTCGAAAGCGGAAGGGTTGTACCTGGACTGATACAGTTTGGGACGAACTTTTAAGAGTATGGCATTTACTACAGGAGACAATTAATAGGTAAAAATATGAATCAGTCTTAGTTTAAAATATTAAAGGTTTACACAATCATGTTTGATGCAAAGAAAATCCGTAAAGAACAAAGTCAAAGAGACTGAACTTTGTTTAAATTTTACATTATGTTTGATTAATTTATTATCAATTACACAGTAAAAAAATACATTTTTTAAGTGTGAATTAAACATTTAATATTTTCCCATTTTAAAAACAAACGAATCTTATTAAATATTTTTATTTATTATGGTTTACCTATCTGTTTTTATACGGTGATAGGCGATTATATCAATACAATGAAGACGACTTTCGATTTTTATTTTTATTCAAATGGCTAAATATAAACATAAAATTCAAGAGAAGCTGTCAATTTAAGAATCTTCTCTTTGATAACTTATAAACTTGTAATTCAAAAAAGCTTGGTATCAATCATAAATAAAAAGTCGTCTTCACTGTATCATTATAATCGCCTACCAATGTAGAATTATTGCAGATCTTGATTTCCTGAAAAGAACTGCGGAGAGTTATGTGTTGAATGTTATTGTTTAAAAATTAATTTTAAAACAAGGATCAATTAAACCAAACAACGCATTGCACAAAAATGTTTATTAAATCAGCTTTACTACTGATTTTTTAAATGAATTTTTCCCGTATAAGTCAAAGTATCACGAAAAGTTTCAGTTCTTAACAAGATCCTTTACACTTAATAACTGTTTACAATAATCGTTATTTTTTATATAACTATACAGGATGTTGTACGAAACACGACAGTTCGTGAAAAGTGTAAAATGTCTTCTTCCATAACTTGTTAAGTTGTTTGATACCAAAGATAATAATAAAAAATATTATACAGCAAATTCAAAACTATTCACAAACAGCCAATTTTCGTGGTACACCCTGTAGTTCATAACAGTCGTAATCAGTCACATTTAAATTTGACCCCCAACCTTTAGCTTAAGTTACATGATGGAGGCACCAACCTTTAGGTTTAGTTTACATGATGGAGGCACCAACCGTTTGCTTAAGTTTACATGAGGGAGGCACCAACCGTTTGCTTAAGCTTACATGATGGAGGCACCAACCGTTTGCTTAAGTTTACATGATGGAGGCACCAACCTTTTGCTTAAGTTTACATGATGGAGGCCCCAACCTTTAGCTTAAGTTACATGATGGAGACCCCAACCTTTAGCTTTAGTTTACATGATGGAGGCACCAACCTTAAGGTTTAGTTTACATGAATGAGGCACCAACCTTTAGCTTTAGCTTACATGATGGAGGCACCAACCTTTAGGTTTAGTTTACATGATGGAGGCACCAACCTTTAGGTTTAGTTTAGATAATGTACAATAGTAAAAGTATGATTGCTTTCAACTTCAAAATAAATGAATACTATGAAAACCAAAAATTGTTCAATAATTTATTAAATATAAGAAAATATAACAAAATCAGTTAACAAAATATTTATGATTTAACACCATCCGCCATGCTACTCCTGCTACTCCCGCTACTCCTGCTTCTGCTTGACCTTGAAGTATGGCTGCTCAGCTGACGGACAAAACAGATGTTGTCCGGTTCCTAACCCATCTTCAGAACCTTAGAAACAGAACAGTAATCTGTTTACCTATCATCTGTTTACCTATCATCTCTTTACATGTCATCTGTTTACCTGTCATCTGTTTACCTGTCATCTGTTTACCTATCATCTGTTTACCTATTATCTCTTTGCATGTCATCTGTTTACCTGTGATCTTTTTACCTGTCATTTGTTTACTTGTCATCTGTTTATTAGTTTACATTTCATCTGTTTTCCTGTCATTTGCTTATCAGTCATCTGTTTTTCCGTAATTTGTTATCTATCATCTGTTTACTTATCATCTGTTTACCTGTCATCTGTTTACCTATAATCTGTTTACCTATAATCTGTTTACCTATAATCTGTTTACCTATAATCTGTTTACCTGTCATCTGTTTATCTATCATCTGTTTACCTATCATCTGTTTACCTTTAATCTTTTTACCTGTCATCTGTTTACCTGTCATCTGTTTTTCCATCATATGTTTATCTATAATCTGATTACCTATAATCTGTTTACCTTTCATCTGTTTACCTGTCATCTGTTTACCTATAATCTGTTTATCTATTATCTGTTTATCTATCATCTGTTTATCTACCTTCTGTTTACCTATCATCTGTTTACCTTTCATCTGTTTACCTGTTATCTGTTTACCAATCATCTGTTTACCTTTCATCTGTTTACCCATCATCTGTTTACCTGTCATCTGTTTACCTGTTATCTGTTTACCAATCATATGTATACCTATCATATATTTACCTGTCATCTGTTTACATATCATCTGTTTATCTATCATCTGTTTTTCTATCATCTGTTTATCTACCATCTGTTTACCTATCATCTGTTTACCTTTCATCTGTTTATCTATAATTTGTTTACCTGTCATTTGGTTACCTATCATCTGTTTATCTATCATCTGTTTACCTATCATCTGTGTACCTGTCATGTGTTTACCTATCATCTGTTTACCTATCATATGTTTACCTTTCATCTGTTTCCTGTTATCTGTTTACATGTCATCAATTTACCTATCCTCTGTTTTCCTTTCATCTGTTTATCTATCATCTTTTTACCTATCATCTGTTTACCTATCATCTGTTTACCTGTCACCTGTTTAAATATCATTTGTTTATCAGTCATCTGTTTACCTATCATATTTTTACCTATCATCTGTTTAGCCATCATCTGTTTAACTGTCATCTGTTTAAATATTTGTTTATCAGTCATCTGTTTACTTATCATCTGTTTTCCTATCATTTGTTTATCGGTCATCTGTTATCTCAGTTTTCATGTAATCTTTTTTCCTGTTTTTGCTGATTATTCATCTGTTATCTGTTACCTATTTCATCAGTTATTTAAATGTCTTCAAATCACCTGTTGGTTGTTTACCAGGGGTTCCAGTGAAAAGTTCTTCCCAAACCATCCCTGCAGCTTTACATTAAAAATGTATATATTAGTTTAATCATGATATCGATTTAAAGGAGACCGTTGTGAATCGGAATGTTCTATTTAAATGTAGGGTCACAACATTCATAATTTACCTAAAGCATTGAGTTTTTGACTGGGATGAAAACAATCGGGAGCTGAAATTCAGAAATGTTTTAGTTTTTAATGATTAATCTAAAAGACTAGTTTTCCAATTTTGAACAACTTTTTTCTGTCATTTGTCGTCTTCACTCAAAATTAAATAAATTTTAGTGTGCTGGGCTGTATGGTAAGTAAAAAGTTAAAACGGTTAGCCGTTTAAAATTTTAAAAAATAAGAAATACTAAAAATCTACATTTAATGGTTAAAAATGGGTTGTCAAGTAAGGACTAACTGACAATGAATCTGACAGCTAAATCAGCGTGCTATAGTCTTTAAATTTGGGTTTTGAAGATTTTGAGTTTGAAAATGTACTTATAAAATAAATCACCTAAGTAAGCAAGGTCTGGGAATAGATTAGTATTCTTGAAAGGATGTAACTGCACCTTCAAGCTTTTATCCTATATATTTAAGTTCATGCTCACACAATTTATTTTCCATTAAAACAAAATTGAAAATATTTCATAAAATCCTTTCTTTTCTTTTTTCTTTCACCTTCGGGATTTGAAGATATTCTGGTGTTTTTATAAATATTACTGCTGCATCTTCTCTCTCTCTATACCTAAATATATTATCTATTAAAAAGAATGTGCACGTTTTGGGTTTGTTTACTTTTTACAATGACAAATAAGGGTTGGACCTCAAACACATTTCAGTTTTACTCTAATGTCATCTTTCTATTCCATAGTTTTCTGGTTCTCACTGTAGTTAGATTGTGATAAAGCAAAATTTTAGAAACAAATATGGCGAAGAAGTAAAAAAAAGGTGATTTGGTTATAATTTCATATTTTTACCTTGCCGAGGTGGAGAGGGCCTCCATGCTTGTCCTATACTCACTAAGCTTCTGGAGTAATAGTAAAATTAATTTAAGCAAAGGAAATGAACACATACATTGATAATTTTATGAATGAAATCAGTTTAACTCGTCTAAAATCAACTTTATCTTGTTTCTGGGTTGCTTAATTGATTGACTGATTGATTAATTAATTGGTTGATTAATTGATTAATTGATTAATTGATTAAACCTGTAAGAACTGGTTCCTAGGTAAAGCATCTGCTCCAGCAACACAAGGGCAAAGTACAGGCATAATCTTCTGGCAGACAAGAGGTCGCTGAAGAGCAGCCTGAACTCCACTTACATCTACAAACAGAACTACGAGCTTACGTTTCACGCAAAATTGCGCTATAGTGATTGTAAATTTAACCGGATTCAGCCTAAAGTCAGCTTTTTAAAACGATCAAAAAACGATCATTTTTCGTTTCGTGTTAAGATCGTTTTCAAAAACGATCATAACACGAGAAGCAACCGTTTTTTTATACGATCGTTTTTCAAAAAAAACAATAGTTCTAGAAAAATTGAAATTAAAAAAAAAATATGAGTTTTTTAATTTTTGTTTGTTTTGTAACATGAATTCATTTCCAGTAACATTAAAGTATTTTTTAAACATTTAAAAATGATATGTAAATATCATTTCGATCATAAAAATATCTGTAAATTATCTGCCTCTTATGTTACTCATGTGAGAGAATATAAAGATTATTATGGCAGTGCTTTTACACTGATCAAAATTAATAAATTCAATATGTTTAGTAGAATGAAAAATATATCGTTTGTTACATTGTTATGTTATTCTGATTCATGTAAAAAATAACTTGAATATGTAACTGAATTTTTTTATAAACAAGGTTTAAATTACGTTTTTTAGTTTCAAGGTCTAACTTTAAAGATTATGTGGTTTAGTACTGCATGGTTAAACAAATATAATTTAGTTAGAAGTTTTAAGATCTGCATTCTAAAGTTATATATTGTGTAAAATGCGTTAAAACTAATTATCAATCATGTAGGAAAAAGAGAATTTATTGTTTTTATTACAGCTTTATTTAAAGAATCGAACATTCTAATAAACAACAAAGTATATTTCATCATTTTTTAGGTAAATATTTCATATTTACGATTGTATGTGTAAGTTTTAGTAAAGTGGTACTTAAAACCTGGTTCAAAATGGTTGACAATGAAAATCTAATTCACGAACATTTTAATAACGGTCGTTTTTAAAACGACCATTTTTTTACAAACGACCATTTTTAAAAAGAAAGACCGTAAATCCATAAAAATTCCGTAAATTAGCGCTATATTACATCATTTTAAATAAAAAGTATTAAGGATTAGATTATCAAAATAAATTGTACTTCCTAGTACATAGTACATATTTTACAGTATTTTTAATATTTGCTAACAGAGTTTTTTATTGATTCAAAGGAAAAGTATAAATTCGCATAATTTTTAGTTCATGTCCAAAATGTATATTTTTTTCTTCAATTGTATATTATGGGTTGAAAATTGAACAAGTTATAAAAGTTTTATGTACTTATAATTGACACCAAACTTATTCAGCAAGTTTTTACTAACTTTTGTATGACATACTTAGCTTTAGTTTAACATGGGATATGTAGAATAGAATAGAATAAAAAGAACCTGGTATAGACAGAATAATAATGATTATCCTAGGAGCTGAATACATAACATATGTAGAATAGAATAGAATAAAAAGAACCTGGTATAGACAGAATAATAATGATTATCCTAGGAGCTGAATACAGGATATCCACAGCTGAGGCTAAAGAAGAAATAAAACTATCCACAGAAGGGGAAGAGGATACACACGAATACTAACCAAACCAAATATATTCAATTCTACCAAACCAAATATATTAGATTCTACCAAACCAAATATATTCAATTAAACCAAACCAAATATATTCAATTCTACCAAACCAAATATATTCAATGCTAGCATCCAAATCAAATATATTTAATTAAACCAACCAAATATATTCAATTCTATCAACACAACCATTTAGTTTGAATCAGTTCAAAATGTAAAATTTATTCAGTTTTGTTCCTTGCATAGATCATTAGCACCCACATGCACAAACACAAGCTGGAAATAAATAAATTTTAAAAGCCATTTAAATTTTTTAGATTGAAATTTTGAAAACCATTTTTTTACCTTCCAGTCTTCCTTAAAGCTGATATTTTTAGAGCTGATCATTTCCTCCATCAATTTCTTGGCTTGATATTTCATATTCTATTTTTCAAAGTATTGGTTTAGAGGTATGCCATAGTGCCCCCCCCCCCCCAATAGATATTAATCGTTATTCGTTATAGAAAAAGTTTTTAACAAAATTTAAATTTAAATAGATTATTTTCTAGTATGCGTTTTCTTCACTTTGTAAACTGAGTAAAATAAGTTAAATTTATTTATCAACATCGTGAATAATTTAAGAAATAATAAAAGTATTTTTATCCTTAAAATAAAGATTTTAAACCTTGGCCATAGCTCCTGGTTTTGCAAAGTTAAGCCCAGTGCCTCCAAATGATCCTGGAAAAAAAAAATGTTTGATTTTTGTTGTCAAGTACTAAAGTACCTGTAGTACAGTTCTAGAGTACTGCATATGTCTAGTCTAGTACTAAAGTACCTGAATCTGTCTAGTATAGTACAAGAGTACCTGTATATCTTTCTAGTATAGTACTATAATACCTGTACCTGTCTAGTATAGTACTAGAGTACGTGTATTGTATCGGTCTAGTAGTACTAGTGTATCTGAATCTTTATAGTATAATACTAGAGTACCTGTACCATAGTACTAGAGTACCCCTATCTCTCTAGTATAGTACTAGAGTACCTGTATTTGTCTAGTATAGTACTAGAGTACCTGTATGTCTAGTACAGTTCTAGAGTACCTGCATATTTCTAGTCTAGTACTAGAGTTCCTGTATCTGTCTAGTATAGTACTAGAATACCTGTATATCTTTCTAGTATAATGCTAGAGAACCTGTACCTGCATAGTATAGTATTAGAGTACCTGTATTGTATCTGTCTAGAATAGAACTAGAGTACCTGAATCTTTATAGTATAGTACTAGAGTACATATACCTGACTAATACAGTACTACAGTACCTGTATTTGTCTAGTTTAGTACTAGAGTACCTGTATCTGTCTAGTTTAGTACTAGAGTACCTGTATCTGTCTAGTATAGTATTAGAGTATCTGTATCTGTCTAGTACAGTACTAGAGTACAAATATCTATCTAGCATTGTTCTAGAATACCTGCATTTGTCTAGTATAGTACTAGAGTTAAACCTATATCTGTCTAGTATAGTACTAGAGTACTAGGATAGTGCTAAAGTATCAGGAGTCCTATAGAGTACCTGTAGAGTAACCCTGTAGGTTTGGATTATATTCTCTAAGTATATTTGGTATGGTTAGGTATTCCCTCCATGTTTTCCCTCCTCCTATAAATCATACAAGATATTTGAAAACAAAGCAGCTTTAAAGAGAGTGTTCGCGAAAAATGTAAGGGGAGTATAGACTTACAGCGAAAAATTGTCGATGGTGATCGCTAATAATCTTATTTCTATGTGTACTGTCTATAAAAAGAAAATTATTAAAAACGTCACATACCGAAGAACGTAGCATCCATACAAGTTCAGAAAGTTGCAATATTCAACTCGGACCATAAAGATCAATTTAATTCCAAACAAATCATTTAGATATTACAAGCTATAATCATCAATAATTTTTCGATGCATTCGTGTATAGTTGATATTTCATAATATTTTAGATTTTTAAAAAAATTCATATTTAAACTATTTAGATTTAGAGGAAACTTTATTGAACTATTGAATATTAATAAGCATTAAAAAAAAAAAAAAAAATTGGTTTAGAGGACTGAAGGAAATGATCTTAAATTTTCAAAGAATGAGAAACATGTTTTATAAGAAATACTTGGGGCCGGTGGTAATTATTCTTTACCCTATTTTTCTATGTAGAAATCATTAATAAATTGGATAAAAAAACGATTTTTATTTTCTTTGGATCGTGACGAAAAAGTACTGATGACTATATTTTTTCAAGTCTCTAAAACTTCCTTTAAAGGTTGTGTACATACTGGTTTGTACCTATACTGGTTTGTACCTATACTGGTTTGTACCTATAGCAAAAGATTGTTCAGGATATCGTGTGTAAGCTTCCAGAGGACTTCTAGCCAGAGAACCGGTTCCAGCTAAACTCAATATTTCAAAATAAGAAATAAAATATTAATTGGGGCCCGACTTTTAGGGGAACGTAAAAAACCTAAACCCAAATAAACTGTTCTTAAATTTTAAACTATTACACTAATTGAATCTTTGATATTTACATTGCATCACTACAAAAGGGAATATTACATTGCCTCGGCTTTGTTGGGTCCCAAACATGGAACAACTAGAATTTAGAGATTTTTTTGCTACTGAATATTAAATTTAGAGATTTTTTTTTTAATTTCTTAAAATTTTTAAATATTTGTAATTCAAATTCAAATCTGTTTTATATTTTCAAATGTAGGTAGATTTTTAAATGTTTTATATCAATTTAGAAATATTTATCTAATATCAATTAATTCCTTTAGATATTTGAATATATTTCTTTTTTCTTAAGATATTTTTCTAATATTTCTTTTAAACATTCTAGAATCAAATCTTTAGTATATTTAAGAATTTGAATTAGATAGATAAAATTAATTTTAAATATATTTAGTTTGATTCCTGTAGATATTTGGATTTATTTTTTTCTCAAGATATATATTTGTAATATTTCCTAAAACCGAATCTCCAATAGCGCCAACCACAGCAATGTTCCGCGGACCAATAAATCTAAATGAGAATAATAAATCTTCAACATTTTGGAAGAAAAAGAAAAGATGATAGTTACATCTCGATCCAATGACTAGAAAAAAAAAATTTCTTATCCGTATTTGAGTTTTTAGAGGCATTAAAAAATCAGAGTTTGGGGCAAAAATTCAGTTTCTTTGGCTGATTTTTCATAAAGTATTCTTGGAATTACTTGAAAGGAAACGAGTTTTTGCTACAAACTCTAACTGATTACCCCCTATATCTTTGCAACCCGATGTTGTAGAGTGTAGACTTTTGATATTTTAAACAATGAATTCTGTTAGATCGAATAGTCTAAGTTTAAAATAGCATCGGTTTACGCCATCTGGTAGCAAAGATATAGAGATTAGAAAATTTGAGGTTGTGGCAAAAACTCAATTTCTTTGTTGATAAATACAATTAAAAGATAAATAATGTCAGAAATAGCTTCAATCAAAGTTCGGTTTACACCTGACAATGTCCATTAAGTTTTAGAATGTCCGGCCTAGTATTGAATATTTGGGCCAAGGTTGCCAAGGAAGAAATGTTAACTGAATGTCAACTGAAGCAATGTGGCGAGAATAGGAAATCCCAGCGGGGTAGGCTGATTGGTTCTATCATTAAGAGAAAAAAAGCATTTATTCAGAGCAGGGTTGACCAAATCCGATAATTTGTTAACCATGGAGTCCTAACATTTTAAATCTATCATCTTAAATTATGATTAGGTAATAATCGAGCCTGTGAGAAAAAAAATGTTTTTTTTTAACACCCTTTATATTATTTAGTTTTTTTACAGAAAATCAGATGGAAGAAGATATCTCATGGATTCTTGACCAGACAAAGATTTTAAGGGTACCGTTGTGAATCGGAGACATGCCACTTTATAAATAATAAGTTCCTTGCAGTTACATCTATACACTCTACATTTTCTTTTAAAAAAAGATGAAAATTATTGCGCTAAATAATTAAATTCGTAAGAATATAACATTGTATTTCCAATCCCTAGTATCACATAATCAATACAAGGATGCAAGTAGATGCTGGGGGGACAGCCGACTTTTTTGATTGTGAAGACGGATATTTAAAGTCCAAAATTTGTAAAAATAGCCTGATTTGATTTAACTTGTTATTCAACTATGTGAACAATGACTTTGAGTATCAGCAGGCTAACCTTTAAATACCTAACATCAGCAGGTTGACCTTTAAGTACCTGACATCAGCAGGTTGACCTTTAAGTACCTGACATCTATAGGTTGACCTTTACGTACCTGACATCTGTAGGTTGACCTTTAAGTACCTAACATCTGTAAGTTGACCTTTAAGTACCTGACATCTGTAGGTTGACCTTTACGTACCTGACATCTTTAGGTTGACCTTTACGTACCTGACATCTTTAAGTTGACCTTCAAGTACCTGACATCTGTAGGTTGACCGTAATAAAAGTTCCTGTGCGATGTATGACAAGGAAACCTGTATTCTGCAGGAATACCGTCCTGGATTCGGACTAGAATAAATATTATCAATTTACTTATCTTATCAATTTACTTATTGCTGTTTTCTAGATTTAAAAATGTTTAATACTGAGCATTTTCAATCTTTGTATCTGCAGAAGAGATGCGCAAGTACCATATGTAGAAGATCCACAATAAGTTTGTTTTTTTAAATAATTTAACATGTTTCTATTTGTGATTGAAGTTACGATTACGCAGTGTCTATAAGAAATTCCTATAATTATTTAAAGAACCAATTTAAAAATGTATCTTTTTTACGCCAAAATTTGGTAAAAATGTGTAAACATTTTGAAGCTCAAACAATATATGAAAAAATATTTCTCTGCTAAAGTTTTAAAAATTTTATGGATTTCTGTGGTTCTCCAATTTTTAATATTATAAGAGTTTCTAAAAAAAAATAGTTTCAGTTTAGAATTGAGTTTATTTTATAAATGTACATCATACTTGCGCCAATTTGTCTGAAATATAATTTCAATAATATGCAGGAACTTTAGTTTTTATGTTGGTCGAATTTAACCATTAGTTAAAAAGTTACCTAACTAAATGTTGAATATAAAGCAAAAGTCTTGTTTTTGTAAATATAAATGTATCATTTACTCTCATACAAATTATAATCCATTGTAAAAAATAACAAATTATTTTTATTATTTTTTAATATTTTTAAAAGAGGATAGGGATTAAATGAAAATTGTTGTATACCAAAAAAAACTTTTTATAAAGGAATGCTAATTTATTATTTGATTATTAAACCAATTTTTGTGATAACATTGTTTTTGATAAAAAAAGAAAATTGTTTCAAGACTTTTTCCTGATCTAACGTGTTGAATCCGTCACCAGAAGGAAAACTCTGACTAAAATATTTTTTGTTTTACAGTGATAACAATAAAACTCTAAAATAGAAGACGACTTTTAGAATCAAGACGTAACTTTAAAAAGTCCGACGAGCAGGAGACACAGCAGTTATGCATTGTAAACAGACGTGCACATTCGCTACATTAGTGATTCATTACGGGTCTAGTAAAACTTTATTCTATGTGACAACATTACATACATTTAAATATTATTCCAATGTCGTCTTCCTATTACATTGTTTTCTGGTTATCACAGTATGAAAATTTTAAATGACTGTAAATATTAACAATAAAAATGTTCAATGTAACATCATATAAACAAAGAAATAGCTTTGCATATTAAAATGTGTACAATCTATATATAAATTTGGCTTGTCTGTCTGTTTGTCTGTCTGTCTGTCTGTCTGTCTGTTTGTGTCCAATAAACGTCAAAACGGCTGAACCGAACGGGCCAAAATTTTTGGTGGGACATCTAGGGACTCCAGGGAAGGTTTATGAATGATTGAAATTTTAAATATTTGTCTCCATCAAAATTCGATCTTCATTAAATTCTTTAAAATTTTGAAAATCCACGAAATTTTTTGTGAAAATCCGCGAATTATTTTTGTTTTGATTTACGATGTACACAAAGAGAACATGTTCACAATTAATTTAGAAGATGGGCGCGAAGCGCCCTCTAAGGCTAGTTAATTTAAAATAAGTTAAAGTTTAACTTAGGTCTGAATTACCTTACAGTGTAAGCCTTTTTAAAAAACTTTAAAAAGTCTTCCATTCCAGCGAACGCCGGCATAACAAGCTGAACAAAAGTGTCTTACAATATTTTATTATATTATTGTTGTTTCAAAATGTTAATGGGTTGATGCAGTGAAAAAGTACGTTTTAAGAATTAAATAAATTTGCTTTTTAATGTGCTCTAAAGACAAATTACTCTGTACAGTGTACACGTTTTAAGTAAGACCTTATCTTAAAACAAGTTTCTGAGAAAGTTTTAATTAAGAACCTGTCTTTGCAAAGGTTCTATCAGGAAAAACTCCCCAGCACGTTTTAAGTAAGAACCTAGCTTTGTGAAGGAATTCTATTAAGACAAATTGCTCTGCATGTTTTAAAAAAGAACCTAGTTCCTGAGAACGTTTTAAGTAAGAACCTAGCTTTGTGAAGGTTCAATTAAGACAAATTACTCTGCATGTTTTAAGTAAGAACCTAGTTCATGATAACATTTTAAGTAAAAACCTAGCTTTGAGAAGGTTCTATTATGACAATTTCCTGAGAACGTTTTAAGTAAAAACCTAGCTTCGAGAAGTTTATTTAAAGACAAGTTCCTGAGAACGTTTTAAGTAAAAACCTAGCTTTGAGAAGTTTATCTTAAGACAAGTTCCTGAGAACGTTTTAAGTAAAAACCTAGCTTTGTAAAGGTTTTTATTAGACAAGTTCCTGAGAACGTTTACATTAATAAAAACCTACTGTGTGAAGGTTCTATTAAGACAAGTTCCTGAGAACGTTTAAAAAAAAACTATTTTTGTGAAGGTTCTATTAAGACAAATTCCTGAGAATATTATAAGTAAAAACCTACTTTGTGAAGGTTCTATTAAGACAAGTTCCTGAGAACGTTTAAAAAAACTATTTTTGTGAAGGTTCTATTAAGACAAATTCCTGAGAACGTTTTAAATAAAAACCTACTGTGTGAAGATTATTTTAAGACAAGTGTTCCCGAGAACGTTTTAAGTAAAAACCTAGCTTTATAAACGATTTTATTAGACAAGTTCCATGAGAACGTTTTAAAACAAGTTCCTGAGAACGTTTAAAATAAACTATTTTTGTGAAGGTTCTATTAAGACAAATTCCTCAGAACGTTTTAAGTATAAACCTACTTTGTGAAGGTTCTATTAAGACAAGTTCCTGAGAACGTTTTAAGTATAAACCTACTTTATGAAGGTTCTATTAAGACAAGTTCCTGAGAACGTTTTAAAAAACCTTTTTTGTGAAGGTTCTTTTAAGACAAGTTCCTTTGAACGTTTTAAGTGAAAACCTATCTTTGTGAAGGTTCTTTTAAGACAAATTTCACAGAACGTTTTAAATAAAAACCTATCTTTGTGAAGGTTCTTTTAAGACAAGTTCCTGAGAACGTTTTAAGTAAAAACCTATCCCTTAAATTACAATTAGGACTAGGTTGAGGAAGAACATAACTCTATAAATTAAAAGGAAAAGCTAGTGAGCACGTTTCAGTAGGAACCTTTCTTTTTGAAATACAAGTTAGTCTCCAAGTTTAAGTAAGAAACGAGCTCACCCACTAACGTGCTATTAAGACAAGCTATTCTGCACGTTTTAAGTAAGAACCTTTTTTTTATGCCTACAAGTTAGAGTTTTAAGTAAGATAATATACTCACAACGTGTTATTAAGACAAATTATTCTCCACGTTTTAGACCTTTCTGTGAAGACAAGTTTCTCAGCTAATTATAATTAAAAACTGGTATACAGGGTGAGTAAAAAAAGTGTGATATGCGGCACCTGGTGCAAATTTGTACCGTTTTATGTGCCCCGCATAGAACAAACGACCCTGTTTTAGAGTCTGAAAACG